TTTTACCTTCCAGGCGACCATCCAAAAATATCTCACAGCGCTCAGGGATCGAAACATCTTCTGCTACTACCACGCGAAGCGTCTCCTCACATTTTCGATGTAGAACCACTTCTTCTTCATTTATTTTCAAAATTTCTTGTTTGAGGTTTAGTTCAAAACCTCTAGTGGTCACGATGTCCATTCCGAGAATAAGTTCATCTTCGATGTCTGCTACTAACACTCGATGATTAAAACAGGTGCTTCCGATAACAAAATTAAGATCTACCTCTCCATGGATGAGAGCGCAGCTTCCTGTAGCTGTACGTAGTCGCCATTGTGTTGTTTTAATCCTTTTTGATGTTTTAAGGATATCCGGCCTGATGATCGTTTTGGTCGCACCCGTATCCAACAGCATGGTCCGTAACTCTCCATCCACGAAACTAGCCACAAAAATGCTGTTGAACTTGTGTTGTAGCGATGCGACTTGAACAGTTTTCGTTGGAACCTGTTGGGTACTGCTCCATATGTGTCCCTTTGATTCGACACTTGGCGAAACCGAGTCCACGTCTTTTTCTTGACAGTGACTTCTTACGTGTCCTGCCTGGCCGCAATTCCAGCAACAAGTCGGTCCTTTCTTGCCCATGTACTCCTCCATGACTTTCCGTACAATGCTTTCCACGGATTTGTCGGAACATTGGTTGACCGCCCGTACTCTCACTAGAGACCGAGAACTGTTTCGCGGCCTCAAATTCTAGGGCACGTGCTAAAGCATCCACCAAGCGCGTTGGGTGGGCTAGAAGAAGCGCTTGCCTTGTCTCCCTGTCACGTAAGCCATCGGAGAATGTCTGTACTGCCAACCGCTCCATAACATTCTCGGGCGTAGCAGGATACGCAAGGCGAACCAGGCGGGCTACGTCGGCTTCAAACTCCTGCAGAGACTCATTTGACTTTTGAATGCGATTTTTTAGCTGTGAATGATAGACATGTTCCAAATGAGCTTGGCCGTACCTCATTTCTAAATGTCGTACCAATTGCTGATAATCTCCCTGTTCCGATGGTGACAGTGTCTGCAGGATATCAGTCGCATCTCCTCGCAGTCGACAGTCAAAGCGGTAGCCTTTTCAGCGATTGTCCACCCGTTCGCTCTCGCAGCGGCCTCAAACTGGCAAAAATAATTGGCCCAAGCGGTTTTTCCGTCAAACTGTGGAGGCCTAATAACTGATTTTGAGACATACTTATTTTCGACCAGTTTCGGTCCCTCCGATGTTTCTTGACATTTTGGTGAATTTGACTTCGCTATTTTTTCTTTTAAAATTTCGATTTTTCTGTTAACATCGTCCTCAATCTGTGCTATTTTGTCTTGTAGCTCCGTGGAATTCTCTATAATCTTTTCTTCTAATTCCCTAGAATTTTCTATTATCTTGTTATATAAACGTTCTTCTAAATTAAGTATTTTATTATTAAAGCTGGCCTGTATATCTTTAGAATTTTCTATGATTTTATCTTCTAATTTTTGGGAATTTTCCGTCATTTTATCTTCTAAATTAATTATCTTACTATTCAAATTGTCGTTTAAATTGTCTTGCAAATTTTTCAATGACGAGTCAAGGTCACCTTCCAGCTCAAAGCAAATGTGTCAGGATCCTCACCTTCCTCAATCAAAACCTCTCTCAGTCTGGCTTGCAAAATGCTTTTCTTTCCATCTGTCTCGCACTCCCTCTCTTCCAATGTGCATTTTAATTCCGACACTTTCAAGTCTTTCAACAATTTTTTCGAAGCCATTTTCAGTCTTTTTATTTTTCTAGTCTATCACACACGCCACACTTGACACCAATTGTTACGTTTTTCGTCGGTTCCGTGTGGATAGAAAGTCACAATTTATTTAAACACTATTTATTTAACACTAATTAACAAAAACAATAACGATAAAAGACTTATAGAACTATTTACAAACGATTTATAACTAAGAATTTATTTTGAATTTTAGCGCGTCAACTGTATATTTATAACTGCCCTCTCTAGGTCACTGCCGCCGGCTTTTTATACCGACAGGTAAAAGAAATCTAGAATAGTCCAAAGATCGTTAGGCGCATAGAGAAGGTTTTCGAATGTTCTCGTATGTACTAGTCCATTCTAGTGGGTCTCGATTCTTCTCGAACGAATGAATCATTGCGGTGTCTATGCGATGTTAAGGTCATCCGAGGGCGGGCCATATTGTGAGGTTAGGTCGAGTCCACACCGGCTCGCAACATTATACTATTTGAAGCCTGGCGCATCCGCCACATCAGGAAAAAAATAATTATTATTTTATTTTTTTAATTAAATGAAAAACAAAAAATCCGGCGACGACAGTTTTTAGAAGAGCCAATTAACTATCTTTTGGTAAAAAAAGCAACTTTCTAGGGCAAGTCGTTACTTCAGTAGAGACGACACAGATAAACATTAGCATTTTATATAGGTAGATTATATTTTATATTATTTATTTCATATTATTTTTTATTATTCTATTGCATTTCATTTTCCGTATTCAATGTTACCCCACGTCATTGTTAAGTTTGAAAGCTTAGTATCAATATTGTAACGATGGATAGATTAAATATTTAAAAAAGACCCGGACTTGAAATTAGTTTAAATAAATTGTGTTCAAATGTCCGAAAAAAAAATATTGAATGTGGCATATCATTGTACTCAGGAGATTGAGTTCTTTCAAAACTTTAAAAAATAAGTTGGCCCCATTATTATCTCATTGTATCTCACAAATTAACAGCTAATTTGAAAATCTAAAAATATTATATAAGATAGCCCTAATAAAGTGGCTATGAGAATGTGCAATTAGTTTTTTGATTTTCTAAAAAGTAACGACAGGAAAACATAAAATGATTTTCAAAAAAATCCGTTTTTTCCAAAAAACTCAGCAATCCTTGAAATTTTTAAAACTTTTTGATGGCATCCCAAAGCGCAACTTTGCTCTAATTTAACCATGTTCGTATCTATTACGGTTACCGAGATATCAATGCTCGGACCCCGAGTCTGCAGCTATATTCAAAGATACCTATTTTTTATTATGGTCATAAACGCCATTTTAGCAGGGAAACGTAAGATTACGATTTCTAAGCAGTTTAATTTGCCAAAATACAGTGTGACAAAAATAATTTCACGGTTTAATTCAGGAGGGCATGTTGAAAAAATTACTGTCTTTGTCGGTATCACTAGGAAGATATTAAGTTTCCAGAGTCTCAATACTTCCAATTGACTCCGGAAATACTATACAGAGACATTCTCCAAAACGTGATGTTGCCTTATGCTGAGTGAGAGATGCATCTACGATTTTTGTTTCAACAGGATAATGACCTACAACATTATCTCCTTTTGTTCAGGAGTGGTTTCAGGAAAATAATGTTCAGGTTTTTCAGTAACTATCAATCACCAGACCTTAACCCCATCGAAAATCTGTGGGAAGAGGTAGAACGTCGTATTCGAGCTACAAGGTTCGCAAATAAACATGTTTAATTGATAAAATTAAGGAAGTTTCGTCGAAAATGACGATTACTGCTGTCCAAAGCTTAATTTTATTAATGCCGCGTCGTTGTCAAAAAGTTATAGCTAACAATAGATATCCTATTAATTATTAAGATTGTTTTTATATTTTTATACTTCTTTTGTGTTATTTCTGTTTTTTTTTTCCTTTTCTTTTGGTCGTTTGAAGACAATACCATTTTATCTGTAACAGCAGCCTACCAAAATTATTTAAACTACATAGTTACTAATATCCATAGACATTAGACAATAATTTAATTTTGAATATCTCAATTTATCAGAAAAGTTGTACTTTTCTCTGATAGTGTAGGTTTAGCATGAATGCATTTATGCATTTATAGAAATAAAGTAGTTTTGTTTGTATAATTATCTAGATATTGTCAACTTATAGCAATGCTATTGTGTTAAAAAACAGCGTACTGCTGTAAAATTTAAATTATTTTTTGAAAATTGACAAAAAATCAATACAATATATACCGATTTGGTCATTTTAGAAGTGTGGTCTGGATTTTAACGTGGAAGACAGTGATGTAGACGGCTTAATGGAAAATCAAATGTATAAAAAAGAGTTAAAAGATGGGTTGATACATTTCGTTTATGCGGTATTTCTGGATTTTACATCAAAAGTTCAAACCGCACTAGTAGGCGTTTATGGAAAATGATGCATCTAGGGTTGGAACCTTATTTTTCACAATTAGTTACTCATTTTACTACAGATGTAAGAGATTATATTTAGCTTAGATATATTATCTTCATTTCAGTGGTAGACATGAAAGTTTTTAAAATTTGTTTGTTTTTTCTACACAAATTTTCCTACAAACATAAAAGCCGGCAACACTGTAGGCCGATTTTGATTTTGTTTCTCTGTCTGTCAACTGGTCATTTATATTATTCTCTGTCTTACACGTTACATATATGTTATTTTTCAATTTTTTTATGAATTAAGCTTGATTTTCATGCATTCGTTGTCCGACGATACGATGATACGATATTAATTTTATTGGTTGAATTTAAAGGCTTCGATTGGATAACCGTTTCTAACCAATAGAAGTCTTTAAATTCAACCAATAAAATGAATATCGTATCATCGTATCGTCGGACAACGGATGCATGAAAATCAAGCTTTACTCGAAATTTTTATTAAAATTTCACGGTTATAAACAAAATTAAGAACCCAGAACATGTTAAAAAGACTAGAGAAATAGGTCATATAGGGTTTCAGAGAAATTTAGTACCATACATGCAGGCTGTTACTTGAGGTAGTAAAATATTTTAAATATATAGAACTTGTAAGGTTTTACCTGAACCAGTTATTTACTTAAACCGCTAGAAAGTGAAATAAAAATAAATAAAAACGACAAGAAAATTACATTAAATTTATAAAAACGCAACTTTTTAAAATCAAAAAATAATTTTGGTTAGGTTGCAAATTGTTAGAAATATATTAGATAACTGAAAAGGCAGTTAAAATAAAACTATTTAAGTCTATTTTATATGAACTTGTTTTAATTAATAATTAGTTTTTCGTTGGTAAAGAATACCAACTTCGGATTAAGATCAATAATCATATGTACAAAAAAGATTAACAACTATACACAACCACAACTTAATTAATGCTTATCTAAAACAGAGACGAGTAATTCATTCATCGACGTGAGAAGTTCTCTTGGATCTTCAACCAACCCGGCTCCAACCATGGAATTAACAAATAACTGCAAAACAAATAATAATCTTTATAATTCATTTTAAATTTGTTTTTTTATGAGACATCTGAACAAAAAAATGTATTACCTGTTTTATGAGAAGTTCTGCTAAGACAGGATCGCTGCCTTTTAAATGATGCAATTTCTTAATAATTGGGTGCCTATTAAAAGAAAAAAAAGTTAGTAATTTTTGTGAAAATATCGCCATTAATAACAAAACGTTATAAACGTAATCACTAATCTTTGTAATACTTTGTCAACAAGAAAATATATGACAGTGGTGAGTGGTAGTTGTGTCTGACATTTTAATTCAAAAGAAGGCTCCATTTTCTCATTTTCGTCAAAATAGTCCTTTCAACGCACATTTTTCCTATTTCATTAACGAACTTACTCTTAACAGATAATGGCATTTTATTGGATTTGCGTAATTGTCTGATTTTATTTTTCAAATTATGAAATCCTATTGGATTTAGCGCTGTTTCACCTGGACCGTCCTCGTTGATCGCGTATGTTTTTAAGGTCCGATGGTGTACTTACCTGTGTTGTGTGTGCCAATCTACGCATGTGAAACAACGTATTTAAACACATAGAACGTACAGACGGACGGTCCGCTTCATGTGAAACATCACTTACTGCGATTAATAATCGATCTCACCAGCTTCAAGCAAAAATGCATGTGATCCATCAAAATAAAACCATCAAAAAGTACCATATGGTATTTAACGTGCATGTTCTGCATAAAGGCTTGTCAGGTCTAGCCAGAAAATCTACCAAAGCCGTCTTGACGATGGAGTAGACCCCGAAACGTAACCTTGACGAGGTTGGAGGGCTTTAGTCAGTAAATTCGCACACAAGAAAGTGTACAGCTGGTAAAACTCCATTATTAACTACCGCTTAAATGTCTTTACATTTTACACTAATAATTTTGTTGACATAATTATAAATTATTACGAAATAAACAATAGCAAATGCTTCAACAGCATTCTCTTTAATAACTTGTTGCGTTTCATTTAAGAGATCGTCATGTCATTGACACTTTCTGACCAATATATCCTCTTGGTTTTTTCATCATAACCCTTGCTGAGATCGTTATCTACGCACCTTTATATCACTTTGTATTCTATATATAATCTCATTTTTAAGCAAGGCGAACATACTCTACTTCACTCTATGTTTTAATATAGACAATATAGACATTAAGTATTTTTTGGTTGTTATTAAAGTAAAGAACTGAAAGAGTTTGTGTTGTATGGCAATAATAAACAGAAAAGTAAAATAATAGCTTGACTGTCAACATTAAGTGAATAAACTTTACTCACCTAGGATTTATTTCGAGTTGTGGCTGTAAGATGGCGTATCTTCTGTCTTCGGGCAAACCGTGACTTTGCGTCCTGATAAAATGCCTAGAAGCTGCCATCTCCTCCACAGTTATCACACAAGGATGATTTTCCAGTCTTGTGGTAGCATTTACAGATGTTACTTTACCACTAAGTTTAGACTTAATCCATTCAGAAAGATCGTTAATTTCACTTCTTTGTAAACTGTCTTCACCTGAAACAAATATTAAACAGAAGCTTATATTTATTATTTGAAACATATATTTTAATTGCGTAAATTAAACCTTACAATAAAATCAAAGTATCAAATTAATCAGATGCAAAAAAAAACGCAACGGCATTTTTTTTGTCAAGTTTATATTATATTTTTTTATGTTTAGCTTTATTTCCTTGATTTTTTTAGCAAACTGTATATAAATATATCAACTTTAATTCGTAAACTCAGTATATTATACACTTTAGAATTTGACTTATTATACAGGGTTAATCGAAGAGTTGTTTTTTACCCTATCTTTAGAACACCCTGTGCAATAATTTTGTGAGCAAATTTTCTTAAATTTTTTTTTTCGGTGAGAATCATGTCTCCTGAATATTTTGTTTTTTGACTCATGTCAACACATGCCTTGGTTAATTTTTAAGAGTAAAACGAACTTGCCACAAACATTTTGCAATTTTTTCAATTATCGTTACTTCTTGATATAACTCTTTGTAATGATGAGGTGGCTTTGGTGATTATTATTGTGTACGATTAAATATGGTTCTTACTGTCAAAGATTGTGCAAAAGTCATTGACCTTGGTGCAGATGGCTGAAATTATGTTAATATTATATTAATATATTTACAGCCTCATTAACAGTATTAACCGACGCACGTCTAAAAGTTTTTTGTTTGTATACGTAGTTATTACAGTTAGATTTTTTTAATATCCTGTTAGTGTTACTAATACTTATTAAAACCAAGCCTGTATCCTTAATTTTTAACGTTTTTTTAAATTTTAATATAGAGTTCTAATCGGTGTCGATATGACATTACGACAATAGTCACGAAAACCATCTCGTGATAGTAAAAAATAACATCATAAAGTAATGATAGTTGAAAAATTTGCAAATTGTTGGTGGCAAGTTCATATTTCGCTCTTAGAAATTAATAAAGGCATTTGTTGATATGAGTCAAAAAATAAAATGCTCAGGAGTCAGAGAGACATGGCTCTGAAATTATTGCACAGGGTGTTTTAAAGTTAGGTTAAAAAAGAACCCTTCAATTAACTCTGTATAATAAGCAAAATACTAAAGTTTATAAAAAACTGTGTTTATGAATTAAAGTTGATTAATGATTTATACAGGGTGGCGCACCTCATTCACCTTGGTTGATTATACGAAAATGGAAAGATGTAGAAACAAAATATTTCATGGGTATATGTGGGGAAGCAATGTGCACAATTTAAAATTATTTTGAAATATACAGGGTGTTTCAGAACTAAGATCCATACCAAAGTTATATTTTTTCTTATGGAACACCCGGTATTTTATTTCTTTTTTGGTTTCCTGGGCCCAAAAAAAAGCATTTATTATAAGGGTTAAATATGAATCTTTGGTTTTTGAGCTATTTAAAGATATTTAAATTTGCATGCTACAATAGAATAGGTTATTAACACCTTGTACATTACTTTTCAGAATTAATTCTTGTGCTAAGTTTGGAGGTAGAAAAAGAAACTTTACTGAAAAATGGTATGGATTCCTTAAATTTATACAGGGGTATCAAAAATTGCTGATCTATTTTAAAGATTTATTTTATACAAAAACTTCGTTATTTCAAATGCGATATCCTGTATTTTTTAAAATAAATCGAAGCAGATTCAAATGTTCTTTTAAACTATGTTAGGGTTTCCTATACCTATCTAACTCAGATTTTGAATAAAAAACGATTTTTGAATAAAATCGCAATCAAGATGGCTGGTGTCGCCATGGCCATTTTCTAGTGACAGTTAGTAACTATTTTTAAAGTCGACAATAGTTTATGGACATTATTACTTATAATTTATAACAGTTTACTTAGATTTACCTACAATTATTTAATAAGTAAGTATTCATTATTTTATAAAGAAAAATAATGCAGTATCTGCTGGCGGAACGAATGGATATGTTACTAGTGATTTTATTTTGTTTTGTTTTTGATTTACCTACAATAGTTTAATAAGTAAGTATTCATTATTTTATAAAGAGAAATAAAGCAGCATCTGCTGGAGGAACGAATGGATATGTTACTAGTGATTTTATTTTGTGAATTGCTTCTTGGCCTCAAGGGCTTATGCTCAAAGATATCCAAATAGGAATCTTCTCGATAAGCGTTCCTTTGAAAAACTACTTGTCCTATTTCGCAGAGCTGGTAGTGTTTATAAAAAACCTATTAGACAGAAACCCGTAATTGGAAGTGAAGAAAATGAATTTGCCGTAATTGGCTCTTTTATAGAAAATCCATATATCTACAAGGCATCGTAAAATAAATGAAAAAATTACTTCTTCCTTTTTCTTGATAGAATATAATAATAATACATATTTAATAAATATCATTTATTAAACTATTGTAGGTAAATTAAATATAAATAAACTGATATAAATTTAAATAAATCTATAAAGTAATTTCTATTTTGAAAATAGCTACTAACTGTCACCAGAAACTTGCCATGGGGACACCAGCCATCTTGATTGCCATTTTATTGAAAAATCGCTTTTTAATCACTATCTGAGCTAGATAGGTATAGGAAACCCTAATATAATTTGAAAGAGCGTTTGAATCTGCTTCGATTTATTTAAAAAAATACAGGGTGTTGTATTTTAAATAACAAAGTTTTTATGTAAAATAAATGCTTAAAAGAAATCAGCAATTTTTAATACCCCTGTATAAATTTAAGGAAGCAATAACATTTTTCAGTAAAGTTTATTTCTCTGCCTTTAAACTCAACACAAGAATTAATTCTCAAAAGTAATGTACAGGGTGTTAACAATCTATTCTATTGTAGCTTACAAATTTAAATATAATTAAATATCTCAAAAACCAAAGGTATTAAACATATTTAACCCTTATAATAAATGACTTTTTTTGGGCCCAAGTATCCAAAAATGAAATAAAATACCGGGTGTTCCATAAGAAAAAATATAATTTTGAAATGGGTCTTAGTTCTGAAACACCCTGTATATTTCAAAATAATTTTAAATCGTGCACATTGCCTCTCCACATATACCCATAAAATATTTTGTTTCTACATCTTTCCGTTTTCGTATAATCAACCGAGGTGAATGAGGTGCGCCACCCTGTATACAGGTTGCTAAAAAGTTCATGAAAATAGAACTAAAAGTAAAAAAATATGACGAAAAAAATTTCCATTGCGTTTTTTTGCATCTGAGTGTATATGTGTAGTACACTGAATTATTTAGATCATTATAAAACACTGCTTACCTAAATTAGTAAGATCACTTGCAGCCTTATCATCTCTCATGTCTTTTTCTACTGAAATTAATCGATATCCTTCAAATTGTTGCAGTTGCATTAAAACTAGTTCATCATAAGGATCGTAACAGAATAAAACTTCCTGCTGTTTCTTTTTCAGAGACTCAAAATACGGCGAAGATTCTGCCAATTTACGGCTAAAATTAAGATGATTGAGTAATATATTAAATTCAATAGCTCAAAATAATTTTAGTTTATAAAAATTGTTAGGAACATTATTATTTAGTTACCTAGGAGCAGCTAGATAAAAGATCGTTCTGTGTTCTTTGGCACGAGTAATATAATCTGCTAATGTGATTTTTTTGCCAGGTTCTAAGTGTGAAGATTCAAAAAGTAGTAGCTTAGCTGCATCTTCCTAAAAATATAACCAATATTTTGTACATATTCAATAAAAAAAAACATTCCAAAAATACCATGTCTTAATCTATATGGAGTGTTCTATATACAGTATGTCCCCGGATCATCTTTTTAAGAGGAAAAACTATTTTATGTTTATTTTTTCCAAATTTCCATACCGTTTTACAGAAAAATGAAGAAAATATGAAAATATAGTTGAATTTTTTCTCCCAGTCCTAAAAATCAAAACGCGTTTCTATGGTTATATCATTTTTATATATTCATCATAGATAAATGAAGCATTTTCTTTCTTTGATAGATGGTTATTATTTTTGATTAACTTCTTATTTTTTACTGTTTTAATACCGGGCGCGTCTCAAAAGTGGCTCACCCCTATAACTTTATAACCTAAACGAGATTTGGTATGTTAGTATATGACATAAATTAGGATTGATTGACGTATTCAATTGTTTTCGGTCACTTCCTGTTTCATCGGAAATAACTACAACTTTTACAACTTTAACGATATAAAATGACATTCTAAATAGAATGACATATCGTATGTCAACTTTTGACATTCTCGCTTAATAAAAAATCGTATTTTAAAATTCAATCTAGAGTCCTTGGGAAAATAGAATCAAGGATCCTTGGGAAAATAGATTTGATCGTCTAATATTTTTAGTGTCTTGTCCTGGCCAGTTAGAAAATGCTCAAATCGTATTTTTAATCATATCTCAATTTTTTCAAATGGAATGATGGTGGCTCATTAGCATATTTGGAAAAAGCATTTTTTTTACGAATAATTTGATACCACACACTTGGTATTTCAAATCAAATTTTCGTTACGAACCGTAAATTATAATTTCAAATAAACCATATGCGAAAATGTCAAAAAATGTTAAAAATCAAAAAGTGTAGTCATTTCCATTTTTGAGACGCATCCCGTATATTAAAGAAGCACAAAATTTAATCAGTTCAATGCTAAGGATAATGTGATTATAAATTATGTGTTTCTTTAACATTTTAGTTAGTAAAAAATATGACGTAAATCAAAATTTATAAAAACCATCTATTCATCTATTAAAGAATGAAAACGAAATAATATTACCACAGACAGAAACGCGTTTTGAACTTTAGGATTATATTTTCATATTTTTCTCTAGAATGGTAGATATGGAAATTTGGAAAAGTATAAATGGGATTAACCATTTTAGAACAAGCAAGAACTTCTATGAAAAATGCACTTTCTCAAAAAGTTAATGATGAAAAACGTTTTCCTCGTGTAAAGAGAATCCGGGGACATACTGTATACAAGACTTATAAAATTATAAAATCACAATTTCTCTCACTTTTTTCTCTATTTTTTCTAAATTGAAAATATTTCATAATAGAAATGTTCACAAAAAAATTAAAACGTGCCTACTTCTCATAAAATCATTCATTATGACATTAAAAACTTAAAAATTATGTCATTAAACTCAGTATGCAAAGTTTCATAACATTCCGTAAAAGCCTTATGCCTCAAAAATCCGTGCGTAATTATCGTAATCGTTTGAATCCGCTAAACGCTCACCTATTGGCCTGACGTCACTGCTTCGATCGGTATTTCCGCGTGAGTAAACGGTGCTGTCTGCACGCTGTGGAATCTCTAACAGAACAAGCTAGAATACGACATATCGCGTTGTGCTCGGATGTAGTTTGTATATTAAATTTGGTTTATTGTGATTAATATTTGGACTTTATTACTAGTTTAAAAACAAAGCTACTTAGTGAGATGGAGGACAGATTTACTTGAAAGCGATAACAAACAACACTTGGTTTTTAACAATACAAAATTATTGAGTTTTTGAGCTGTCAGAGGCCCGTATTTAGGAGGAGGGGGCCAAATTTTAAATTTTAATTATCATATTAAACTGAAAATTTGCATGCGTATATAGAAGCTAAGACAATGTAAAATTATCGTATTGTTGATCTGATACAGGGCCGTATTAAGGAGAAGGAGCCAAATCTTATATTTTAATTGTATTGACCTGAAAATTCGCACACGTATACAGGGTGTCCAGTTTAAAAAAGGTACCTACATGGGGAATAATGGGGATCTTGAAGACCGTTAAAGTTACAAGATCGGTTAAATAGAAAAGTTGCGTTTTTGTGTGTCCAAAAATAATCTAGGTGTATTTTATTTAATATTCATATACCGTTACGTAAATACAAGGAGAAAAAGAAAAATGTGCATTTTCTAAACACCACCATATTTTCTTTATTTTTGGAGCTAAGGTCATCAAAATTTTAACATAGGGGTAAGGCAATATGGAAATTTTAAAAATTATGTCCAAAAAAGTCTAGGCGTACTACGTTGCGCATGGCCGAAGTGCACTTTTGCTTTTCCTATGGGCGTCATATTGAAATACATGGTTGAAAACATTTTTAATAAGGATTTTTAAAATGCCAAATTTAAATATGGCGCTCATAAGAAAAATAAAAGCTGACCTCGGCCGTGCGCAACATAGAAGGCCTAAGTTTTTTTTGATATCATTTTTAAAATTGCCATGTTGCCTTGCCCATATATTGAAATGTTGATTACCTTAGCTCCAATTATAAAGAAAATATGGTGGTTTTCCGAAAATGTTCATATTTTCTTTTTCACCTTGTATCTACGTAACGGTATGAATTTAAAATAAAATAAACAGATTATTTTTGGGCACACAAATACGCAACTTTGCTTCCATTTAACCGACTTTGTATCTTCAACGGTTTCCAAGAGAGAGATCCCCATGTACCTCATTTTAAATTGGACACCCTATAGGACCCATATTAAGCGAAAAATTTACAAGTAAAAAAATTGATAAAAAACCTTTTTGAAAACAAGCTTTAAATTAAATGCACTTAAAAGTAGAAAATAAGAATTAAAAGCAAGGGGCGCAAAGTAACGATTTAAGCTTCTGTCGAGTATTTTTTGAAGTATTAAAACACCCAGGGACAAAACACCACTTATTTGAACTCATTTTACTTCTTCAAAACACCAAAACAATGAAAATAAACAATTTACACCTTCGCGAACATCTGCAAAAACAATGCGGCACGTGCACGATCGTACGGACGCCATCGATCGATCAAAGCAGTGACGTCAAAAACAAGTAGCCTCGTGCCTGGTACGTTTTCTAGCCTTGCTGCATTTCTCAATTTTGTTTTGCGTTTATGTGAGAAAATTATAGTTTATAAGAAAAATTTTGAGTGCCATGTTTTTTTACTCATATGTAGTAGCTATTGAAATTCATTGAAATTAGAAATTAGTGAACATGTCTATTGTGAACTTTTTACTTAAGACTTTAAATGAAAAAATTAATGAAAAAAGGAAAACGAAATCCGTGTTTTACTTTCAAAAAATATTGATTTTGGGTATAGGAACTGATCAACTAAACACAAAGATGATAAACCGAGTGATAAACCCTGTGTTGATTTGTAATATAGAATATAGCGTATCCCACTAGAAATAGAAGAAGAAACATTATGTCTAGTATACCTTGTATATAAAAGCCTTGTATATATATTTTTAAAGTAGATCAACCTAAGACGTTTATGGACTAAGACTACTAGATGGCAGGACCGGTTTCCCTACAGAAATATTTTTTTGTTACTCTGAATTTTGAAGCTACCAATAAAAACAGAGAAAATAAAAATCGATAATTTTCGGACGGTGCCAATTGGTTACTAATCGACCAGATACTTTTTGTCTATTAGATATGCTATAAAAGCTGGCAATTATACAATTCGACCATTGTAAATACCCGACAAATTCTTCAACGCCGACGAGGCTGATGTTTCTCACTGATAAAAAATACAAATGTTTGTTTGGATAATTTTCGAGGTATTTTTTCTTTCTGAATGCACATTTTAAAGTATTTTATATTCTTTGTCCCCTTGACCTATTATCCTGGTCGCACGTATGGAAGTTCTGTTTCTTCTAGTTTTAGAAAATGTTCTTATTTCTTTTTTCTTTGCAGTTGTAGGGTAAAATTAGATTAATTTATTAAGTTTAATTATAGTGTTTAGTGTAGCATGTTAGTGTAGTCTACCAAAAATAGTTTAGTAGTGTTTTTATAGTTTATTTTGTAGTTAAGTAGTAGGTGAAGGGATAATTTTGTTATTTTTTCTTTTTGTTTGATAAATTAGTAATCAAATTGATAATCTGTTCAGTGTAGAATATAAGAATAAGTAGTTGTGTAGTGTTTTTAAGAGATTATATTCGTTTATTTTGTAGTTGAGTAGTAGCTGAAGGGGTATTTGGGTATTTCTTCTTTTTGTTTTTCTTGTAATTGTAGTAGTTCTATTAAGTATTGTGATAGATACACTATATCTTCCTTCAACTTCGTTGAAAAGTGCGTTATCATATAATCTTGGTTTTCTGGTAGCAGAATATACGAAAAAAAATTGATCAAATTTATTTGAAATTAAATTAATCTAGTCAAATAATATAGTTATTAATCAAATTAAACTAGTCAAATAATAATAATAGTTAGTTTCAAAATACTATACAGGGTGAGTTTCCTACGATGTTCTCTATGGGTATCTCGGAAACTACTGGAAATAGAGAGTCGGTTAATGGGGAAAGAATTGCAGTTTTGCGGGGTCATAAATATGCGCCTTTCGGATTTTTGAAAAAGTTTATCGCTTACTAGATATTTCGAAAAAAACAAATTTTGGCTATTTTAAAACTTGTCCCTAATTCCATTATAATATATTTTAGACAAAAAGTTTTCAGATACAAGTTGTAGATAATTACATACCTAATGAGTACCATAGTTGGCCATGACTTCATAAAAATCACCATTTTTAAGCTTTTAGCGATATAGGTATATATGTTTTTATCGAAAAATTACAGTTAGATACAGAGTTATAGTTATAGCCAATTCTTTTCTTTCTTGGCTAATTTCACTTAGTTGGCATGGTATTCTTACTCTGTTATGATTTATAACATAAAAACACAGAATATATTATTAAACGGTTCTTTACGATTTACATTACGCAAACTAAAACTTCATAATATCACTACCCCATACACTTAAGTTATTTTAGAAAATGTTCTCCCGTACCGCCTCTTCGAGGGGGCCCATGCAATTGGTCCACCATCCACCTCTTCCGATCCCTGAGTTTGCATAATTGTGATATAAATCATTTCTTTCATTATGGGGGGGAAGTTTCATAATGAAAGTCATATTGGAACCACCCTATTGATGCGCGACTATCTAAATTTAACTTTTCTAACATGTCTTGAAAACCGTTCTCTTAAAAACGTAAAATAACGTTCACGACGTTAGGAGGACGCAATCTCATTAAGGATGTGATTATCTACAACTTTTATCTGAAAACTTTTTGATTAAAATAGACTATAATGGAATTAGGGACAATTTTTAAAATAGCCAAAGTTTTTTTTCGAAATATCTAGTAATCCATGAACTTTTTCAAAAATCTGAAAGGCGCATATTTATGACCTCACAAAACTGCAATTCTTTCCCCATTTAACCGACTCTTTATCTGCAGTAGTTTTCGAGAAACCCATAGAAAACGTCGTAGAAAACACCCTGTGTATTGAAAATACTGAAGACCATAATATGAAACAGAATAAAAAATAAATTTTGCATTATCTAATTAAATTATTTTCCTGATACATTTTTTTAATGAAAATGTACTTGAATTATTTCAGTTACACATGTATCCTGCTTTTAGAAAGTTTTATGGTTTAACGGGATTTGTGTGTGAGTTAAAATAATGAAATTTTTAGTTTTTATAATTCTTCACACATACAAAGTAAAGTAAACTTGATTTTAAAACTCTGGCCATATTTTACATTAATAAAGATTTAATTGGTGTAATAAAGATTTAGATGGTGTATTAAGTACAATATATTTATTTTAATGTCAAATAATATTGAAGCAAGTTGCAATTTTTTGAACATTTAATCAAGAATGTAAAAAGTTTTATGTTAAAAAAAAATAAAAATTTAAGTTAAAGTTTTATGTTTAAAAAAATATCGTAAAATTCGTTAAACGATCAATTTAGAATAAAATAATCTAAGAATGAAATGATTCTTTAATAAACCTGCATTAAATCGAATTAAAATAGGTATGTAACTTTTTTTGATTAATTATCAAAAATTAACATTATCATAAATTATAAATAATGTACCAACATATCGAAATAATAATTTCTTTGTTAATACGGTTTAGAATTCTTAAAATAACAGGCAAAAATAATCCACAATTTACAATAAAATAAAAGTTTCGTTTAAATTTATTAATCAGCTGATCACTATTAAAGTTCGCAGAAACCCGGGCTATATTATTACATTGCTCTGAGGAAAATAACGAAAATAATCGATATTTTTGACTCCGCCCCGAAAGGTTCACAATTTGTCCTCCAGTTGGCAGCACATTTTGTCTAGTCGGTTGGGCAACTTTAAGAATATATAAACAAGGATAAAAGTAATTGAGTCTAAATTATATTATTAGGGAGTATTTTTTATTTCTTCTAAAGAATATAGCTAAGTTTATAAATTAATGATTTATAATACTAATTACCTTTTCTTTTTGATTGTGATTTGTAATGATTCCTTCCTTAATAAACATATTATAGTCCTTATAAAACTTTTCATATTCCTCTTGATTCTTTTTTAAGTGATCTAAGAGAAATTTTATAATCCTAGCTGTTAGAACATCTCTCAGTTTTCTAAAAAAAAAGAAGTATACAACTAGTAGATAATTTAAGAAAAAAAAATACTTAAATATAAAAATATATTTTTGTAATAAAATTTCATGACTTGATCACTATTTGATACTTACCTTATTAAATTACTATTTTGAAACAATTCTCTACTCAAATTTAGCGGTATATCTTCTGAATCTACAACTCCTTTCACAAACCTCAACCATTGGGGTAAAATATTGTCTGTCCTACTTTTTATTAAAACTTTCTTGGTATATAAAGCTACACCTGATTCTGTCTCTCTAGACATTTCAAATAAACCTTTAAAAAATATATATTCTTTAGTACATTTAGTACTGATAAGCTGATAAAATATAGAGGTTTTTCACGCAACTGGTTCAGGAACAAAGTTTTTCAGAAATAGTTCAGAGTTCAGAAACAAGTTCAAAAATGTTTTTATGACCTAATTTAGATATAAAATTAAATGTTTCAAATTAAGGGTATTTCCAGATGAACTTATTCTTATTATGCTTTAAAATATTTTCCACTTTCTAATACTTCCAGTTTAACCTTTAGTGAGTGTCAATTTGCTTATTTTAAACAAACACTTCATATACAAGGTGTCCCAGAAATAAGTGCAGATATTTTAGAGGGTGGTAGATCTGGTCAAAAGAAACATCTTTTCTCTTTACCATTTTTAAAATAAATTGAAAATAACCGAGTTGAGAAAAATAATGGCTATATTTTAAGAACTGTTGGCGATAACCGACTATTAAGGGTTTTTGGTTTTGCCACCTGTTTTGCCAGATAGTCAAAAGAAGTATATTATGCTATAATTAGTGAAATCTAAAATCCGTGATATGAGTTATTGTGTGTCGTTCGTATACGGTTTATTTGTCTGATTTTGTTGGTATTGTCTGAACATGTTGGTATTTGCTTTTATGTGATCTCAGTATGAATAATATGTATAATTTTACCCAGTTTGGTTCTCATTGAAAGGGTAAGTACAAACGAAATATTTAAAAGAGTGTTTTTTTTTTATTGTAACTACTTCGTAATATGACAATGTTAAGAGTTATTTTTTTAAGTATATGTAGTTAAAAATATAAATATAAAAATGTGGTATGCGTAAAAATAATTAATGTGGTTTGTTTCTAGAATTGTTAGTAATAGACACTTATATGATTAGAATTAATATTTGTAATTTTTTGTGTACAAATTTAAAATTACAGTGGATGTGAAGACAAATTAATATGTTGAATATGGATAATGTAGGAAGTGGCAACGCTGCAAGGTTTAGATACACCATAGAAAAATCTCAGGTCAATAAACAAGTGACAAAGTGAAATTTTCAACAATTTTTTTTTGCAAAAAAAACTCATAGGCGTGTTTCTGAGGCCGAAACATACTACCAGTTAAAATATCTGCACTTATTTCTGGGACACCCTGTATATAATAATTTTTACATTTTACATGAAATTCTCCAGACACTTGGAATATAATGCTATACATATACTTGAGTGTACAATTTTTTAAATAATTTCCATTTTATGTACAAAAATTACATTTGGACATTGAAAAAAAAAATATTTTTCATCAATGCATTTTTTTATAAAGTTGTTGTCTTTTAGAAAATATTTTTAATATTATTTATTACTTTAATATTTATTTATTTTTTCGAAAATTTTTATGTTTTATTTTTCTTTAACTTAAACCAAAGAATATCTTAATACCCTAGAAGTCTCGTCTGGCATCAAAATCTGACCTGTCGATGGGACAACTTCGTGGAGCCTCGCTATTTTGCTCGGAATTGAACGAATAGACGCGCGGCGTTGCCATGTTTTGTGTGTACTTTCTTGAATAGTTTTAAATTATAGTTTTAAATTTTATCTATTGCTATAATCAGTCTTTCCGTTCTCCGCACTCCGCAGTTTACATATAATATTATCTTATATAATTCCCGTGTTACAGTTTTGGTTACCGTACTCCTCCGAAACGGCTTAACCGATTTTGATGAAATTTTATATGTATATTCAGTAGGTCTGAGAATAGGTAGTTATATATTTTTATACCCTTAAATATGATAAGGGTAGTCCACCCCATTTTTTTATTTTGTGAAAAACAATATTTTAATTTTTTTATTTGGCATTAAAAAATACAAACAACACTAAATTTTCACCGTTCTACTTTCATCCCCTATTTTTTAATAGGGGTTGTTTTTTTAATTTTTGTTACCATCTCCGAAACGGCTTAACCGATTTTGATAAAATTTTATATGTATATTCAAGTACGTCTAAGAATAAGTTGTTATCTATTTTTATACCCTTAACTGATAAGGGTAGCCGAGAGGGTAACCCACCCTCATTTTTTTCAGTTTTGAAAAGAAAAAATGTTTTTATTTTTTATTTGGCATTAAGAAATACAAACAGCCCTAAATTTTCACCGTTCTGCTATCATCCCCTATTTTTAATAGGGGTTGTTTTTTATTTTTTTGTTGCCATCTCCGAAACGGCTTAGCCGATTTTTTGATGAAATTTTATAAGTATATTGAGTAGGTCTGAAAACAGGGTTGTTATATATTTTTTTATACCCTTAAGTGATAAGGGTAGCCCACCCCCATTTTTTATTTAAAAAAATATTTTTATTTTTTTATTTGGCATTAAAAATACAAACAACCCTAAGTTTTCACCGTTCTACCATCATCCCCTATTTTTTAATAGGGGATGTTTTAATTTTTTTTTGTTAGCATCTCGAAACGCCTTGATCGATTTTGATGAAATTTTATATGTATATTCAGTAGGTCTGAGAATACGTTGTTATCTGTTTTTATACCCTTAAGTGATAAGGGTAGCCCACCCCCATTTTTTTATTTTTGAAAAAAAAATATTTTAATTTTTTATTTGTCATTAAAAAAATACAAACAACCCTAAATTTTCACCGTTCTACCATCATCCCCCTATTTTTTAACAGGGGTTGTTTTTAAGATTTTTGTTACCATCTCCGAAACGGCTTAACCGTTTTTGATAAAATTTTATTTGTATATTCAGTACGTCTAAGAATAGGTTGTTATCTATTCTTATACCCTTAAGTGATAAGGGTAGCCGAGAGGGTAGCCCACCCTCATTTTTTTATTTTTGGAAAAAAAAAAAATTTTTTATTTGGCCTTAAAAATACAAACAACTCTAAATTTTCACCGTTCTACCATCATCTCCTATTTTCTAATAGGGGTTGTTCTTTGATACCATCTCCGAAACGGCTTGGCCGATTTTAATGACATTTTATTATGTATATTGAGTAGGTCTGAAAATAGTTTGTTGTCTATTTTTTATACCCTTAAGTGGTAAGGGTAGCCCACCCCTATTTTTTTATTTTTTGAAAAAAAAATATTTTAATTTTTTTATTTGGCATTAAAAAATACAAACAACCCTAAATTTTCACCGTTCTACCATCATCCCCTATTTTTTAATAGGGGTTGTTTTTTTTAAGTTTTTTGTTACCATCTCCGATTGACCGATTTTGATAAAATTTTATATGTATATTCAGTAGGTCTGGTTTGGTTTGGTTTGGTCACAACCTATTCCCAGGTTGTTATCTATTTTTTAGACCCCTAAGTGATAAGAGTGGTCCACCCCAACTTTTGTTTTATTTTTTAGACAATTTTTTTTATTTTAATTGTTTTATAGGGAGTGCTTATTTTTTAGGCTGTCCAAGTCCAAAATTTTCTTCTGGGTACTCACTTTCATCATTTAAGGGACCTATGTACAAAATTGCATACTCCTAGTCCTAGAACGGATTTTACATAAAAATTATACAAATGTTTACCCTTAGTTTTATCCCCTTAAGGAATGAATTCCAAAAATCGCTCTAATTATTCAATTACGCTACATAAGGAACCCCTGTGCAAATTCTCATATTCCTTGAACAGAATCTATTGTTCCAGAACGTTCAACCCCTCATTCCACACCCTTAGAGGGCGAATTTTCAAAAATTGCTTCTTAGTGCTAAATTACGTTACATAAGGAACGTCTGCAAAATTCATACTTCTAAAACCGATTTTAAGAAATTTTTGTACAAATTTTCATCCCTTATTTTTTAGGGGATGCATGCCTAAAATTCGCTTCTAGGTACTCACTTTCATCATTTAAGGGACCTCTGAACAGAATTTCATACTCCTAGTCCTAGAACGGATTTTACATAAAAAAATTATACAAATTTTCACCCCTAGTTTTACCCCCTTAAGGAATGAATTCCAAAAATCACTCTAATTATTCAGTTACGCTACATAAGGAACCTCTGCGCAAATTCTCATATTCCTTGAACAGAATTTATTGTTCCAGAACGTTCAACCCCTCATTTCACACCCTTAGAGGGCGAATTTCCAAAAATTGCTTCTTAATGCTAAATTACGTTACATAAGGAACGTCTGCAAAATTCATACTTCTAAAACCGATTTTAACCTTTTTGTACAAATTTTCATCCCTTATTTCTAAGGGATGAATGTCAAAATTTAGCTTCTAGGTACTCACTTTCGTCACTTAAGGAAACTCTGTACAAAAATTTCATACTCCTAGAACTAACACTTTTGTACAAAAATTTCACCCCCAGTTTCACTACCCTTAGGCTATACATTTCCAAAATCGCTTATCAATGTTCAAATGCGCCACATCTGTGCAAAAGTTCATACTCCTAGTAGGTACAGATTTTTTTTGTATAATTACATCCCTTTATCTAATTACACCCCCTTATGGGTCGAATTTTAAAAATTACTTAGTAGTGCTCATCTTAGAGAACGAATTAATATTCTCCTTATTTACTCCAGTTTCCTAATACTAGCACACAGATAACACATGATCATACTAGTTAATTTTTATTGGAATAGAAGTAATTTTTATTAGAAGGTACAAAAAATTAAAATCTAAAATTTTATTTTCATAGCTACGTTTTTTTCATAGCCTTAGGATGCCTCATGTACTATCGAATATACTAAATATATAATCAATACATATTTCTTTAAATATCGAGAAATAAAATATGTTTGGCAACACCGTACGAAATATCGCCGCGCGTAGTCCTCAAAATTTAAAATATTAGCATTTTCAGGCTTCGATTATGTTCAAAAGCGCCACCGTATGACAAATCACTAAAGCTTCCACACGAGAGTTCTTAAAACTATAATATTCTTTGCTTAAACTTGATTAAAGTCATAATTACTGATAATTTCCAAAGCCTTCAAATAAGTAATACCCTTGTTTAATACATATGAAGCATGTTTTCTTAAAAGAGGGGAACAAAATAGGGCAAAATGTACTTTTACATATGTATAAAAAGTATTTACCTGGTTTTCCTTCAGGAAAATATAGTAAAGCAGATATAGATAAAGGAACATCCGTTTTATAATGTAATGTATATCTTGGAACATCATAACTGCCACTAATAAATTTATAAAATTCTATATGCTGTTGTGGGGTGATTGACTTGGGATCCATCAACCACACTGGTTGTACAATGTTAACTTTCTTGCCGTTTAGGTAGATTGGACTTCCAACAAAGTTACTGTATTTTGTAATTATATTTTTAATTGTGTCTTCATCGGCAAATTCGCGACAATCGCCTTTTAAATAGAGAATAATCTTCGTTCCAAATTGTACACCTTCTGCTGGTTGGATTTCATATGTGCCAGACCTAAAAATTAATAACTATAAGTAGAATTAATTACAAGATAAGGGTGGCAAATGAGTAAATTCATAACTTATATTTATACTCTATAAATAAATAACTGGTTGGAAAAATTTTATTTGATATTTATATAGTATATTATTAGTCATTAAGTAGTCTTGTATTATGAATATTTTAAATTTCTTGATATTGATAACTTCAATATTAAGAAAATAATTACCCCTCTGAGGTCCACTTCCATCCATGTTCATCAGTTGCATTTCTTGTAAAAACTTCAACTTTATCAGCAACCATAAAAGAACTGTAGAATCCAACTCCAAATTGTCCAATTATGTTATTATCGCCTGATGCTTGTTTTTGTTTTATTTCTTCCAAAAATGCCTAAAAATTATGTATTAGGTATATTTAAAAAAATAAGTACTTTGTTGATTTACCTTTGACCCTGATTTTGCAATTATTCCTAAGTTCTGAGTTAATCCCTCTTTGGACATACCAATTCCTGTATCCTGTAATAAATTTAATATGTAATTTTACATTATAAAAATTTGCAAATAAAATATGTACTGAAACTAATTGTTAATATTTTTACCTGTATTGTAAATGTCCTAGCAGTTTTATCAGTTGAAATATGTATTTCTAATGATCTATCTCTATCTTTTATACTAGTTCCTTCTGTATCAGAAATAGATAGATATCGAAATTTTTCTAATGCATCACTTGCATTAGAAATCAGTTCCCTTATAAATACTTCTTTTTCAGAGTATAATGATCTTGCTACAATATCTAACAACATTCTTGTTTCAGCTTGGAATTCATGTTGACTACTTTCCCCTAACAAAACGATATTAATTATGTGCTTTGATCTTGTAAGTAAATATTTTATTGAATTTTTATATGGCATACCTGTAGCTTTCTCTGTATTCTTTATAATTGTATGGTAGTCTTCATCCTTCTGTTTAGCATCTGTATGTTGATATCTATAGCTACACAATTTGCCTAAAATTATTGTTTTCTTTACTATTCATAAACTAATTCTCTTACTATGTATAAATGAATTATTTAGACACATCTTACAAAATGTTAATTATAATCTTTAGTTTAAATATTTTAAAAGTATACTAACTCGTATTTCTTCTGGAACAATTTATATTTATATTTCTATAGAATTTATTTGTTGAAAATTTCAAAATATTTCTACTAATGGTTAACCGTGTAAGTCGTGAAGTAGGAATCATTATTTTGATTTAATATTCTTCAATTTACTCAAGAATTACTAAAAACCCTTTTATAAAATATTTTTTTCGGCAAACTTCAGCAAACTAACCAAACAAATTTTCACTTATTTTAAAAATATGGAGTGTATTTAAAAATTATTAAAAACAACTCAAAACTCAACACCTGACATGTGATACGAGTTGTCACTCTGTGGTTGTCACACAGTTGTCATGTGTATCGATATAGTATCGATCCTTGTATCGATCATAGGAATGTACAATTTTTTTGGTTTTCGAGTGTTTCGTACCGAACAAGCCTAGAAATTGTAAATAAGGAATATCCCAAAATTTACTGATTTGGTTGCAAAGCTTGATAAAGGCTTTGGGGTAAAGGTGTGGATCTTGTGTGGATCCGGTGGCTGACCTTGAAGCCCATATTTGCTGCATTTGCTCATCGATACTACGCAAGCGCACATCGTCGATGCTGCCAAATTGTAGTTTATTTTCGAATTATTTGCAGTTGAAAAATTTTTTTTTGAGTATATCAATAATAATACAAATTCTATAATTAATTTTATAATTTCAGATTTATCTTGATATCCAAAATTAAGGTAAGAAGGATAATGAAGATTGTGGAATGAAAGTATTATGAATATATAAAATTGTAATAATAATAACATTTATTTATATATTTACATTAGAATTAAAAATTATCATGTACGGATTTTTTCTTAATGGTTTTACACTTATTAGAATTATTTTATTTCTTTCAAGTTATTTAATTTCTAGTTATTTACAGGCAACAATAGTTTTGATTATATACGTATTGATGTTTTGAAATACTACCATGACGAGTCTTATTAAACAATACACGTCAATGGGAGATAGAGGTAACATTTTACCTATAATGTTACTAATATAATATACTTTCATTATAATGTTTGTATCATAATTTCTTAAAAATATCAAGTTAGTGGATTAATAGCAATTTTAGACATATATTTTATAGAAGAGTGTGTTGATAAGACTAAAATAAGCTTTATGTTTTATCTTTTTCTCTTTAGAAGGGAGATGGTTTGTGTCGTAGAATTCATTACAGTATTTAATATCGTGTACTTTGATATTCTTTTCTTAATTTACTGTAATTTCTTGTATCCTATAATGCCAAATCTTGACAATATGGTGAAGGTTGAGTTTTGATCTTAGTTTTATACCTGTGTTTATACAAGACCAACTTAAGATTAGTTTGTGATTTATATTAAGATCTTTCTTATAATATTTGTTATGTCTTAATCTTAATACTATATTATGCTTTGTCTGGAAAATAAATGTTAAAATATCTTAATTTTGCATATCCTATATTCCATCCTTCCATTAGGAAAAATATGGTTTATAAATCATATTATGCTAAGAAAATCACATAAATTAGGTGTAAAAATAGAGATAATCTTAAGGTAGCAGAAAAATTAATGCAATATATGTATAAGCAGAATTAAACAAGGTAACTGTAAATGTTGCTAAAGCTGATTCTACAATTTTAATTACGGAGGCTAAAATGCCTTTTAAGGCCTCCGTAGTTTTGATGGAATGTTAAAAAAACCTATTATGAACATGACATGGAGCTACAGCCAGACAGCATTTAAAAATTAAAAAAAAAAGAAAAAACTTGGACGCATCCCTTTTAATTTCCCGAATTTTTAATAAAGTACTTTTTAAGCGTAGCTTAATAATCTAGAGCAATTAGATTAATTATAGGAATCTAGAGTTTTATTTCTATTTAATTTTATTGACTATGAAAATACATAATAAGCGTTCACGTTTCACGTGTTGTGCGAAATATTAAAATAATAATATAAATAATATACCGCGTACTATGATTGAAAAAAAATAGCGTCAGCGATATGAGATAAATCTCCTCTTTGGTGACTGTGGTTTTGACTGTATATTTTACATCAACACGTAAAAATACTACATATTTTGAGCACAACCCTGCATAGTTGTCACACCGAATCGATATTATTTATCGATCCATCCCTTAAATACTTCCAAGTATGAATTTATATGATGGCCATAGATCAACTATGATGTTCGCAAAAAGCCTTAAAAAAATTAAAAATATAAAATAACCTAGAAAATGGGTACAGTTTTTACCGGGTTTATAGTTGTTTATAGTTTATCAATTTTTTCAATTTATTTAGGAAAGTCTATGTAGGTACCTCGATACGAATATAGAAAAGTTAAACATTTTTTACACAACATAATTACAAGAATTATCAGGTTTATTATATTATTATCATTAGTTAATTATTATCTTAATACTGTGTTTTAGCTTTATTTAGGGCCACTCTCTAGGACTTTATCCGAAATGCATTCAGATAGTGCCTCAATTAATATGTCTCATAATCTTCATGGGACATTTGTTTCAGAGAAAATAAATAAAATACGATGGCGACCAGGGGGAATACAATCTTTGAATTTGTTTGTAACTGGTAGTATTGACAATGAAAAAAATACTATAAAACTGTGGGATTTTTGTGAAAATGATGAAGAGAATGATATTTATCCTTTTACAATATCTTCTTACATGTATGATGGTGATGTTGCAGATATTCAGGTATACAAAAGGTTTTAAGGTTTTTAGTTAAGAGTTGTTTTATTAAATGAAATATAGTATGCATTATATTGACACTTAGTTTCATTTGTAGTTCATAAATCAAGACTATTTTGCATGTGCATCATCATCAGGATCAGTGCACCTAATGAATATTGCAGTCCAGTCTAGTGGTGATATGCTTTTAAATAATTACATGGAGTGGGATAAAATTCATTATTTTAATAATGGGGAAGCTAGTTGTTGTACTGCATTAGCAATATATGAAAATGACCTTGTTAGTGTTGGAGAAGATGGAAGAATAAACGTATTGACAGCTCAGTCAAAAAATGTTATTAGAAGCATAGGTAAATATGTTATAAGAATTTAAAGGCCTTATCCCCAACATAAGGTTTCCTTTTCTAGATGATGCTGATAGTTGTTCATTAGGCTGTGTACTATTTTTAAAGCACAACGAGATATTAACAAGCAATTTACGAGGTCAAATGAAAATATGGGACTTAAGATCGCAAACTAATACTCCAACAAAGACTTTCATGCTTAGTGGAGACCAAGTAACTCCTACGTGCTTGATATTTCATCCAACTCAAAGACATTTAGTTATTGCTGGTAAGAAAATATTTAAGTTGTAATATTAAGCAAGTTTCTCCGGCAGTCTCCTAATATCTTTAAATCATAATACATGATTGTATTACTTGTACTATATTTTAGTTAATACAACTGAATGATTTTAGGAGATGAACTAGGTGCTATTACAACTTGGGATTTAAGACAGAACACTTTCCCAGTAAATGTTCTAAATGCACATGAAGGTTCAATAAATGAAATCCACTTTCATCCTGATCATCCAGATCAGTTATTTAGTTGCTCAAGTGCAGGTGAAATATGGCACTGGTCAACTAAAAATAAACATCAATCTTTCATGGGATTAGAAGATAGTGATGTAAACGTTTGGTTGGCTCCAGATAATGTTAAGAATAAACTAGAAGTATTTACTTTAATGCCCACATTGGGAAAATCAATCAATACTTTAGATTTAAATAAAAATAAAGTAATATGTGGTTGTGCCAACGAGGCAATTTATTTAATTAATGGGATTAATTTGTAACAAAAAATATATATTTTTTAAATAAACAATTTACACTAATTAATACATTTCTTATTAGTACTTTTATAAATTTAAAAGTTTAAGTTGATATTAACTAACTTAGGAAAGACCAGAGATTTAAATATACTGCTTCTATGAAAAACTTTAGGTCTATCAACGTGAGCTACTTTATCCTTAATGTCTGATCTAGACAAGTCTCCACGTAAACTTAACAACCTATATAAGTGGTCTTCAGTTATATCAGGATATTTCTCGACTACTCTGTGAAGATCAAATGATAACATGTCTTCATCACTTTTAACAACTTCAGATAGCATTATAATAACTTCAAAAGGATCTTCATCATTTTCATTGGAACATCTACTTAAATTACTAAATAAATTATTTAACCTTTCAATTTCTCGTACAATTTTCTTAGCTGCTGCAACACAATCCTCCGCTAGTTTAAAGGAAACTTTCTTTGACAACATAGCTACCAAATATCGTTTAGCTACTGTATGCTTTGCTTGATCAACTATAAAATTATAATTAGTATCAACAAGATGGTTGTAATCCTGAAAATAGTCATCTAAAGTGGCATAAATTGTATCAACAGTATCTAATGTTGTAAGCCACTGGCTGTTAAAAAGTTTTTCAAAATGTTGATCTAAGTCTATAAATAATTCTTCCAATAAGAAAGTACCACATTCGTTTCTTAATTGAATGAAAGTACCACGTAGTCTATTAAAATTTTCATTAATATTATGACCAGTTAAAGTGACTGAATATTGCTTTTCTAGTTGTGATCCCATATCAACAAATTGCATACACTGATTAAGTATAATAATCATATATTGAGTGAAATAGGGAACCTGCTTTCGATCCTCAAAATATTTATTTTTAAATTCTATCACAGCATCTCTAAATGAATCCCTAAATTTAATAACTTGTTCAACACTTAAAATTAGAACCTTTAGGGTCATTTCATCGCCAATAGTTTTGGCAACTTCCAAGTTCTGATTGATCATTTGAAATATTATAAGTGGGACAGTTGCCCTTGACTGAATCTCAGACTGAGGAGTTGTACTTGATTTCCATTCTTCTTTTTCAGATTTTAATGTATTCTCCATCCATTCTGAATAGTTCTTCCCAATGTATTTTAAGTAGCTTGATTCTAAATTTCCAATTACTGGTTGTGGTAACAGGGGATCCATTTTTTTGGTAAATTCTATTAAATCAGGATGTCCAAGCATTTCTTTTGAATGATATGTTTTCAACACCCAAGATAATATTGTAACATATTCATTTCCTTCAAGCCCATTTTGAATAATTTCCTGTAAATGACTTGACAATGACTTGTGATACATTTGGAGGTATGTATCAATGATATGATAATCTGGAGGGAAACAAGGGACACAAAGAGATTTAACAACCCTTAAATCTTCAAGAAATAGTTGTCTTATCAGTTCCAAATATCTTATTAGCCATAACTTATTATCATCTCTATCTTCCACCTGAGTGCCTTCAATTCTAGACTCAACAGTTTTCCCCAAAATTTGAAATGCCATCTTCTTCCACCTTTTAGGTCTCCCTGGAGCTAAAAATCCAGTTTGTTTTTCTTGTTTCATTGCTATTTCATCTGATTTTTCCTCTCTTTTAATAATTCTGAGAGCAGTAACAATGACTGCAGGATCTTTTCTTACAGTATTTAACGTTCTTGCTAATACAAAAACCAGCTGTTTTTCTAATAAATTTGACAATTCTTCAACATCAGCAAAATAAGCTTTTAAAAGTGACTTATCATGTGCAGATTGATTTGGTAATTTATGAAGCTCATATAATAAGTCATCCCTAGAATTCTCCAAGTCTCTTAAACACTGATGTGCGTGCAAAAGTTTCCCTTCATTGATCCACTGTTTAGTTTTTTCTACACTTTCAGGTACTGTAAAAATATGTTTCAAGTTCTCCTTTGCTGTTACATATTGTGAATGCTTCATATTCTCATCTCTGACTTCACTTAAAGCATTACATAATTTCGGTACATCACTGAATAGATTAAATGTCTTTTTCACACTGTTATTAATTTCCGTAGATTGTTCTAGACAGTTATGTAGTTGACTTATACCAACTCTAACGCCATCCAATTGCTGTTGCATGGCAGATTTTAAAAGAGCTTCAACGGAAGCCTTTTTACGTGTAAACTGTTGTTTAATTTGGTCAATTTTTTCTAACTGGCCCGGTCTATTAAACATATTTACAATTTTAGAAGTAGCTGACGATTTTGCAACAACTTCCCATTCTCTCATATTTGCTCGACTATCCATTTCGATAATTTAGGAAGTTAAACAAAAGTTACATATACTTATTACGATGTGTTAAAGTATTTAGTGATCTAATCATATAACTTGTTGATGGACTTTTTCGTGTTTTTCTATAAATCACACTATAAACATTTATATTTTCTATTTAACCATTTTTATACCATTTTTCTTTTTGACTTTGACAATATAAACCACAGAATCACATAATATTTATAGTAAAATCATAGAGAAAGTATTTTTATTACCTTTTTTCTATGGGTAAAATGTAAATAAGTTAGATATAAATATCTGTGCCAAAAACAGGGTTGGATGTATCGACAGAGTATCGAAATAATTTTTAAAATTTGTATTTGAATCTATATTTTAAAAAGTGTGGAAATTATGTAAACGTCAAACCAGATATAAACGAATTTGTGGATTTAGTTTTTACCTTAGTTCATTCTATTTCCACAAAGATTTCCGTTAAATAAATGAAAGGAAAATGAAGGACGTTTTTTACGCGATTAAAATATAGACATTTCCTATCTATGCCATAGACTTCAAGTTAGTGATATTATAGTATCTGAATCTATGGACAAAATTAGCCTTGTGTCTTGTGCCACTTCCATATCTCTGGTCTTGTGTCATGTGTCATCTCACATCTGTCATCCTGTAGCCTGTGTTGGATATTGGATGACAGAAATTTTTCAATAATTCCTTTTTAAAACTAAGTCGCGAAAGATGAGTGCTGAAGATAATTCAGAACGCTCTCAAGATAAAGAATTAGCTGACCTTTTGGACAGTGCATTAGAGGATTTCAGTGGTGTATCGTCTAAAGAAAAAGTAGCAACGACTGAACAAAAAAAGGAATCTAATGTAGATTCTGTACCGGAAGAATGGTCTGCAGATTTTGTTCAACAAGCAACCATGCAGTTCGAAGAAACCTTTTTAAATCTTCTTAGCACTGGCGAATCAAATGCACAGGGTAATACAGATTTGATACAAGAAAAATTAAAAGAAATGGCAAATGCTGCTCAACAAGTTCTTACAAATCCTGGAGAAGTGTCTGACCAATCTGTTGACTTTGCCTCAAGCATTTCACAAGCAATAGCCGATTTAAATCAGGACCAAGGAAATCTAAAAGCTCCTTTCAATGAAGATGATTTGCTTAAAATGTTTGGAGGAAGCAGCAGCAGACAAGAAGGGGATATTCTTCCTTTTATGGAGGGTATGATGCAAGGGCTTCTTTCTAAAGAAGTATTGGGACCAAGCCTTCAAGTTTTCGTGGATCAATTGCCAGAGTACTTAGAAAAGAATAAAGACTCTTTAAGCAAAGAAGACATTGAAAGATATCAGAAACAAAAAGAAAGCATGGAACAAATTTTAGAAGAATTAAATAGTGAAAGTGACACAGATAGTAAGGAAGTAAAAAAGAAAAGATTTTCAAAAGTTTTGGCACTTATGCAAAAGCTTCAAGATTATGGTCAACCACCACCTGAGTTAGTAGGTAATTTGGACATGCCATTTTCTTTTGACAGTGCAGGAAATCCAAAAGGTGTCAATAATGTAGAAGGAGCATCTGCTAATCAAGAATGTTGTATAATGTAATTTTTTAAGTTCTGTTTTAAAGGTTGTTGTTTTATGATATAGTTCTTTTTAGTTTAAATCAGGAAGTTGTTAGGTAGCAAAGAAATAATATATGTTATTTAAAAAAAAACTTTTATCAATTTATGAATCAAAAGAGAAGATTCTCGGAGAGGTCATATTTTAAAAAACCGAAGAACAGTATTAAATAGACAGTATTGCTTAATTCAATGGGGTATACTTTTGCCAATTATTATTTTTATTCTACTTATAGTTGTTGAAAAACACCAATATAGATTACTGTTCAGTTAATCATGAGATTATTCCTTTTAAATTTATCATTCTCATTGAGTCCAAAAATTTGTTTGCAGTTTGATAAGAAGTTGATTTTTAGTAAAAAATTGAGAACCTGGTATCACAATTGAGTTTTACAATAAAATTTAGGTATAATATAGGTACATCTCTGTTATACATCTTTGTCAAATTGTCATAGATAAGGAATCCAGATTTTTATTTTTAGAAAGCAGGACACGTGAGAAAAAACGGGACACGGCTTTTTAATATATTTTCAAGGCTAAATGTACTAAATTTTTAAATTATCTAAGTATTACCGGTATTACCATTGTTTATAATTTATAATACTAGGGGGTATACCTACTAGGGGTATACCTACTCAAGTAATTATGAATCATACCAAAAAATATGTTTTATGTTTTTTAAACTTTTGGCTTCCAAGCTAAATTTGAAATAAATTATTCTAAACATTTTCAAATATATAAATAGGAACTTGAATTAAAAAAAAATATGATTTGGTTTTGGACCATTGAAATAATAAATTTAATTGCTAGTTTAAATTTTTATAGATAGCGGCACCCGCGTGAATTTATCCCACGGCACCTCATCTCTGGATAGTAGATTATACAAAAATAAAAAAAAAACATTTCATGATTTCATTGCATAGTTTTGGTCAAAGTTTTGGTTATGGAGGCTAAAGACATTTATTTTAATTTGTTTAAAAGTTAATTAACATTGTTCCAAAATTTATAAATGGCGCTATGACGAAGACAACGAATGGCGACGCATATCCTTGGGCGACGCACTGACGCACAAGGTTAACCAAAGCACACATTTACCAAATAAGGCCAAATATTTTGTGTGATTTATATGCCGTGGTAATGGTGTGGATCCGGTGGCTGACCTTGAAACGAGTTTTTGCTGCATATAGTCACAGACACTACGCATGCGCACATCTTCTATGTTGCCAGATTGTAAGTTATTTTGGAATTGTTTTCAGTAGAAAACAAATATGTGCTTTTCAGTGTTTTTTCACGATCGAAAAAAAAAAATTTCATGATCGAAAAATCGGTGTCCAGTTGGCTGGGAAATGACGATTGAGGACATTTCCCATATAAAATGACAGCAATCTTCATTTCATAGTCATCGCTGACGCTATTTTTTTTCAATCATAGTCCGCGGTATATTATTTTTTATATCAAGGATTTATATTATTATTTTAATATTTCGCACAACACGTGAACGGTTATTATGTATTTTCATAGTCAATAAAATTAAATAGAAGTAAAACTCTAGATTTCTATAATTAATCTAATTGCTCTAGATTATTATGCTACATTTAAAAAGGGCTTTATTAAAAATTCGGGAAATTAAAAGGGATATGTCCAAGTTTTTTCTTTTTTTTTTTAATTTTTAAATGCTGTAGCTCCATGTCATGTACATAATAGGTTTTTTTTAACATCCCATCAAAACTACGGAGGCCTTAAAAGGCCTTTTAGCCTCCGTAATTAAAATTGTAGAATCAGCTTCAGCAACATTAACAGTTACCTTGTTTAATTCTGCTTATACATATATTGCATTAATTTTACTGCTACCTTAAGGTTTCTCTATTCTTACACCTAATTTATGTGATTTTCTTAGCATAATATGATTTATAAACCATATTTTTCCTAATGGAAGGATGGAATAGGATATGCAAAATTAAGATATTTTAACATTTATTTTCCAGACAAAGCATAATATAGTATTAAGATTAAGACATAACAAATATTATAAGAAAGATCTTAATATAAATCACAAACTAAGTCTTAATTTGCTCTTGTATAAACACAGGTATAAAACTAATAAGATCAAAACTCAACCTTCACCATATTGTCAAGATTTGACATTATAGGAAACGAAATTACAGTAAATTAAGAAAATAATATCAAAGTACACGATATTAAATACTGTAATGTATTCTACGACACAAACAATCTCCCTTCTAAAGAGAAAAAGATAAAACATAAAGCTTATTTTAGTCTTATCAACACACTCTTCGATAAAATATATGTCTAAAATTGCTATTAATCCACTGACTTGATATTTTTAAGAAATTATGATACAAACATTATAATGAAAGTATATTATATTAGTAACATTATAGGTAAAATATGTTACCTCTATCTCCCATTGACGTGTATTGTTCTATAAGACTCGTCATGGTTGTATTTCAAAACATCAATACAGATAATCAAAACTATTGTTGCCTGTCTGTAAATAACTAGAAATTAAATAACTTGAAAGAAATAAAACAATTCTAATAAGTTTAAACCCATTAAGAAAAAAATCGTAAATGATAATTTTTAATTTTAATGTAAATATATAAATAAATGTTATTATTATTCAACCACTTCCATATCTCATCTGTGATTATTACAATTTTATATATTCATAATACTTTCATTTCATAATCCTCATTATCCTTCTTACCTTAATTTTGGATATCAAGATAAATCTGAAATTATATAATTAATTATAGAATTTGTATTATTATTGATTAACGCATGATTAACACTAAAAAAAATTTTTCAACTGCAAATAATTCGAAAATAAACTGCAATTTGGCAACATCGACGATGTGCGCTAGCGTAGTATCGATGATCAAATGCAGCAAATATGGGCTTCAAGGTCAGCCACCGGATCCACACCTTTACCAAAAATATATTTATCTATATTAGGTATTGAATGTTTTTCGATTAATGGGACATTTTTTACTTGATGATGAACGTAGTTATTGTCGTTTATTCATGGTATCGATACATTATGGATATCGATATGAGAGAGCATTCTTTGCGTTTGACGTTTTGTTGTTTTATTTTGATTTGTTGTGACAGTTGTGTCAAATGTGACACAAATTAAAAAATTAATAGCATTTTTTATCGAGTATCAAATAGCGTTTTATAATAACAATTTATAAATGTATCATTGATCAAAGATATGTATTCTATATGCTGAAACATTATAAACGTTGAGATGTTGGATTCATCCCCTGAAGAAGAAGATTTTCCAGGGCGGTTGTTACACCAGGTAATAAAATTATTAATATTTAGCTTTTAGGTAATCTTTAACATTAGCTATTCGTTAACGATCTGTTCTGAAGTTTTCATTAATAATTATATTTTATGTATTATGATATATATATATATATATATTTATATATATTGTATTTACTTTTATTTAGGCCGCCCTATGGGACAATACTGAATTATTAGAAGACTTACTTGAAGGTGGACAGCAAACGTTTATTAATTCGCAAGATAGTTGGGGTAGAACACCTTTACATGCAGCTGTGATAACTGAACATTCTAAATGTTTAGAATTGCTGTTAAATGCTGGAGCTGATCCTAATATACCATGTGGACCAAGGGGAGAGGATAAGGCAAAATATATAAGTCATAATTAGTATTAAATATTTATTAATAAAATTATAGACACCCCTTCATTTATGTGCTGAATATGGCTATTATAAAAATAGTGAAATATTAATACAGCATAATGCTGATATTTGGATAAAAGATATGAACAATCTCAATGCACTTGACATATCTGAGAAATCTGGACATATAAAAGTTGTTGAACTACTGAAGCAAGCGGCAGGTATGTTTTATTTAATTTTTTTTTTATAAAAAATTCAAACACTAGTTTACAACTATACACCAAAACCGAGACCAAAACAGTATATTTTAACACTGGACATGATGGTACGCGTATGTTAGTATCTTCAGAAGATTAAAACTTGAAACTAACTAATTTATTAAAACGAAATCACTTCCTGATTTTTTTGGCATTTATTCATTTACGCCATGTATAGTTTAAGTCTTTTATATTATAATATTTGAAATAATTATTTAAACAATTCTTGTTTAATACTATCACATAAAATGAGTTGTAAGAATTCTTTATTGTTTAGTACATTAATAAATATTTATCTCAATGTTATTGGATGTCCTCGCTCTAATGGACCACCCTGTAGGTACAGGGTGGCGCCTCTCATAGGCCGCGGAAGCTCCAAGGAGAATGGTAGTTTATATCGAAATGAAATTTTGGCAGCATAATATGTAGGTTAACTGAAAACATTTTATAAAAATATATAGAATTATACAGGGTGTCCCCAAAAAAAGTTACACATCAAAGTTGTGTTTTTTTTTCTAATGGAACACCCTATATATTAATTGATTTTCGGATTCTAGGAAAAAAATAAAGGTGAGTTTTATTAAAGGATCATATACCTAAAATCTAAAGATTTTGACATATTTCACATTTTGTGAAAATGAAGAGTAAATTTTGTTTCGATAACAGCTGCCTAAATCTTAGTTGACCTTGTATAGCCTGATATACAGTGACCATTGTATGTTAAACCAAATTGAAATTTGACCTGAAAAGTTATACAGGGTGAGACAAAATTAATCTGGAACATTACTCACTTTTAAAAGCAAGTTACTCCTTTATTTTAAATGGAACACCCAGTATATTTTTCCGGTGTTCAATAAGAAATTTATATATCTTTAAAATATTATTAAGGTTGCCAACCCCTCAGACAAAGATTTTCCTAGATATTTTAATTTTTATGATTTTGCATCAGTAGATATTTATTATTTGAAAAAATCTAGGGTGGCTGTGTGATATACCTTTTGTTAATTTAACAAAAATTAAAGATTGTAGAGTAAAATACTCAACAATAATGAAAAAATACACGTTTAAAACATATTTTACTTATTATAGAATTAAAACTAAGGTGCCCGGTGGCGTAGAGGTACAGGCTCTCGTCTACCAATCTCAAGGTGTGGGTTCAATTCACACACCCGGCGTTTCATCAGCCGACTATTTTTATTAAAATAAGAATAGTTTGGGTACCTAGGTCGACTCATCCTTAAATGAGTACTTGGGATTCACAATCTTGAGGTAATAATAGGCGGTTGAAGCGTAGTGCTAGCCACATTACCTTCCTTGTATACCGAACGGCTCTAGTATAGCAAGCTCTACCTTGCTACTCCCAAGGCGTTAAACGCTATATACGGGAGATATTATTATATTATAGAATATTAAAACTAGATATAAACCTATAATTATGTGACAAAAATTAGCTAGATGAAATAATATGCTCAAAATGCCTCATTTCCTATTAACTGCATAAAATGATGTCTTTTCAAAAGGATCTTTTCATTTTAAAAGGAATTTATGTGGAGTGCTACCTCGAAAGCCTTTTTATGTGGAGTGCTACCTCGAAAAGCAGCTACAATAATTTAAACTAGACTAGACCTTATATCCAGACTAGATAAAATCAAGAGCATTTAAGTATTATATTAATTGCAGAATGCACACTGCATTCACCAACTAATAGAATCATATAATTTCTATGTGATGTAGGATAAGTGAGTTTTTTCTGTTTTAAATAGAGAACAACGGCATACGGTCGAGTCGGCCTACAAACACGTAAACGTTTACGTACGCATGCGCATTTCTATTATTTTTTATTTTTTATACATGTAAAAGATTCTTTACGTCTACGTATACGTGCCAGCAGCGGCCGACTCGACCGTATGCCGTTGTTCTCTAATGACACAAAATGATAACTAGTTGTTAAAGTCGGACTAATTAGACAACTACGATGAAGTAACGTCAGACATATCACAACCACCTAGTTTTTATCAAACAATAAAGATCTACTCAGATCAAATCATGTAAATGAAAATATCTAGGAAAATCTTTGTTGAGGGGTAGGCAACCTTAATAGTACTTTGAAGAGACATGAATTCTCTATTGAATATCGGAATAATATACTGGGTGTTCTATTTAAAATAAAAGAGTAACATGCGTTTAAAGGTGACCAATGTACAATATTAATTTTGTCTCACCCTGTGTTACTTTTTGGACCAAGTTTTAATTTGATTTAAAGAACAATAGTTAATTTAACTACATATTAGGCTATACCTATATAAGTTTTATAATTTGAGTTTTTATAAACACCCAAACTGCCCAAACGAAATTTTTCCAGCGATATGACTGAAATTCTTTTATGAATGACGCGGTCATTGGCCAACATAAACTATATCTATCGCACATTAACTCATTATATTTTCTATACGTAGTATACTTTACCTTGTTGGCGTCACGAGCCGCGGCATTTGGAGTTTAATACGTGTAAGACATAGCGGGAACGAATGACAAAATGAAATTTTGACCGGCAGTAGAGAAAATGGTAAAATAAAATGTTTTCAAGCGAAAATTTTCATTTCAAGTTTATAATTTTCGAGAAAATTGAAAGAAATTGTTAAATATATGAATTTTTTGGCAACTTATGATTTTTTTTTAAATTTCTACTATCATCCCCTAGCTTCTAGCCACCCTATCTTGGTTAATTTTGAGTTGAACAAAAAAAGTATAGACATTTTTATGGAAAATTTGACGCTCTATAAATTTGAACTTTTTCTTTCTAATTCTGGTTACTTTCCCAAAACTTAAAAAAACACTTTATAATTTTTCAACCCTTCCCAGGGGAGAATTTAAAAAAATGTGAATTGGAGTTTATAATTTTCGAGAAAATTGAAAGAATTTCAGCAACTCATGATTTTTTTTAACTTCTACTATCATCCCTTAGCTTCTAGTCACCCTATCTCGGTTAATTTTGATTTGAACAAAAAACGTATAGAGATCATTTTTATGTAAAATTTGACGCCCTACAACTCTTTTTTTTCCTAGTCCTTACCATTTCTCCGAAATTACGAAAAAAAAACAAACTTTATTTACGTATTTCATCATTTCACATGATTAATCACGATCCTGCTTAAAGCGCTTGACGTAAAAAGTTGATTTTTGGAAAACGGATTGACTTTAGGGTGTAGAGGTTCGATAAGAAGGGATATTTCGAAACACGAATTCTAAGGAGGTGAAACCACCCCTCAAATATTAGAATATTTTTTTTAAAAACCGGTGAGTTTTTCGGAAAAACTCTTAAACACGTATATTTTATTTTGTTGTTTTACATATTTTAAGATTTTTTAAAAATTTATACAGGGTGTTTCATAAAATTGAGTAATCACGATTGAGACCATTGAGTAATCACGATTCTGCTTAAACTGCTTGACGTTTAAAGCGGATTTTTGGCAAACGGATTGTCTGTGGTGTGTAGAGGTTCGAAAAGGGGGGGTTTCTCAATTGTTTTTTCTCAAGCTGACATAAATGTGAGAAAATTTTATCCAGTTTGTATGTTAATGGAAATTCTTGCTTTGCTTTATCGTCACCATTACAAATGATTAATCCGACGCGAACGAAGTCGCGGGTACACGCTAGTATACATATGTATAAAATCCTTTAAGTGACTGACATACTGATTAATCACGATCCTGCTCAAACCACTCAACGTAAGAAGCTCAATTTTAGCATACAGGTTGATTCTAGGGTGTAGAGGTTCGATAAGAAGGGATTTTTCGAAATTCCAGTTCCAAGAGGGTGAAACCACCCCTCAAATATGACAATATTTTTTATTTAAAAAACGGTCCAGTTTCCGAAAAAACGCTTAAACACATATATTTTATTTTGTTTTTTTTTTATTTTAAGATTTTTTAAAAATGTATACAGGGTGTTTCGAAAAATCTGGTCATTGATTAATCACGATCCTGCTTAAAGCGCTTGACGTAAAAATAAAAAGCTGATTTTTGGAAAACAGATTGACTTTAGGGTGTAGAGGTTCGATAAGAATGAATTTTTCGAAACTCGATTTCTAAGGGGGTGAAACTATCCTTCAAATATTAAAATATTTTTTATTTAAAAACCTGTGAGTTTTTCGGAAAAACTCTTAAACACGTATATTTTATTTTGTTGTTTTACATATTTTAAGATTTTTTATAAATTTATACAGGGTGTTTCATAAAATATGACCATTGAGTAATCACGATTCTGCTTAAACTGCTTGACGTTTAAAGCTGATTTTTGGCAAACGGATTGACTGTGTGGTGTAGAGGTTCGATAAGGAGGGATTTCTCAAATCTGAAATTCCAAGAGGGTGAAAACGCCCCTCAAATATTACAATATTTGTTATTTAAAAAACGGTTAGTCTTTCGGAAAAACGCTTGGACAAGCATAATTTATTTGGTTTTTTACATATTTTGAAATTTTTTAAAAATCATAGAGGTGTTCCAAAAAGTTGGGTAATTTCTTAACCACGATTCTGCTTAAACTGCTTGACTTGACTTGAGCTTATTTTTGGCAAACGGATTTTTCGAAAGTCAAATTCCAACGAGATGAAACTGCCCCTCAAATATTACCAAGTTATATAATAATATCGTCATATTGTTTTTTCTCATGCTGACATAAATTTGAGAAAATTTTATCCAGTTTGTATGATAATGGAAATTCTGACTTTGCTTTATAATCACCATTAGAAATGATTAATTCGACGCGAACGAAGTCGCTGGTACACGCTAGTTATTTATATTATCTATGCCCGCAGACTGTTTGAACACAAAATATTTTGATCACACTCGATGTGAAATTAATCTGTCAAACTTTGTCATAGTTTTTCTAGAACGCCCTGTGTGTACATATTCCAAAACCCGTGTCTCTCTTACTACTTTGTCTTAAATCAAAAGTACGCGACCTGTTAGATAGGCCGTTTCTAGCCTCGTCGGCGTTTTGATAACCTTTAAACCTTTACGCTATGAAATTATTCGAAATGGTTCGTGATAATAGGGCCTTCGTATTGCGTCGTCTCGCTTTCGCGCTAGTTGCATCTCTTGCGCGAGATATCGGCGACAGGAACGAACAATATATCACCGCATCCCATTATATCACCGCAAAAAACAACAAATAATTACTTAATATTTCGACGAAGATGGGCAGCACGTACAAAACCGTGGCCCGCTGCTGTTTTACTCTTGTTCTCCTAGTTATTCTAACCTCCCTAATTATTTTATTATTGAAGAGGAAGTTTAATTTTAACGGCTGGTTTAGTGACACGGAAAACTAAGGACATCCCTACTAGCGTAAGTGATACTTGTGATTATTTTTTTCAAGAATCGTACAAACGCACGAAACCGCTATTAAGTAATTAAACACCTTTATTATGCGTGTCGCCGTGTCGGTGTTTTCATAGTTTAGTCTCCTCACGAAATGGCTACGTCGTCGTCGGTGATCCCTGTATCGATTTTTCGTTTGTATGGGGTTGCAAAACAGCTGTTCAAGTCTGTTTCTTTGAGGGGCGAATTAGTGTACGGAAATCTTTAAAATAAAATGTATTATACATTTTTTTGCGATAGAGAATATATTTTTGTACTTTTGATATAGTAGTGCGTTTTTAAACAAATTGCAATGGCAAAAAGGCTGAAATATCGCGGGCCAGCCGATTTGGCGTTTGAAGCCTGCGAATATTTTTTCGACGATTTTGCTACTTTTAATATTAACGATGGCAAGTAATTTTCAGTATAATAAATAATGCTTTTACATTTAGCTAATTAAATTGCACTATTTATACTTGCATACCACCAGATTATTATATTAACTCGTAATTTAATTATATACATGGTGTCCCAATATTCCGTGGACATAGAACTACTACTAGTGTATTTTTGAAATAAAAATAAGTTCAGTTTGTCCGCTAGAGGGCATCAAACTTGAAAAAAATAAACAGATTTTTTAAAATATTTATTTATTATAATGATATATGGGGTGCCTATGTTTTTCTAAGTGCTTTAATATTAGACTTTCACAAAAATCAAGAAAAACTACGGGAAGGATGAAAATTAACCTATTCCCCTTTCATAAATTTTAGTATAAATATTTTCCAACTCAACCGACGATCGATAATTTTTTCGTAAAATGGTCTCTTGTAAAAAATGCCATATCGCATAGTTTTTGATAAAAACATTTTTGGAGAATTTATTTTTCCAAAGCAGACCTACAACATAGTTCAAAAAAAGTTTCAATATTTTGTGGATGAAGGTGGTCGAAATTGGTCTGTTTTAACAGAGAAAACCTATTTCCAGACTAGATAGAGCAAAACCGACATGTCATGGGCTCGATTTCTGAGAAACGTTTAATGGCCTAAACCGCCTGTTTTCCACTGCCAACAGAGATACAGAGTCTTTTGATTTTTTTACCATTTGGAAAATTGCCCGTAACTTTTGTATTTCCCGGAATAATAAAATTCTCTAAAAACGTTCTTAAGGCACTTTTTTAAGCTCAATCCAGTGGCGTAGTCAGTTTTTTTCTATGCTTTTTTAGTCAGAAATAATAAAAAATATAATTTTTTAAATGGAAATCATAGTTGGCTATGAACTTAAAAAAATGCTGGCGTTTAACCCTTTCCAATGATATAAAGTTATGTGTGTTTATTTGTAAAAATGAGAGAAATATTACGTTTTTTATCTTTGTATCGAAGCGGGCCTTGATTTTGTGTTGACCTATAGTTGCCTAATTATTTTTTATCACAATTTAATATTGTATATCATTATTTATTTGCATAATTAAAGACTTTTGAAAAGGTAAATCAACATTCTATATTATTATCATTTACAATTAATTATTACCATTTACAATTTAAAAGCCAGGGTTACAACTGCACTATTAAATGGAGAATTTAGAGAGAATTGGATTGGAACAAGGGAACCCATATCTTCGCCTGCTAGGTCCTGTGACGTAACTCCTTTCGACTTTTTTTATGGGGGAAATTAAAAGGCATTATATATAAGGGAAGAACCATTGGGACGAGAGAAGAATTACAGAAGGCTACTAGGCAAGCTTTTGGACTTATTACATCAGTTCGCCTAATAAATTGTTGTAACTCTGTGCGCAAAAGATTTTTTTTAAACTATATTCGTCAGTCAAAAAATACTTTTTTTTAGTTTTATTCTTTGTTTATTGTATCGATTTCAATTGTAATTACTAATACTAATATAGAATGTTAATTTACCTTTTCAAAAGGCTTTAATTATGCAGATAAATAATAATATAGAATATTAAATTGTGATAAAAAATAATTAGGCAAGTAGGTCAACACAAAATCAAGGCCCGCTTCGATATAGAGATCAAAAACCTAATATTTCTCTCATTCTTAGAAATATATGTCCATAACTTTAGATCATTGGAAAGGGTAAAACGCCAGCATTTTTTTAAGTTCATAGCCAACTATGATTTCCATTTAAAAAATTATATTTTTATTATTTCTGACAAAAAGAGCAAGCATAGAAAAAAACTGACTACGCCACTGGATTGTGCCTAAAAAAGTGCCTTAATAACGTTTTACAAAATAAAAAAGTTATGGGCAATTTTCAAAATGGTAAAAAATTCAAAAAGACCCCGTATCTCAGTTGGCAGTGAAAGTATCAACAGGCGGTTTACGCTATTAAACCTTTGTCAGAAATCGAGTCCATGACATCTATGTCGGTTTTGCTCTATCTAGTCAGGAAATAGGTTTTCTCTGTTAAAACAGACCAATTTCGACCACCCTGTACGTATTTTTGAATCAAAATAAGTTAATTGCACATAATATACCTTATATAATACAAAAGTGCTTCGTTTGTCCGTTAGAAAGCATCAATAAAAAATAAACCCGAATATTAATTAATTTAACTTTTTTAAATTTTTTAAGCTTTTTATCAGATTTTGTCAAATATAATTTGTGTTACCTTTGGTGGTACTAACATAAAATTCCACATTTTTGCGAACTAGATTATTAGAGCATAATACATTTTATTCGCCTCCATAGCTTGATGTGACAAAAACATTTTTTGGAAGTTAGCTTCGGAAAAATATTTTTTTCCTCATAAAGTATGCACGGTGGCGTTTTTTACAAGAGACAAAAAATGTAGTAAATACTAGTAAGATCATATTACGAAAAAAAATCGTTCGTCGGTTGAGTAGGAAAATATTTATAATAAAATTTATATAGGGGAGTAATTTTCACCCTTCTTGTACTTATTCTTGATTTTTGTGTAAGTCATATATGTTAAAGCACTTACCATAACATAGACCAGTGGCGTAGCACGGTGGGGGCGGTGGGGGCAGACCGCCCCGGGCGGCGACCCTCCAAGTGCCTGCGGGGCGACAAAAAGTTGTTATTAGGGCGGCGGACGGATTCTGTAGGGGCAGCAAACCTCTCTCCTAGAGGCTCTCCGCCCCGGGCGACCCTAACCCACGCTACGCCACTGACATAGACAATCAAATATCATTCAAATCGAGATAACGGTTGTTATAATATCTGAAAAAATGTGTTTATTTTTTTAAAGTTTGATATCCTCTAAGGGACAAACGAAGCACTTTTGTATAGAGATAAATTGTGTCCAATGAATTTATTTTGATTCCAAAAATACGTAGTAGTTCTATGTCCACGGAATATTGGGACACCCTCTGTTAGTTCGATGTCGTGTTTATTTTCTTCGTCTTGTTTTGATTTAGTTACCAATAAATTATCCGCTCACATAAAATTAATTATATGATTGCAGTGTTTTAACATCCAATGTTATTTTCCAGAAAAGTTGTATTTCTGTCATTATACAGAGCACGCTTGGTCATAAATCTTTTAGATCATATTGTACCATATGATAAAAAAACAGTGTCACAGTGGCCTTTGAAATGACAATCGCTGATAATTTCTGCCAGGTTTACCCTAATAAGTTTATTAATTAAAATTGCCATGAAACTTGTCAAAATTAATTTAGTATTTAAATAGGGAAAGTTAAAAAGTGTCCGAACAACGCAAATCATCCACACGTATTATTATCAGTATTATTCACACGCAAATCTATTCTATCTATTCAGTATAAATATATTTTGAAAATCGGTTTGAGCCTGAAAACTATTTACTTTTGACTATTTACTTTTGAATAAATGACTTATGGAAGTAGGTCCGATAAAAATTATCAGCGATTGTGATTCCAAAGACCACTTGGAGGATTACTTTTTTTGGTAGTTGGAAATGTTTCCCATGTAAAGTAGGTATCATACGATAGAAAAAGCTGCCGTCAGAGTTGACGATCGCAGTTATTTTATGTGTATTATTTCTTTATTATTTATTATCGATAAAACGAGCAACGCTGTTGACATATAGAGTCATCACTCCATCACTATAAAACTTTTGACTGTACACGTACCCGCTGTAAAATCCGAATTTGAAAAACTATAGATATTAATCAGTGGATGTTTGCGGTACAATTTTGCACCATTGTAACCTTGAAGATATTTAACTTTGTTATTTTAATTTCTGTTATTTTCACACAGGAGTGGCTGATTAGTGTCGCATTTCGTTTTTTTTTCGTGATTATACCTATTTTACCTTTTATAATACATATTTTAGTCAATTCTTTTTCTATATCTAAAAGGATTAAACGAATATTTTTTGTATACCGGGTAATTTTTCAAATGTGGCTCACAACTTATTTATTTTTTTTAGATAAAAACGAGATTTGGTACGTTAGTATGTGACATAATGAGAAATGATTGACGTATTCAATTAGTTTCAATCGTTTCCTGTTTCACCGGAAATGACTACAGCTTTTGATTTTTAAATGGCACACTCGCTATTTTTTTACTTTATTTGATAGAAAATGGTATTCTGAATAGAATGCCATATCATAAGTCAACTTTTGACATTTTCGATTTAAAAAAAATGGTATATTGAATTTCAATCAGAGTGCCACGGTCATAAGTGTACAGATAATTGGACTTGAAATACCGTATGATCGAATAAAAACGGCGTCAGCGATGGCTATGAAATGAAGATCGCTTTCATTTTGTATGTAAATTTATATAGGAAATGCCATCGATCGTGATTTCCAAGCCAACTGGACGCCGTTTTTATTCGATCATACCGCATTCTGAATAGAATGACATCATTAATATGTTAACTTTTGACATTTTCCCTTAAAAAATAGCATATTAAATTTCAGTCTAAATTACTACGACCATAAATGTAACAACAATTTGACTTGAAATACCAACTAGATATGTAATACTAAATTATTCGTAAAAAATGTTTTTTCCAAATATGCTAATGAGCCATCCTCGTTCCATTTGGTCAGGATAAAGCTCTACGCGCATTGAAGAGGTATCGGCGCGATCGACCGACACGTGATTTTCATTTTACGTTGAAATAAATGTAAGCCCGCGCACTGCATTAGATCGGTGCGCTTCGAGCTATCGTCGGTATCGGCGGTACACTTTTATACGTTGACTTATTTTAGGCATTATTGGTCTTTTATGAAATTGATATATATTATTATATATATTATATTTATATATATTATTTTATTATTTATATATATTTTTATATATATAATATTTATATATATTTATTAGATATATTATTTTAGATGCCAAAGAAAAAATTAGATTGGACATACATGCTGCCATCGGACATGCTTGTTCTCAGGGAGATGTCAATTCTGTACAGCAACTTTTATTGTCTTTACAAAAAGATGCTGAGCTTATCATTAACATGGCACCTAGTGGTGCCAATACATTACTATTTTCGTAAGTAGAACTAAGAGTTTCGAAAATACATTAATAATAAATAATGCAGATAGGTATAGCATATTTACAAATTCTCCTACTCTTTTTACAGAAATGTCTTATTATAGTAGGTAAATCAATCAGTTGTCAGTTAAGCTAAATAAGTAGTTATAATATGTTATATATTATAAATGTCATGTATGACATTTTAAAATGTAGTCTTGAAGTGCAACTAAATTAATTTTTGTATTATACATACATATTTGTAATTAATTATATTTAAATATATTTTTTTATAACTTTTAGAGCCTGTGAAGCTGGTAATAGCCAGATAGTTAAAACCCTACTAGAGTATGGGGCGGATGGTAGATGCCATTCTGTAACAAAGTATTCTCCTTTGTATATAGCGTGTTATCAGGGTCATCGTGATATTGTCGAGATGCTTTTATTGAAATTTCCCGAGCTCGTACAGGTATATTAACAGACTAATTTTATTAGAGTAATGCTTTATAGTTTTTGAAATAATAAATATTGGTGATTTTGTATGAATATTTTTATTGTATTATAGGATTTTCTTTATGAACTGTTTAAATTTGAAAACTAGCGGATTATTTATACAAATCTGTACAGTTAAAAAATCTTAGAAATAAACTTATTAAAATTAAAACTTATAGTCCAGAAGTATTTCAAGAAAGGTCTTAATTAGAACATTTACTTTTTTACTATACAGGTAATTGAGTAAAATTAAGTCAATGATTTTAGCAACACACAGTTGAAAGATGGCTTCCTATTCATGCCGCCTGCATTAACGGTCATGTGCAGGTTTTAGAACTACTGTTCTATTTTCCGTATCCCTCTCACTTGCTTAGAAAATACAGGTATGCAATATATTATATTCTTCACAATGAATGAATGCACGTCAGTTTAATTATAGTCTATTTCTTAAGCTTGATAGCACAGCAAGAAGATTTGAGGCCATAAAACATTATGAACCATAGGCGCTGCAACTTTTACAAATTCCATCAGCCGACTTTTTTTATTTAATAAAATAACTTGTTTTGCTCTTGAATAACTTGTTCTCTTGAGATACGAGCATTGATATCTCGGAAACCGTAATAGATACGTTGGTATGTATACGTAAGATGGTTAAATTGGAGCAAAGTTGCGCCTTGGGATGTTCACCAAGATGCCATCAAAAAAGTTTTAAAAATTTCAAGGATTGCTGAGTTTTTTTGGAAAAAAACAGATTTTTTTGAAAATCATTTATATTTTTCCTGTCGTTACTTTTTAGAAAATTAAAAAACTAATTGCACATTGCAGCAGTCTCTTAGACGGATACTGCTCCCAGGGTCTGGGTGTTCGGGTTGAGGAAGAGAAGACGAATCGTGTGCACAAGTGGTCGATTTATTAATTTGACTCAGATAACAAAGTTTTACTTAATACTAAAAAATTACGTAGTCTAAGTGTCCCTAATCGTGGTCGACACCCGACTGCCGCCTCGACTCCTTTCGTCCGCTCGCCCCCCTCTTCACCGGGCTGGCGACCGCTACCGCCGTCGGCTTCTTTGTCTGGATCCTTCGTAACTATACACTGCCCGCACTAAACAGAACCGTCACATCACCCCCCCTACTTAAATCTAAATACGGAGTATAAACATTTAAGTAGCTGACAAACATAGAAATTACAGCTCATTACCAATAGAACATAATAATATGGTATAAAATTCACAAATAAAATAATCCCAAAGAAAACTGCTTACATAACAAGAACAAATAAGTGTAAATGCAAACCAAATTGCTCAAAAACTAACACTAATAACTAACAAGTTTTTTTTTTGTTTTCCGAAAGAATTAACATTTTTTTTTAACATAATATTAAGATTGCCCTCCTATGCAGTCTTTTTTTTTCTAGTCATTTTTATATTCTTTATACTGTTTTAAATCTCTAACATTTCTTTTCCCTAGAAGTTCCTCACCCTCTTTAGTAGAAATTATATAAGAATTGGGTCCCGCTATTCGAGTAATAATGTACGGTCCCTCATAAAGTAAGATAAATTTCTTAATTATTTTGTTTTCTGCAGATGATTGGGCATGTTTCTTAACCAAAACTAAATCGCCTGGTTTGAAAATAACCGGATTTATTTTTAAATTTTGTTTCGCGATTCGCCGTTCTGCTTTTGACTTTAGATTTTCATAGGCTAGTATCCAATATTTGTTTAAATCTACCGGTGCATTTTCAACTTTAGGATAGCTTATAAATCTTTCAACTACATTCTGACGTGTGCGTCCAAATTGGAGAAATGCTGGTGTATAACCTGTACTTTCATTAATGATATGATTAATACAAAGTTCAACCCAAGATAATTGGTTAGGCCATTTAGTGTGCTGTTCATGACAATACGCCCTTAATAATCGACCTATTTCCTTATTGTATCTTTCTGTAATATTACCCTGCGGAAAATATACTGAAATCTTTTTAACTTTAATATTTGCATTTGTTAATCTTTCATTCCATTGCAAAGAAGAGAACTGAGTACCATTATCGCTTAGAATACATTTGGGTTTCTGAACGTTAGAATATAATCTTCAAAAAGTCGTTTTAGTGTAGCAGATGCGGTAGCTCTCCGCAAAGGATATAATTTTACATATTTACTGAAAGCATCTACGATAACAAATAGCTGGGTCACACCACCCCTTCCTTGTGGCAACGGCCCCATAAAATCTACGCACACTAATTCCCCTGGTTTCTTCGGAACCACCGCTTGAGTCGGACCAAAATTAGTAGGAGAAGTCTTTGATTTCTGACATAATTCACATGCCGCTACTATCTGTCGAACCATTTTACTCATTTTCGGCCAATAAAAATATTTTTGCATGTACCAAAAGGTTTTAGTTTTCCCGAAATGTCGGATATATTCATGCTGTTGCTTAACTAACTCAAAAACTTGAGACTGTGGAACGCAAAGACGATATCCCTTATATCCCAAATCATGATTCTTAAACAAGAGCCCTTCATGTAAAATAAAACACTTTATAACACGTTTCTCCCTTGAATTTAATATTTTTTCATGATTAGTTTCCTCCAGTAATTTAATATTACGTTTAATCCATGGTTCTGCTAATTGATCTAGCCGTAACTTTTTCAGATTTTTCTTCAATTCCGAATAATAGCCCGGTAATTGCATCAACGAAATACTTTTTAGCGATGTATTTTGAACATTAAAAAACTCAGATTTAATATTATTTTTAACCGGATAGCGCGATAGGACATCCGCAGTAATATTATTTGTACCCCTTATATATTGGATTTCAAAATTAAATTCTTGCAGAAATAAAATCCATCGTGTCAAACGTGCCCCTTTCAATCGACAAGTTAACATATATTCTAAAGATTTGTGATCGCTCCTGATGATCAACCTGTGACCTAACAATACAAATCTCCACTGCTTCAAACAGCAGATCAAAGCCCACAATTCTTTTTCCGTTACAGTATAGTTATGCTGGTGAGGTTTTAACGTTTGACTGTGATAAGCGATAACTTGTTTATCATTATCATTAAGTTGATATAAACAACCCCCGATTGCGTAATTCGAACTGTCGCATTCGATATAAAACTCCTTATTTAAGTCACAGTGATATACCATAGTAACCTTTAAATATAACATTTTGATATCCTGAAACGCTTTTTCATGTACTTCGGTCCACTTCCATGTTTGATTTTTTTTAAGTAAATTTAATAACGGTAATGTTAATTCCGAATAGTTATTACAAAATCTTTTATCATAGTTAACTAAACCTAAAAACGCTCTCAATGCTTTAATATTAATCGGTCTTGGAAATTCATTAATAGATTTTACCCTGATTTTATCTATCATAACCCCTTGAGAAGAAATAATATGTCCGAGATAATGCACCTCATTCCGAAAGAATTGACATTTTCGTAGTTTAATTGTCATGCCCACTAATTTTAATTTCCTTAAAACAATATTTAAATGCTGTAAATGTTGGTCAATGCTATCAGAAAATATAACTAAATCATCTACATATACCAGTAAATAATCCGTCACCCCTAATAGTTTGGTCAGACAGCGTATTAAACTCGCCATAGATGTTGATAATCCAAAAGGTACTCTATTAAAAGTATACGATAATCCTTCAAAAATAAACCCTACATATTTCTGATCTTCTTTTTTAATCGGGATCTGCCAATACGATGACGTTAAATCAATGGTACTTAAAACTTGACCTTATTTAAAATTAAATAAAATCTCGTGTGGATTAGGCGGATTTACAAAATCTTTATTCATCTTAGAATTCAAAAAACGTGCATCCAAACAAACTCGAATAGTTTTATCTTTCTTTTTAACTATTACTAAAGGTGACACGTACTCTGTATACTCTGGTTTAATTATACCCATTTCTGTCATCTCGTGTATATATTTTCTTACTTCCGCTTTGTAACATAAAGGAATCGGATATAACTGTGGATTAAAGCATTCCGTATCTTTCATGTTAATATGATGTACATAATTATTAACTAGCCCTGGACTTTCAGAAAATACGTCTTTATATTCGGTTAATATTGCTAAAAGTTTAGATTTATCCCTATCTTTTTCTAAATTTGATTTATTTACTACTAACTCAAGGTCTGTACTATCGTAAACATGCCTTTGTTTTATTTTTCCTTTATCGTCAATAGTACTATTATTCCTAGTTAGTTCAATTTTATTTATAACTAAAGATTCTACCTCGGTATAATCTTGCGGTTTTACAAATTTCACATTATAATTTTCTTTGTCTACTGTAAACTTAAGCATCTTATTTTTAAAATCAAGTTTCGCGGAGAATACTTTCATCCAATCAGATCCGAATAGAATATCTCTATTTAATTTTGGAATTATTAAACACGGAACATCAAACTTAATTTTGTCTAAAATAATTGTTAACAAGACCTGATTTTTAATTCGATATGGCTTCACACCAATCGCAATCATTATCGACCTATTTGTAACCGGTAATATAGGAATATTTTGTTTACTTTTTATTCTTTCATAAAAATCTTGCGAAATTGCCGACACCTCGCTACCACTGTCTAATAAAATTTCAACTTTTTCGTTACAGATATCGCCCTGTATAATAGGTGATTTAAAATCGTTATCTTCCTCACTACTAATTTCACCGTCGGAATCTGCCAATAAATCCTCAGACTTTTCAATAAAATTCGACAACATACAAATATTATCATCGATACGGCCCTGCCTTCCTTCATCGCGCGAATTATTCGGCCTCCTATCACTGTTGTCGCGCCAACGACCGTTATTTCTCGAAAAGTCTCCGCTCCGATCTACGCCGCCGCCTGCGCCGCCGCGTCTAACTTGGCCGTTCACATTCACTTTTTGATCTCGCCGCGCCGCTAGAGACGTGTAGGAAAAATCGCTTTGCCGAGCGTCGGCTTCGTCTAATCTATATAAATAATTTTGAATTTCATCAATAGTTTTAAAACCCAGAGTGATGATGCCCCTCTCTATTTCCGGTGAAAAATGCTTTGATAATTTTTCAATTAAATTATTTTCCTGCATAGGCGTTGATAAAAAACTAGCCTGATTTACCATGTGTAGAAAATAGTCCGCGTGTTTGCCGCCTTCAACTTACCGTAATTCAGTTCGAGGTAAAGCTCTCTTTGTTTATCGACCCCCCAGAACCTATCGCCAAAAGCATTTTCAAAATCATTAAAATTTTTAAATGTATGTTCTCTAAGACTTGCCCAATCAGCTGCAGAGCCTTTCAAACAATTTATAGCTAAGCTAGCTTGTTTTTCTGGAGGTACCCCAGCATCTATGAAAGTTTTCTTGAGTTTTCTTAAGAACACCATAGGGTGAACTTTCCCATTAGGCTGGAAACTCAAATTCGACCCCCCTAATTCTCTCCAGTTTAATATATAAAAATTAAAATTGTTTACATTGTCTGCAGGGGCGTAGATAGGTGTATGCTATGGGGGTGGTACTATGATTAAGTCGCAAAAAAATCACTGTCGGAATTTTTTTGTCGAATTAAAACGACGGCGATTTTTTTGTCTTCAAAAAGATATAAAAACATAACACAAAAATTAAAATATAGATTTGTTAATAACATAAACAAAAATGAAACAACGACGTTTGTTAGTTAATTTTCTATAAACTATAAATAAAAAACTCTAAACTATCAAAAAAAACTATAAAACTATAAACTATAAATAAAACTACAAAACAAAATCAAGTTTTCTAGTACGCTGTTTGGAAAACCTATCAATAACAGCATCAACATTTATTTCAATATCTTTATGGATATTGATTAGAGTTAACCCCACTAATCTGTCCTGGCCAATAAGAACACTTTGTATGCTTTTAATTAGGTCGAACATATTATAAACGATAAATCAACATAATTAAAAGCATACAAAGTGTTTTTATATGTCGGATATTAATTAAAAAAAATCCTTTAATAGTCAATGACTATTTCAATTCTCGTATCTCGTCAAGCGTCAGGGGGGGGGGTACTGTCCCCCAGTACCCCCCCCCCTTATCTACGCCCTTGATTGTCTGTATGCGACTGCATATGAGGTTGTACATCACTTTTTGGTTCATTTTTATTTTCTAATTTTAAAGATAAGTTAGCAACGGTTTCTTGTAATTTTCCAATATCTGAATTAAATTTTAAAAATATTTCTGAAAAATCGGACTGACTATTTTCCTCCTCTGAAACATTGTCCTCAAAATATTTACTGTTCTTTTTCAATTTTCTTTTTGGAGGCATTGTATTTCTTTTTATATAAGATTTACATATATGAAATTAACAATATTGTATTAATATGATATAGGTATATATATATATATATATATATATATATATATATATATATATATATATATATATATATATATATATATATATATATATATATATATATATATATATATATATATATATATATAAAAACCAATAACTTCTTTTATAAAAACACAAATAAAATAATAATATAGTTTTTCCTTTTATGTCTCTATATGTCTCACTTTAGAGAATATTTTTCTTTAGTATAGGTACTCAATGATGTACACTCCCACTATAAGTAAATAAAAAACGATCCTACTTGTTTTTACTGCAACTCCTTCCGGATTTCTTTTTCCAAACTTCTACCTCAAGCCTCTAGTTGAGCGCCAATTTATGCAGCAGTCTCTTAGACGGATACTGCTCCCAGGGTCTGGGTGTTCGGGGTGAGGAAGAGAAGACGAATCATGTGCACAAGTGGTCGATTTATTAATTTGACTCAGATAACAAAGTTTTACTTAATACTAAAAAATTACGTAGTCTAAGTGTCCCTAATCGTGGTCGACACCCGACTGCCGCCTCGACTCCTTTCGTCCGCTCGCCCCCCTCTTCACCGGGCTGGCGACCGCTACTGCCGTCGGCTTACATTTATACACTGCCCGCACTAAACAGAACCGTCACAACATTCTCATAGCCACTTTATCAGGGCTATCTGATAGTATTTTTAGATTTTCAAATTAGTTGATAATTTGTGAGATACAAAAGCCAACTTAATTTTTTTAAATACGGATCTGCATTTTTTATTTCTGATTTTGATATAATTCGGTCTCCTGAGTACAATGATATGCCACAGTTTCATATTTTTTTTTGTTTCGGGCATTCAAACACAATTTATTTAAACTAATTTTAACCCAGGTATAACTAATTCTTAGAATATCTATTAAAATTTCCATTCAAAAATTATAAAATGTTCAGAGAATAGTTATTCCGAATTTATACTTGCTTATATTTTTTTGTTTTTTAAATTATTTAATCTGATTATATTAATCGCAACAATATTGATCAGCACTAATTAACATTGAATAAGGAAAATCGAGCCAATTGAAAGATTCAAACAAATAATATCTAAGTCAGCAATTTTAAAGATATTATTTTTAACTTTTTTTTATTGTGAATTTGAAATCTCAGTCTACGATCTAATAATTTGCATAATATTAATCGTAGTTATTATAAATAAATTAACTTCTACAAACTAATTTCTAATGTTCTACATGTTCAAAAGGGTTACCGCCCTCCCTATTGCACAAATTTATTTTTCGTTCCATTTTATTTATAGCTCTTTGAACTTTCTTTTTCTTATACTTCCGAATGCATTTTGTATTCTTTATTGTAAATGCTGAGATGTGTTGATTTCACATTTACAAATGACATCAACAACTAAATCTTAAAACCCGAATACCCGACACTTCTGCGGTCAGTATCTGAGAATACTATTGTTCTCGGCAAACGTACCGAATGTGTCCATCTACAAAAGTGTTAAGCTGTCTGAATTTCATTGGAACATATACCCTTCAAATGGAATTGGTCCCATCTTTTCATCGCCTTTTGCATTTATAATGAAGGTCTTGTGCTATCAAGCTTTAAGAAATAGACTATAATTTGTAGACCTTAATTTTTGTCACATTTTTTATATTTCTGTCGAAATCACGTATTCTCTAGCTGAACAGACTATGATTGTTTTTTCTTAATGTCTGCTAAGATGCTTATTGCTATACTCAAGACTTTTAATGTTTTAATTGTAGAGATTCTACAGAACAATGGGAATATTTTATGCCTTATGATGTAAACGAACGCGATGCAACTGGCCAAAATATCCTCTATGTTGCTTCACTTTTGGGTAACAAGAAACTGGTTGAAGCTATTTTAAAATTTAAAGTCAAAGCGACCCGTATTATTGAGTCAGCTAGTTCAGTAAGTGGTTTAAGTACAGTGTGCTCAGTGGTGCCAGTACACCAGTAGATATATAAAATTATAAAAATTATGACAACTGAACACTTATTACAAATTCCTATTTGTAGGGTGATGATTTAACCCCGTTGTCTGAACCAATCTTAAGCCCTACGAAAAGACGAATATCTGACGGCATAATGAATATAATGTCAAAACTGCATCTAACTAAAGACAGCTCTCCAGAATCTGAGGTTAGGTATGCATATTTTAGATGTACTTTAATATTTAACTTATTTTAATCTACAGTTTGATGGCAATACAAGAACGATTTGCCCATTGCGTTTTGATATGTATTGTAATAATAACACTGAAACAGCTCTACATGCAGCTATAAAGGGTAAACATTATGACATAACTTTAGCGTTATTAAATGGGGGAGCCAATCCTAATGCTGCAATTAAACCGTATCATGACTTAAATGAGGTAAACTAGTTAAATATAGTACATAAAGTGTTAGATTAAGTAAACATAATATTTATTTAGGATGTAGGTTGTTGTTCAGTCGATGAAGATGTTAATTATACTTCGTCCGGACTTGTTGAAGCCTGCAAAAATCGCGATGTGGCTATAGTTGATTTATTGTTAAAACGTGGTGCTAGAGATGACGAATGCAAAGCATTAAGTGTTGCTGTTGCCAATAAGGATGAAACGCTCATAGCTAAATTGCTGTCTACAAAAGTAAGAACTTTCCCATAATTAACCTAAACCCATATATACCATCTGTTCAAATAAAATATACATTTAGGGCCTATTCTACAATGCAAATATAAATTCTGAATAACTATTCTCTGAACATTTTATACTTTTTGAACGGAAATTTTTATAGATATTCTATGAATTGGTTATATCTGGTATATACTTGCTTTGTAGAACGGGCCCTTAAAGAGGTTAAATTTAATAAATCGAATTTTTCATTATTGTTTATTTTTTTTTCAGTTTCTGTTATTTCTATGGTCGATTGTATTTTTAAATTTTTGTTAACAGATATACAGGGTAACGAAAACTAGAGGAGATATAGAATGTATGGGAGGGGGGTTAATCGCCGCAATCTTACATATCTATTGTGTCCCCCTTTCTTGAGCTATAACTAGTTATAACATTAAAAACCAGCATCTGAGACGGTTTTACAGAGGTTAGTTCTCTATCTCCGAAATCAGTCGTACCAAACTTCATGGCACAAATGGTTATCGTCTCGACGCACTCAGTGATGAGGTGTTTTGGTGTTTCCTCATTTTCCCCACAGAATCTGCATTTGCCGTTGTTTCTTAGCTTCAATCTACTGAGGTGTTCGTTGAGGGGACAGTCTCCTGTTAAAAACCCCGTGACAATCCGAAGATTGTTTTTACTTAATCGAGGCAAATGTGGTTTTTCTCGGTCGTAAGTTCTGAAAAATTTCTTCGAGTATTTTAAACCGTTGAAGGGTTCCCATTACAGGTTGTAGAATAATATTAATAGTTAATAACTTCGACCTTACAGATTTATTGTGTGTTTCCCTTTCTTGAGTTATAACGAGTTATAACTCATCATACTGTCTGAGCGCTTCCACAAAAGCCAGTATCTGTAACTACTACTCAGTAACAAAAGTCAGCTCTCCATCCTCTACATCAGCCGTACCAAAGTTCATGGCACGAATGGTCGTCGTCTCGGCGCACTCAGTGATAAGATGTTCTGCTGTTTCCCCATTTTCCCCACATAATCTGCATTCGCTGTTGTTTCTCAGCTTGAGCTTACTGAGGTGTTCGTTGAGGAGACAGTGTCCTGTTAGAAACCCCGTGACAATCCGAAGATTGTTCTTACTTAAATCGAGGCAAATTTTTGATTTTTCTCGGTCGTAAGTTCTGAGGAACTTTTTCGAGTGTCTTAGATCGTTGGATGACTCCCATTCCAGGTTACGGATGGACTCTTCCAGGTTCTTCAGTTGCGCTTTTAGTTGGTTTCCGCTTGGAAAACGGAATGGTTCTGGTCCAGTTAATGGAGTGTTCGCTTCTTTTCTAGCTAGATCATTTGCTTTTTCATTGCCTTCTATCCCTTGGTGAGCGGCACCCAGAGTAGGATAACTTGGATTTTCTTTGCCTGATTTGTTCAGGTTCTCTAGGGATTCTTGACCAACTTCGAATTGATAGTTACTGAGTTGATCGCGTTTAGTGCTGCTTGACGAGCGGATAAGATGGCTATTTCTTGTTTCCGATAGTTCCTATCTAAGATACGTTGTACGCATCTTTCAATAGCGTATATTTTTGCCTGAAGGACGCTGAAGTAGGTGCCCATTGGTTTGGAGTATTTAAAATATAGAAGATCGGATGAAGAAGGATGGTTAAATTAGGATAAAGTTGTGCATTATAGTGCCTACTAATATGCTGTTTAGAAACATATAAAACGAGTAGTTCCGGTGATATTCGTGAAAACCCGAAAATTAAGGATTTTATTTTTTTTTCTGACGTTATTTGACAAGGTGTCCTAAAACTAAAGCCACATTTTCATTGCCGCTTTTTTTTTCAGCTACACAACAGTGTTTTCAGATTTTTCATCCGACGTTTCTTCTTTCACCATCATCATGAACTTAACTAACCTAACCTAACCATCATCATCAACTTTGTTTTCTAACAATTTATAATAACGTAGTTTATTTACAATTTATTATACAATTTTATAATTTACAATAACATACTATAACTATACTATCTAAAATTAAAAAGAAATATAAATAATAAAACAGTTCTATAATAATAGAATGATATACTAGATAGAGATTCCAGTGGTGGGGGTCGAATTTGAATTACTCTGTATATGCTGCGGCAAAAAATTTGCAACAAATAAAAAAAATATTGAATGAATAACCTATTGTTTTTAGGCCCATCCCGATCCAGAATATAAAATAAATAAGAAGTCCATGACCGAAAACATTAACTCTCATATGACAATATTCTCAACAGTGTCCAGCTTAACATACTCAAATTTATTTCCCAATACACCAACAATGATAAATTGGCACAATCAAAAATGTGGTTTGTCTGAGATAAAAACCCAATGGCTCATAGATGCCGCTCTAAGCTTAAACCAAAAATTAAAACAGAACCCTAAGAGCTACGATATAGCCTTGTTTTCGATTACAAGACTCGACATTTCTAACAATAATATATCGGCTCTGCCATTGGCTGTATTTTCTCTTCAAAGTTTAAAGTATCTAAACGTTTCTCAAAATAAAATCGAAAAACTGCCGCTGCCGGAAGCATCTCCATCTAAAAAGAATTCAAAGAAAAAATCGAACGTGCAAAAAGAACTAAATTATTCTTGCGTCGTATTGGAAGAGCTCTATTTGCAGGATAATAGGATAGATCAAATACCTGAAGCAATTTTTAGATTACCTAACTTGATAACTCTAGTTGTCTCAAACAATAAATTACAATTATTGCCGTTTGAGATGTGGTTAGCTCCGAAATTGAAGGAACTAAATGCTTCATTTAACTTATTGAAAGATCTGCCTAGAGCATCTGTTGACGTAAGTAAACTTTGTAATGATACATATATTATATCTATATTAAGGGCTATTGAAATATGGAACATCGTCCGTTACCTGCTTGAGAAAAGATCGCATCTTTAGTGATAGTAATATCTCATTTTCATATATCATAAAGATTTATAGACAATATTTATTTTTTGCACCTTCTATTCTATTTTTAGCGATCTTGCTAAAAAAATGAAATTTTTTAGACCAAAGAAGATTTAGATAGAATGAGTGTTAGCTCAAGTGATAGCCATCTTTCTAGCTTTGCAGAAGTTGATTCGGAAAATGAAATAACTGAATTTGATAAAATCATTGGTAATGAAGATGCGATTCATGCCGTGAGATATCGCAAGAAAGAAAGGTTTTATTTGTAAGTATTAATACCTCCAAAAAACATGTCATTGTGATTAAGAATACAGAGGTAAAAAAATTACTGCTCACAAAATTGCGTTTATTGTAGCCATAGCGTTTATTATGTTATGTTCTTTAAAATCAAATAAGCTATTGCTATACATTACTAACATCATCATGAGCAATACATTTATTTTTATTAGATTGAATTAAAAAAGCCTCTTTTATTTTTCTTTTAGAGGCTATCGCTTCTTTCATTATAATTTTGGCGTTATTAAAAAATTTATTCTGTACCCTGTGTCTCAGGAATGCTGACAAATCTTAGATTTGTGAAAATCTCCTAAAAAACATTTAAGGGTCTAGATGTTTCACCAATGTAAAATTTTTCGCATTCACAGGGTATTTGGTATATTACATTTTTTGTTTGTTGTTCTGTATTCATTGGTTTAGTATGTGATAAAATGGATCTATTATAAGTGTATTTTGTGTTTTGAAAGATGTTCGTATGTTATATTATTTTTTCCGAAACGCTTCGTATGTATGGAATTGTAAGTTGTATATATTGTGTATTGTTATCATTGTGTCTATGATTTGGGGTTTGTATTTCGTTTAATGTTTTGTCAATAAAATATGGTGGATAGTCGTTTTTTATTAATGTATTTTTTATGTGGTTTATATCTCTATTTAGTGAAATGTCGTCTGTACATATTATTTTTGCCCTATCATATAAACTTTTTATAACACCTTTTTTTACACTTATACTCAGCATTCCTGGGACACAGGGCACAGAATAAATTTTAATAACGCCAAAATTATAATGAAAGAAGCGATAGCCTCTAAAAGGAAAATAAAAGAGGCTTTTTTAATTCAATCTAATAAAAATAAATGTATTGCTCATGCATCTATAGATGTTAGTAATGTATGGTAATCGCTTCTTTGATTTTAAAGAACATAACATAAATAAACATAACATACGTAAAATTTAAAAATAATCATACAGAAAGTTTGGGGCTTTTTGGTTTTACCTTATTAAGTAATTGCTATCAGGTAGTAATTATTAATTTTGAAGTTTAAATATCAAGTTAAAAATGTCATTTTAACAGAACGTCAACGGTTTCTTGTAGACGTATCTGTTTTAAAAAAGAAAACACTTTACGTTCTCGAATAGTTGAATTTAAATATTTTAAATGTTTTTTTTTCTTTATTCTTTGTAATTTTTTTGCTTCCGACGATGGAAAGAGATAACTTTCCGAAACGTTAAGCATTTTTTTTCTTTTTTTTTTGTTAGCCAAATTTGTATTACTGTAAACATAACTTCTGACAAGCAGCGTCCGTTTAGGTTTAACGCAGAAATGTTTACAAAAAATAACTATTTTATTCTGTAGATTTTCTTGCAGTGCAGTGGCGAGATATCCATAAAGGATTTTTTTTGCAGAGTATAATATACTGTGTTACTTTTTCAACATGGCTACAATAGTTAAAAATTATAGTGGTATCTTTAGTGAAACCTAAGACAAGCGTCATTAAGAAACGTTGTTTTAAAAAGCGTTGAGGGAAGTACCTAGTGCATTATTGGGTTTTCTATCATTCTTGTTTAAGGAGATATCTATGTGAGATATTTATAAGATGGTCTTCCATTATCTGCCATTTTCTTTATTTAGCTGGATTTTGTTGTTAGTTTTTGCAGTTATCAATTATCGAGTATTTCAAGGAGTATAGTGTCTTATTTTAGTTACAATTTTCGAGTTTTTTTTCTTATTAATAAAAATAGAACCTTATGGTTTTAACCTGAGCTATTTTTTTTGTAAAACTAAAGATGGTGTAAAGAAAATTAGCGTCCCTAATTTCCATGATACAGGTGCAGTGTTGCCAACTTTCTGAAATAGAATTTCCTACGAAGACGGTCAAAATTTCCCCAAATGTCTTTTCTAAAAATTCTCAAATAGGTCTCTCTCTTCTAAGAGTTCTGAAATCCAATATAGTGTCGTCAACATAATACAGATATTACGTTTTTTAACTGAAAATTTAAAAATTTTCAAAACAAATTTCGAAATATACTTTTCAATTTTTTTTGCGCATGTTCCTTTATCGAAATATACCATCCCTAGAAATATTGGCGTTTATAAGAATAATGTCTGATGCCAACCGAAAATGAGTATTTAGTTGCGGTAATATTAGTTTGAATTTATTCATTTTGTTGAGAAATGCGTATACGATAACTATTCTTTAAGAATAATACATGAGTTTAGAATTTCCCATGAATATGGTGTTTTGAGTTGAAATTTCCCTTTTCCCTCTGGACCTCAAAATTTCCCACAAACCGGCAAATTTCCCACGAGTTGGCATCACTGTACAGGGGGGTAATTTTGGATGTTTTGCAATGTAAGATATTTCTCATATGTCAATAAAATTGTCAAACAACTTTTTACAGTTTCACACACCTGTTATATGTCAGATATCGAAACATCATATAATATATGATGTTTCGATATAAACATCAAAAATGTGAAAACGGATTTTGGTAGAACTTTATACGGGGAATCCAGTGGCCACGGAGAAAATTTTAGTCAAATTTAAAGTATTATATTTTTGTTATTTTTAGCCTTATTTTCCTGATTTTTTTTAGCAAGCTGTATATAATTATATCAATTTTAATTCGTAAACTCTTTTTTTATAAACGTTAGTATTTGGCATATTATACAGAGCTACTTACTACAGAGTTAACACATTAAGTTATTACAGTAAAAGAGGTTCTAAAAAGAACAATGTTCGACTGCAAGGTCTGTTAGTAAATTTTTTTAACCCTAAAATAACACAACACAAATCATTTAAACCAAAAACTCGTAATACAAAACTAAAGTGTCAAAACGAATGATAATATCAGGAAATAAATAGAAAAAATGTGGCAACTTAACATTTTTTACAGCAGAGCTACCACCTGAATCCCCAGAGGGAAATTTAAATTCCAGTTAGTCAACCCGGCGACGAATATGTTGCCATAGTTGGCAACAATGAATTTAAAAATCGCGCCCTCGATTACGTAACTAAAAGTTTAATTGGTATCGAATATAGTTTAATTGGTTAATTGGAAGTAAGCAACTAACTAAGCAAGTGGATTTCGCTAAAAAGTCCTATAAGAATTTGTTTCTATCTTTTGGTTGCGTTGTCAATTGCAAAAGATTTGAGATGCGACGGGTATGTGATTTTGCAACATTTTCTTATTCGCCTTGTATCATGAAAACTAAGGGGGATGAAAAGTTTGCTAGCAGCATCTTTGTTTTCACAAAAAAGTAGCTTATGTTCAAAAAATATCGGATTATTACACCAAATAGCAATGTTAGACAAATTTATTTACTTTTGAACATTTTTATTTTTCTAATTTTTAAGGTAGTGTTAACAGAGAGAATATGCATTCTTTTTTCTTTTCAGACAATTGGATCTAAATCGTCACCATCTTTGGAGTAAAAATGTCGAAGTCACGGAACAAATATTACACAGCGACGAGGCTCTATTCGAAAAATGCTCACAGCTCTCCTCGCTCAACCTGGCTCATAATCTATTTACTAGTATACCGGTGGTTTTACCTTGCTTAGCTGTCAACTTAACCAGACTGAATATGGCTTTTAATACTTTAAGGTCCATGTCGCACATTACCAGTTATCCGAGTTCGTTAAAGCAATTGGACTTGAGTCATAATCAGATTACCGTTTGGCCTAGTCTTCCACAGGTTGAGGCTAAAGATAATATGGAGCTGGCTAATTTGGCCTGTTATATGGATAATACAGCTTTTAGAGGGAAATTGTCGGAAGTTGGAGGTACCATTTTATTTATATTTCTTTCATTCTTGTCTTCTGAAGTCTATCCACTGAGAGAAGATTTCCAAAAGAACGATTTCGACAGACTTAAGTTTTTGCTGTATGTACATATAATCTGAAAATGTCAAATTTTTCTGTTCATTTAATTTAATTTAACTGTCATGTTAGATGTCTTTTGGCGAAATCGTTCTCTTGCTGGACAAACCTTATTTTCTTGTCAATTCAGAAGTTTCTCAGAAAAGCATGTAGGTACACCCCAACAATACATACCGGAAAGCTTTGTGCAAGCGTATTATTGGTTTTGGGTCGGGTATTTTGCGTGCAATCTAAACAAAAAAAAATAACCCCAGAGACTAACCACCGCAATAAAAAAACGCCTATGGTGTGTTTTGATTGCTATTGCCGATAGCTGATAAAAATAAAAACAACTATAAAAAAAATAAAAAATTCTATATTTGTTGAACTCGAACCCGGGACCCCCCGGTCACGAAATGACCGCCTTACAAATGGAGCCACAGCTGCTTTTGTAACCAGACTATAGCTAGGCGTTACTTCGTTCCTCCGCAAAAGTTTTAATGCAAGATTGCTAATTTCCTGTTCAAATTTATTCAGAATTTACTAATGCCATTCGCACGTATTGCGCAAGCGCAAAGTTTTCAGCCTTTGTATTGTTGGGATGTACCTAGATGCTTGTGTCCTCAGTTCCTGCTTTGCTGCAATGAATTTGAGCACCAGTTTGTTTTTATTTTTGGATCTGTCCATGTACCAATTTAACTTGCTTATTGGTTTGCACAGAATGCACAATGATGTAATCAAAGTTCTTTAGGTTTTTTTTTCTCAAGTTTTTTTAGTATAAATGCTTTTTAATGCGCTCTGAAAAAGGTATGAATTTCAGTTAGAAGACATTCTTCAAGATCTGTGCGGCATACAGTCTTGCATTCTGTCTGTGTTCATAGAAGGCATCTAAGATTGGATAACTTAAGGACTCTAATTCTAGCAGACAATCGTCTAAGTAGAATTCAACTTAGTACTGATGACGATGGTGATATTAGCAGTACTGAGGACGATGAAACAGAAAGGGTGAGTTAGGTTTTTTCATTAATTTATTTTAAATCTATTTTATTTTAAAAATATTTTAGAATACCCAAACCCAAAAGGCTAGGTTGATTTTTCCAAATTTATCTATGTTAGATATTAGTAACAATAGTATCAAGGAGATTCCTACTAATATAAATGAGCTGACCAATTTGTCTGTCCTTAATATAAGTGGAAATTTAGGTAAGTTCTAAATTTTTATTATAAATATTTTATTATAAGTCAGTAAGTCCAATGAATAAAGAATAAAAAGGAAGGAAGCTTTCTATATTTCACCTACAGAAGAAACGGGGGACGGAAGTCGCCATATTAGAAAACCTCTGATGACCGTGATGACAGTTGTTGGTTTAAGTCATTGGTCATTTCACGATCGGATCCGACTTTGGCAATTCGGTTTGTTTCGTTTTGACGCCCGGCGTTTTGATTTGTGTTTTATTATACCGTATGATCGAATAAAAACGGCGTCAGCGATGGCTATGAAATGACGATCGATGACATTTCCCATATAATTTTACATATAAAATGATTGCGATCTTCATTTCATAGCAATCGCTAACGCCGTTTTTATTCGATCATACGGTATATATAACCAGTAGGTCTCATGTCAACGAGCGAAACCCTCCCTTTTTTTATTTTGTATTCATTGTACATGTATATACGTATAAATAATGACCCGAAAAGACTGCATTTAAGTATTCTGCCTTTATTTATGTGAATTAATAATAAACGATTAGATTTTTAAAGCATGATTTTATTGCATGTCGCCTTTATGGGGGTCTATTGTCACTATTTTCCCCCATTCAATATTTTATAGTTACCCTCTTACCTTTTACCAATATTCAGAAATCATTCAGCAGTGACAATTGATATTTTAAATAACAGTAAGGTGGAACAACCTAGGCCTGTTCCAAAAACGGAGACAAACCGTTCCAACACAGCAAAGAAAAAAACTATTTAAAAAATCTAGATACAACTATTCGCAAGAACACTGTTGTTTTTAGCAGATATTTTAATTATAAACCGTTGATGTTCTGTTAAAATGACATTACATCAATCATTTTTAAGTGCGGTTTTATGTACATCCGTCTTGCGTCTTTTGTCGTTGATTTTATTGAATTTTATTGATTAATTTCATAAACGACGGATAATACCTCAACACGATTGGTAACGGAACGACGGAACGAGGAACGACGCATGCTGGATGTATATAAACCTACCGTTAAGGTGAGTTTATATGAACCCGTTATGCGTCGTCCGTTGTTTCATCACTCCAATAATATTTAAGTATGAACTGTAATTTTTGAAGTAAACCAATAAAATTGTATTAAATCAACGACGGACGATGCAAGACGGATATGCATCAGACTCACACTTAAGAGTAAAGAGGGGTACTGGCGGCAAACATCCGATTTGTCAGTTCTGATTATAAAAAAATGAAAATATATGACTCAATTTTTGTCTGTCAAGTTATTTTTTAGTCCATAACCTTCGTTTTTGTCTCGTTATAGTGATAGGTAACGACAATGCAAGGGAAAGATCGACTTCTTATTTTTTAACGACATAGTAGTTAAAAGAAAGCGAAATTCAACTGATTATATCATGATATATCAAGTACCTAATATGGAAGCAATATCTAATTGAGTTTGCCCGACCGTTGCGTTAACTTAGTTGAACGTGTGTAGACCGCTTAATATGGAACTTATCGGTTAAACACTTTTGAAGTTTTTTTTTCAATCTAGCTGATGTATTGAATTCTGAAATCTTGATTCAATATAAAAAATATTTTGGATGTCATTTATTTAATTTTTTGTTAATGTACGTGGACGCCTAATTACACAAAGAAATGGACCAACTCTGATTTTCTCCCTATTTAACAATATTCTAATATCAATATTTTGTTTACATTGTACCGTATAATCGACGGCGTCAAAGACGGCTGGGGACTGACAATCGATGATAATTTGGGCGAGGTCAATCTCTAGTCGTCATTTATTAAAAACTGACATAGAACTTGTCAAAGATGAATACTACGTAATATAGAAGCATTAAAAAAGGATAGTACATTTTCGGACACACAAATCTATTTCCAATTTTAGACTACACCATTTAAAATTATTTTTACTCGGTATATAAAATAAATTACAACCTTCTTAAAGCCAACTGGCAGTAAGCGCCATTAAAATATAAAGACGACTACGGGCCAAGTTAATGACATGTACCTCGCCAAAATGATTATCGATTGTCATTTCCCAGCCGTCTTTGATACCGTTCTTTTTTCGATCGTGTTGTATTTACATGTTATCATGTAATCACGGTTTATATACGGGGTGATTTTCAAAAGTGGCTCACCTCTATAAATTTTTTTGTTCATATTGATAAAAAAAGCGAAATTTGGTATGTTAGTATATGGCATAAATTTGGGGATTGATTTACGTATTCAATTAGTTTCAGTCACTTAATGTTTTACCGAAAATAACTACAACTTTTGATTTTTAAAGGGGATCCTCGGTATTTTGTTTTACTTTATTTGACACATATATGTCAACTCATATACATCATATGTCAACTTTTGACATTTTCAATTAAAAAAAATACATTTTAAATTCTAGAGTGCTATGCTCAATCTAGAGTGCTATGACGTATGACAAAACCGCCCTGATTAAAATTTTTAATCAAGGAGCCTTGGAAAAATATATTATTAATGTTTTTCGTGTCTTTTCCTGGCCAGTTAAAATGTGCCAAGGGGTATTGGGGTGCAAGGGGTATTGAGGCGATACATATAGCCTAGCTTACCCAAAAGTCAACCTCACCTTCACGTGGTGCACCCTGTTTACACAAACGAGGCTCTGACGTCCGAGTATAGGCGGTATAACCTATATATATATATATATATCCCTCGGACCCACCATCTTTCTGGGGAAGAGGAGTAGTGAACTGCTCCTAGCCGGCCGAGAACGTAGCACAAGGGAACTATCGTCGCGGTCCTCACTGTGCCATAGCCATCCCGTGCTACAGTTGCAGCCAAAACTGTGCGGCAGCGTAACCGTCACAGTTAAACCTTTTCACGCAGCTTACACACATCAATGATGGAACATTCGAGTGGGACAAAATCATCATCCGGAGGTAAAATACCCCCTCAATCGGATCTCCGGGAGGGGGTGCCTACTCGAGCGTATCATCGGAGAAACAAAAAACATCAATGTTTCACGTTTGCGGCGTGGAACGTCCGCACTCTACTGGACAGGACAAACTCCAATCGACCAGAGAGAAGAACAGCACTGGTCTCACAGGAACTCCACCGGCTAAATATAGATGTTGCCGCTCTTAGCGAAACCCGCTTTGCGGATGAGGGTAGTCTCACTGAGGAGCATTACACCTTCTTTTGGAAGGGTCACCCCGCAACACACAGGAGAATTCATGGCGTAGGCATTGCAATCAAGAACGAAATTGCAACCAAATTAACAGAAGTACCTATTGGTGTCTCCGAACGCCTTATGACCCTAAGGTATCCCATATCAGACAAAACTTACGTCAACATCATTAGTGCCTACGCTCCCACCCTAGACGCTAAAATTGAGGATAAGGATAAATTTTACCAAACTCTACAAAATGCTCTCCAACGAATTCCGAAGAACGAACGAATTATCTTGCTAGGTGACTTTAACGCCCGTGTCGGTAAACAACAGGAAATATGGCCTGACGTATTGGGAAAACATGGTATGGGAAACGTAAATAGCAATGGTGAACGCTTATTAACAACATGCACAGAGTATAATCTTTGCATCACCAATACGTGGTTCATGTTGAAGGACAAGTTTAAAGGTACCTGGAAACATCCCAGATCAGGCCACTGGCATCAATTGGACTACGTAATCGTTCGAAGGACGCATCTAAAAGATGTTAGACTCACAAAAGCCAGAATAGATGCCGAATGCGGCACTGACCACCGGCTTTTAATTTCAAAAATGAAAATCCAGTTAAAACCCAAACATCCACACTGTAAAAAGCAAAACAACATGACCAGATTGAACATACGGGGTCTAGAGAACAACAATACCGCCGACGCCCTCCGGGAAGCCATCAAAGAATCACTTCCACCGATAACTTCAATCTCAATATTGGAAGCTGAACAAGGCTGGACACAATTAAGGGATGCGATTCATAAAACCAGCGAAGCTGTTCTGGGAAAGTCCAACAAAAAGAAACAACCAGACTGGTTTAACGAAAATCAACCTAATATAAGGCTTTGTTGGAACAAAAGTATAGAGCACATCAAGCAGTTACTGCAAATCCACACAACCCAAGGCTGGTAGACAACTTTAAAGCAGCCAACAACACGCTTCGGAGAAAACTACGTCAACTAAAAAGATAACTGGTGGTCACAGAAAGCTAATCAGATTCAAGAGTACGCCACGCATCACGATTACCGTAAATTCTTCGAGGCTGTAAAAAGAAGTGTACGGCCCAACCAAGAAGGCAAGCTGCCCAATCATGGCACAAAATGGCGAACTTCTAAAAGAGGAAGAGCAAATCAGAAACCGCTGGAAAGAGCATTACAGCCATATCCTTAACCAAGAAAATAACCCCAATATGGAAGCGCTAAACACAATACCTCAGTATAACAGCCTCGATGTATTAGATATCCCAATAACAGAACAGGAAATAAAGGCCTCCATAAAACAGCTTAAAAACAACAAATCAGCTGGCTGTGACGCGATTCCGGCGGAAATCTATAAGTGTGCAAGTAAAGAACTTATTGGTCATCTTAAGGCTCTCTTCGATGTCATATGGGAAAGCGGAGAGGTACCTCAGGACTTTTGCAACGCAAATATAGTGAATATATTTAAGAACAAAGGACTGTGGAAACTACCGGGGAATTTCACTCTTGGCTATCGGCGGAAAAATTCTTGCAAAAATTATGTCAAACCGCCTGCACCCACATATAGAAAAAATCCTTCCGGAATCGCAAACGGGTTTTCGCACTAACCGCGGCACCGTCGATTCCATATTTTCCATCCGCCAACTACAGGAAAAAGTAAAAGAACAGCAGTCTAAACTTTATGTTGCCTTCATCGACCTAACAAAAGCCTTCGACTCTGTGAACAGAGATGCACTTTGGGCAATTATGAAAAAGTTCGGAGTACCCAACAAATTTCTTACAGTGTGTAAAAGCCTCCATAACAACAACCAGTCAAGAGTGTCACATCATGGATCACTAAGCGATCCCTTCCTGACAAATACAGGAGTTAGGCAGGGATGTGTCTTAGCGCCTCTCCTATTCAACATATTCATGGCAGCGCTCTCCATTATAGTGGACAGCAAACTGCAGGAGAGAGGATTGGGCATTAGATACAGATATGATGGCGGTCTGTTCAACATAAAAAGACTCAGGGCAAAAACACGTACAAAATTCATCACAGAACTTCAATACGCTGACGATTGCGCTCTAGTTGCAAAAACTGTACAGCAATTACAAGAAATGTTGAACACATATACCTGGGCATACGAGGCTTTGGGCCTTAAGCTAAACATCGACAAAACTAAAATCATGTGCACTCCCCCGGAAGATCACAACAATGCTATAAAAATCGGAGAAGAACTACTGGAATATGTAGCGGAATTCAATTATCTCGGCAGTTTGATTTCGGAAAAGGCCAATATCGACTCTGAAATTCAGCACAGGATTAGCAGCGCTTCAAGAGCATTCTGGAAATTAAAAGACAGGGTTTTTTACAACCATGACCTGAGCACAAAAACGAAACTTGCAGTGTACCGAGCAATAATAATCCCCACTATGTTATATGGGAGCGAAACCTGGGTGCCGTACCGCCGACACATGAACGCATTAAAAAAGCTGCAACAGAGACACCTTAGACAACTCTTAAGAATCAAATGGTTCCATCACGTCTCAAACGTATCGGTTCTTGAAAAAGCTAACTGCGAGAGTATTGAAGTCATGGTTACAAAATCCCGACTAAGATGGGCTGGTCACGTATGCAGAATGCAAGAAAACCGCATACCAAAATCACTGCTTTACGGTGAGCTTGTAGACGGTAAGAGGAGGCCAGGTGGACAACTCAAAAGGTACAAGGACATTTTCCACGAAAACTTAAAGGGGATTAATGTGCAGAATGAGTGGGAAGTAGCAGCTCACAATAGACTCAATGGAGAAGAATTGTAAACTCAGTTAACAGCGAGAACCAAAAAGTTAAGAGGCAACAAAACAATGAGATTTTTGAATGTCCGGAGTGCGGTAGACAAATAACATCACGTATTGGGCTTTTCAGTCACAGAAAGGCTCATGAAAGAAAACGCCTTGCGTGACCATCTTCTGATGCGTGTCAAATACTCGTCAGCGAGTAATGGCAGTATGTAGTAGTATGTAAAATGTGCCCATATCGTATTTTTAATCATAACTCAATTTTTTTCAAATGGAATTAGAGTGGCTCATTAGCATATTTGGAAGAAGTATTTTTTACGAATAATTTAGTATTACATATCTAGTTGGTATTTCAAGTCAAATTGTTGTTACATTTATGGTCGTAGTAATTTAGACTGAAATTTAATATGCTATTTTTTAAGGGAAAATGTCAAAAGTTAACATATTAATGATGTCATTCTATTCAGAATGCCATTTTTTATCAAATATAGTAAAAAAATTCCGAGTACCAAAAATCAAAAGCTGCACACATTTTCAGTGAAACAGGAACCGAACGAACTAATTGAATATGTCATATTTGTAATTATGTCGTATTTAAAAAATTATAAAAGTTATAGGGTTCACCACTTTTGAAAAACACCCGGTATATGTAGGAGTATATTATGCAAAAGGGGTGGCGAAATTTACAAAAAATGTTTCATTTTTTTTATTTAACAGTACCCTAAATCTAGATATTTGTAAAACTTTTAATCATCTGCCAGATAAGGCAGTATTAATAAACATTGTTATCTTTTGATATAAATATCTTATCACTATTATTAGTGATTACGTAATTTTATTTCTTAAAATGTGTTACATGATTTAATAATTTAGAAGAAAATTAAAAGAATATATACAGGGTGGCGCACCTCATTCGCCTCGGTTGATTATACGAAAACGGAAAGATGTAGAAACAAAATGTTTTGTGGGTATATGTAGAGAGGCAATGTGCATAATTTAAAATTATTTTCAAATGTGCAGGATGTGTCAGAACTGAGATCCATACCAAAGTTATATTTTTTCTTATGGAACACACCCAGTATTTTATTTCATTTTTAGATTCTTGGACATAAAATAAGGCATTTATTATAAGGGTTTAATATGTTTAAATGCTTTAGTTTTTGAGTTATTTAAATATATTTAAATATGCATGCTATAATAAAAAGGTTTATCAACACCCTGTACATTACTTTTCAGAGTTAATTCTTGTGCTGACTTTGAAGCCAGAGAAATAAACTTTACTAAAAAATTTGATTGCTTTCTTAAATGTATACAGGTGTATCAAAAATTGCTGGTCTATTTTAAATATTTATTTTACATAAAAACTTCGTTATTTCAAATGCAACACTATGTATTTTTTAAAATAAATCGAAACAGATTTAAATGCTCTTTCAAACTATATTAGGGTTTCCTATACCTATCTGGCTCATATTTTGAATAAAAAGCGATTTTTGAATAAAATGGCAATCAAGATGGCTGGTGTCGCCATGGCAATTTGCTAGTGACAGTAGCTATTTTTAAAATCGACATTAGTTTATGGACTTATTTAAATTTATAACAGTTTACTTTTATTTAATTTACCTACAATAGTTTAGTAAGTAGTAAGTGAGTATTTATTATTTTATCAATAAAAATAAAGTAGTTCTTTGATTTAGATTACGATGACTTGTTGATATATTGGATTTTCTATAAAAGAACCGATTAAGGCAAATTCATTTTCTTCAATTCCAACGACAGGTTTCTGCCTAATAGCTTTTTCATATACCACACTATCAGCTCCGTTAAATAGGAAGAGTAGTTGGATATCTTTGGATATCTTTGAGCATATAGTATTTGGATATCTTTGAGCATAAACCCTTCAGCAGCCAACAAGCAATTGTCCTCACAAAATAAAATCACTAATCCTTCCGCCAGCAGATACTGCTTCATTTTTCTTGATAAAATAATAAATACTTATTTGTTAATTTTATTGTAGGTAAATTAAATAAAAATAACCTGCTATAAATTTAAATAAAGTCCATAAATTAATGTCGATTTTGAAAATAGCTACTAAGTGTCACTAAAAAATTACCATGGCGACACCAGCCATCTTGATAATAATTTTATTGAAAAATTGGTTTTTATTCAAAATCTGAGCCACGTAGGTATAGGAAACCCTAATATAGTTTGAAAGAGCATTTAAATCTGCTTCGATTTGTTTTAAAAAGTATAGGGTGTTGCATTTGAAATAACGAAGGTTTTAAGGAAAATAAATATTTAAAATAGACCAGCAGTTTTTGATACCCCTGTATACATTTAAGGAAGCAATAATTTTTTTAGTAAAGTCTATTCCTCTGGCTTGAAAGTCAGCAGAAAAATTAATTCCGAAAAGTAATGTACAAGGTGTTAACAAACTTTTTTATTATAGCATGCATATTTAAATACCTTTAAATATATCAAAAACCAAACCTTTTAAACATATTAAACCCTTATAATAAATTCCTTATTTTATGTCCAAGACTCCAAAAATGAAATAAAATACCGGGTGTGTGTTGCATAAGAAAAAATATAACTTTGGTATGGATCTTAGTTCTGACACACTCCGTACATTTGAAAATAATTTTAAATTATGCACATTGCCTCTCTACATATACCCATAAAATATTTTGTTTCTACATCTTTCCGTTTTCGTATAATCAAGCGAGGCGAATGAGGTGCGCCACCCTGTATAATCAACTGCATTTTACATATGCACAAAAGTTATTTACGGAATATCGTTTATCATTTCTTAAACTTTGTATATGACCTTATAATGTTTACAGGTGTAAATATTATAATTAAAACGTAGGATGTGAATAAAAGAAATAATGTAATCTCTCTCATTTAATTAATTTGAATACAATACTGGTGGGAAATATAACTAAAACAGAGAAATAATTAAATTTAAATTCTCTATGTGTTGTTTCTTGCTGAATATTAATAGTCAACAGTATCTGCAAAAATAAAATGAAACAACACATTTATTATAAACTTTTTGCAGTAAAAACCATCAAACTTTGATTAAATTACGCGTATATCGATGTAATTTCTCATCTCTTAACGATCTCGTTGCTTTCTAAAAACATTCTGAACTTGAAATTAGCACCGCATTAATAAATAGATCTCGTTTTCTATTTATAGATATCAACGAGCTCCCACCTCAGATGGGATTGCTATCGCGCCTGTGGAATTTAAACACACGTGGTTGCTCGCTACAAGATCCATTGAAATTTATGATCGAAAGTAAAAAATACAAAACGATGGACATTATTGGGTATTTAAAGTCGGTCTTGGAAGATGCCAAGCCCTACGCAAGGATGAAATTGATGATTGTCGGGGTTCAGGGCATCGGAAAAACGAGCTTGTTGGAACAGTTGAGGCAAGAGGGGACGACAAAAAGGCGTCCTGAAGTAAGTGGGGTTATGTTCGGTTATTTACTAATATACATCTTGTGAATGTTTATTTGTGGCTTTGCCCTGAGTGGTTTATCTATGAGTTCAGCGTTTATGTTATTTAAAAAGAGAATAAAGAAATTAACTGAATCAACTAACCTATTTTTTATTTATTTGATTTAATAAAATAGATAGTAATAGATAGATTGTTATTCGCGCTCTTCTACGCGAATTATTGTAGTTAAATCGATTAAAAATTGTTAGTATTTGGGTCGTTAGGGACTACTAGAGCTGCAATTTAAAATTAAATTATTTTCGTAAGGTACAGAGTGTACCAAATAAATAAAAGATATTAAAATTGTATTTTTTAAAGCAGAACACCCTGTGAGTTATTACATTTTTAGTTTCTACGACATAAATAATTGTAGATTGGATTAATGTTTACCACACTTAAATTTTACCGTTTTTGAAACATATACAATTTTGGGAAAATTTAGTACCTTTCACTTTTAATAAGATATTTCTTTAGGCGTATTTAATTTTTTGAACCCAAATAATGCACTAAAGTTGTTTTATTTACTAAATATTGTGCTGCAATAATAAAAGTAATACTTCCATATATAGGGTGTCTAAAATTAATTTTAAATAATTATACTAGCTTAAAACGGCAATAACTTGTTCTTAAATGGTACACTCTGTGTATTTTGTGACAATCAGATGCAAAATTTAATCATCTATAAACTGTAATACACAATATTTAGCCATCTCTTCAAGTTTTTGGAGAAAATGTATAATTTTTATAATTCAGACCATATATTTATCAATATAGCCATGGAATCTTGAAATTTGAATATATTTGAAATTTATTAAAAAAGTTGAATGAAATTATTGGGCAAGCCTACAGTATTGACCATGAGACATGGCTAAAATATGACTACCCGTAGACACTCAGTGTTTCTGCCTTCCGGCTTCATCAATACGGGAGGAATCAGCAACGATGAACTACTAGTAATCCTGAAAAAAGAAAAAGGGAAGCAAACGAGGCACGAGGCACATTTGCAACGTGGATTTGCACAATAATTTCATTCTTCATTTTTTATTACAGTCCCCACTATATCTTTTGTTTTTTGAAATTTATACAGGGTGTCCCAGAAATAAGTGCAAGTATTTTAACTGGCAGTATAGTTCAACCTCAGAAACACGCCTATGAGGTTTTTTTCGCGAAAAAAAAAATTGGAATTTTTTTTAGTTTTTAGTTAAAAAACATAATATCTTGATAATATGGCAACATAGGTGTTAGATTAAATTTACAAAAAAGAAAATCCAGAAAAGATCCAGTGGTTCTCAAAATTTTAGCAAAAATATTTTTTTTTGGAAATTTTCAAAGTAAAATAACTCCGTTATTTTGTACTTATTTGAAAAACGATAAAGAGAAAATATGTTTCTTTTATCGAGGTCTACCACCCCTTAAAATACTTGACTTATTTCTGGGACACCCTGTATATAGTATTTTGACGTAGGAATAAGTATATTGTAATAAATACCGTATGATCGAATAAAAACGGCGTCAGCGATGGCTATGAAATGAAGATCACTGTCATTTTGTATGTAAAATTATATGGAAAATGTCATCTATCGTCATTTCCCAGCCAACTGGACGCCGTTTTTTTTTCGATCATACGGTATTTATAAACCGCGTAGAATAGATTGTTTGAGTTTTGTCATATACAGGGTGTCCCAATATTCCGTGAACATACAACTGGAAAAAAACATATGTAATTTTGGAATCAAAATAAGTTCATTGGACACAATTTACCTCTATACAAAAGTTCTTCGTTTATCCGTTAGAGGGCATCAAACTTTCAAAAATAAACACATTTTTTCAGATATTTTAACAACCGTTATTCCGATTTGAATGAAATTTTGGCTGTCTATGTTTTGCTAAGTGCTTTAACATTTGACTTTCACTAAAATTAAGAAAAAGTACGGCAAGAGTGAAAACTACCCCACCCCTACATAAATTTTAGTGTAAATATTTTCCAACTCCACCGACGAGAGATTTTCTTTTTGTAAAATGATTCTAGTGTTTACTTCATTTTTTGTCACTTGTAAGAATCGCCGCATCGCATAGTTTTTGAAAAAAAAAAGTTGGAGAATTTATTTTTCCAAAGCAGACCTACAAAATATACAGGAAGTTTCAATATTTCGTGGACATAGCAGAACTACGTATTTTTTGAATCAATAAAAAATAAACCCGAACGTTAATTAATTTAAAAATTATTATTTTTTTCAGCTTATTGTCAAATATAATTTGTGGTAGTAACATAAAATTCCATATTTTTGCCAATTACATTATTAGAGCATAATGGCTTTTATGCAACTCCATAGCTTGATGTGACAAAAAACCCTTTTTGGATATCAGCCTCGGAAAAATATTTTTTTTCCTCAAACAGTATGAGCGGTGGTGTTTTTTTTACAAGAGACAAAAAATGTAGTAAATACTAGAAGGGCCATTTTACGAAAAAATATTGGTCGTCGGTTGAGTTGGAAAATATTTATCCTAAAATTTATGAAGGGTGGGGGTAGTTTTCGCCCTTCCCATACTTCTTCTTGATTTTTGTGAAGTCAAATATTAAAGCACTTAGCAAAACATAGAACCCAAAATTTCATTCAAATCGGAATAACGGTTGTTAAAATATCTGAAAAAAATGTGTTTATTTTTTCTTAAGTGTGATGCCCTCTAACGGACAAATGAAGAATTTCTGTATAGAGGTAAATTGTGTCCAATGAACTTATTTTGATTCCAAAAATACGTAGTTTGTTTTATGTCCACGAAATATTGAGACACCCTGTATATGGTAAAAAGTTTATTTCGCTAGAATAGTTTGTTCTGTTCATTTATTCTAATATAATCATTCTAAACTAAAAATACATTTACCTAATTATTCTTCAGTATGAAACGATTGCAGCGATTCTCTTTCCCAAACGAACGCTGAGGTCTTTTTTCTCCGTTATATGGTCTTACTGATATACATAAAAAAATAGGTTCAGCCATCGCTTGACATACAGAAACATTTGTTAATAATACAGGTTCTGTTCAATGAGAGAACGGATGATTTTGACAGACGATGTGCAAAAATTGACAGAAAAATCAATTTACTTTTGAATTAAAATGATAGACAATAACTATCAGTGTCATGAATTATTCTATCGTTGAACAGATTATAGTTATTGCTATGATTACGTCTTTTTACATATGACTTTGTCTTAGATTGATTAGATTTATTTTTAAACGCTCTTTTAATTTTATAAATAGATAATCTAAAATTAAAAAGAAATGTCTCCAATGTAAATTGGATTTAACTTGTGAACAAACTAAACGAATATTAAATTACATTAGCATGTCAGCTTCTTGTGTTATTTTTGCTCTTATAGGTTTTATATGCAGTAGCGGCTCGTGACAATTATTAATGTAATATTTATATAAAAATATATTGCTATGATTATTAGTAAAACAGCAATTTATATCAAAAAATATTTTTAGTCTCTTGTTCAAAATTTTAGTCTGTCCAACGAGTCAGGGAAGAATTCGACAGACGACATCCAAAAAATGACAGTAACAACTGTCACTTTCATGGATTCTCTCATTGAACAGACTATATCTATATTTAATAAAATAGAAAACAAATTTCTTGCAGTATAGGTATATAATAAAATTATATAAGGATTCTTGCCACTTAACTGCTGATATAGAAATTTAATTCTACGCTATGTTTGTCATGATGCGGATCAACCTGCTCTCACTACCGGTTTCGGAGCCCTACTCCATCATCAGGTGAGCCTGGGCAGATCCACAAAATGACAACCACAGCGCAGAGATAGTTAATTCCGACTTGTCGGAAAGTGTCGGTTAGGTATTAAGTCCCGAACGGGAGATAGCGGCCTGCGTGCAATGGTAGTACTCTCGTACCACCGAGGCTCACTATCGATAGTAAAAGGATGGTAAAAGGCTTTTTTTCAGGCAAGCCAAAATTATAAAATAGAAAACAAATTTCTTGCAGTATAGGTATATAATAAAATTATATAAGGATTCTTGCCACTTAACTTATAGAAATTTAATTCTACGCTGTGTTTGTCATGATGCGGACCAACCTGCTCTCACTATCGGTTTCGGAGCCCTACTCCATCATCAGGTGAGCCTGGACAGATCCACAAAATGATAACCACAGCGCAGAGATAGTTAATTCCGACTTGTCGGAAAGTGTCGGTTAGATATTAAGTCCCGAACGAGAGATAGCGGCCTGCGTGCAATGGCAGTACTCTCGTACCACCGAGGCGCAGTATCGATAGCAAAAGGATGGTAAAAGGCTTTTTTTCAGGCAAGCCAAATTATAAAATAGAAACAAATTTCTTGCAGTATAGGTATATAATAAAATTATAATATCTAACCGACACTTTCCGACAAGTCGGAATTAACTAACTCTGCGCTGTGGTTGTCATTTTGTGGATCTGCCCAGGCTCACCTGATGATGCAGTAGGGCTCCGAAACCGGTAGTGAGAGCAGGTTGATCCGCATCATGACAAACACAGCGTAGAATTAAATTTTTATATCAGCAGTTAATTGGCAAGAATCCTTATATAATTTTATTATATACCTATACTGCAAGAAATTTGTTTTCTATTTTATAATTTGGCTTGCCTGAAAAAAAGCCTTTTACCATCCTTTTACTATCGATAGTGCGCCTCGGTGGTACGAGAGTACTGCCATTGCACGCAGGCCGCTATCTCCCGTTCGGGACTTAATATCTAACCGACACTTTCCGACAAGTCGGAATTAACTATCTCTGCGCTGTGGTTGTCATTTTGTGGATCCGAAACCGGTAGTGAGAGCAGGTTGGTCCGCATCATGACAAACACAGCGCAGAATTAAATTTCTATATCAGCAGTTAAGTGGCAAGAATTCTTATATAATTTTATTATATACTTATACTGCAAGAAATTTGTTTTCTATTTTATAATTTGGCTTGCCTGAAAAAAAGCCTTTTACCATCCTTTTACTATCGATAGTGCGCCTCGGTGGTACGAGAGTACTACCATTGCACGCAGGCCGCTATCTCCCGTTCGGGACTTAATATCTAACCGACACTTTCCGACAAGTCGGAATTAACTATCTCTGCGCTGTGGTTGTCATTTTGTGGATCTGCCCAGGCTTACCTGATGATGGAGTAGGGCTCCGAAACCGGTAGTGAGAGCAGGTTGATCCGCATCATGACAAACACAGCGTAGAATTAAATTTCTATATCAGCAGTTAAGTGGCAAGAATCCTTATATAATTTTAATCTATATTTAATATGTTATACTTATTTATAGCATTGGGCAAAGAGAATGGGAAACAAAAATATAAACGTGAAAACATCCAAAGGTACTAATATGTCTACTGTGGGAGTGGATATTGGAGACTGGGTTTACGAGAAAAAAATACGAAATCAGTCTACCTACGGCCCTGTTGTATTCAGAACTTGGGACTTTGGCGGACAAAGGGAGTATGTAAAAACTGTTCCTTTTTAGAAGCATACTTTAATTTTTTTTTATAGATATTATGCCACACATCAATATTTCTTGTCAAAGAGAAGTCTTTACCTGGTAGTTTGGAAAATTACCGACGGCCATAGAGGTATAAACGAGATTTTACAATGGCTCGTTAATATTCAAGCTAGAGCTCCAAACTCGCCAGTGATTATAGTCGGCACTCATTACGATGTCGTGCAAGAATTTAATCCAAACATATCCGAGGATTATCAGCAAATAATCAGAGATAGGTTTATAAATGTCGTCGATGCTGAAAAATGTGGATTGCCTAGAGTTCTCGATACTATTGAAATTAGTTGCAAAACGAAACATAACATTAAATTGTTATGTAATTTAATTTATGATACAGTATTCAGCTTGAAACCCCCAGGTAAGGTAAATGTAAGATGTAATAATTGTATGCTATTTTAATCCCAAACCATTTTTCGATGCACGTCATCAATCATATAGACATTGACACTAAAGTCTATAAACCTGACCAAATGAAATATTGGCAAAAATGTTTAAATTTGTTGTATAATTTGATACCGAGCAGCTCTTTATTTGACTTTATAGAGCAAGTGATTGTAACAGATATTTTATTTAGATTAAAGCTGCAAAAATTAATTTAAACCGAATTTTATTATCGCTATGTTGGTCACATTGCTCCGTTTTCATCAAGGTTATCGTTTATTATTTGACAATTATCCTAATGTCAGTCTATATTTTGTATAATATCGTGTTGTTGTTGAATCTTTGTGGGTAATTCTCATTTTTTGCTTACTTTCATAGTCTTTTAAAAAAACTACTTTAAAAGCACAAACAGTTCTTTTAAAAACTAAATTTTCGAGTTTTTGTGTTGCATTTCTTGAAATTGTATATTGAAAATATGCCGAAGCATTTAAACAGTCGAAGCAAAGAGCTTGTAGCTTCCCTGATAAACTATTTTGAACGAGAACGTGACAATAAATGTCCTTTATTACCCTTAACTGCAGCCAGAGAAGTAAGTTTGATTGATAAGCAGATTACACCATTTCAAAGTTATTTCTACGTTAGTTTTTATTAAATTCTGTGATTATTAGTTTGTGCATTAATAGCACCCTCTTACTTGTTAGTACTATGGCGTTGTAAGATGTACATCAATAAACAAATAGATAACCCATAATAACGCTTAGAATAATCTTCATAATGGACTAGTTTTTGCCAATATGTAATAAGTAAAATAAACTATAAAACATATAAATCAATTAATTACTAAAATATTAGTTATTAAATTAAAAAAAAAGTAAAAATCTTTAAAAAATGATATAATAAATATATTGTTTGTCGCTTTTAAATTAAGATTCATCTCATAAATCCATCACAATCTGGCAACGCTGGAGCCATCGCTTGTCACTCAAAGTTGATCACGTGCATCGGAAATTGTTTTGCGATTACCATATGTTAATTTTCCTATTAAGTCATTGTGGAAACAAAAATGTGTTGTTTTTTATAGTTTTAAAATGATATTACATATTATACTAGCCCTGGTCACTTTATTAACGTGGTCTGTACTGTAATGCATACGACAGAGATAAATATATACGACCAGTTGACAGACAGAGAGACAAAATAAAAAGCGGCATACAGTGTTGTCTGTTCGTACGAGAAATAAAATAATAAACAAAGATAATGTATCTAAGGTATTCAGTAATGCTCATTTCTGTTCGACAGTTGTTTAAGAATCTATTACAGCTGCTGTAAAATGAGTAACTAATTGTGAAAATTAAAGTCCCAACCCTAGACAACATTTTTCGTAAACACCTACTTACTTGTGCAGTTTGAAATTTTGGTGCAAAATCCGGCAAAACCGCATAGAAGAAATGTATCGACCAATAACAAAAGAGAAAACTTTTTAAGAAATCTGTTTTATGTGTATCACTTATCAGTACATTATACGAAACAATAATTATATTTTTTCGTAAAATAAGAAAGTCGATCTAACGACATGAGTAATTTTAATTAATATAAGCGGAATAATATTAGAACATCAGCAATTATTTTTATTAGATTCGCTTTGTTTTATCGTTCATATGAAAAAATGTGATTTAACAGAATCTAAATAGCTAAAAATAAATATTTTTTGAGGTTTTTTATTTATATTTTGGACTAGAGGTAAAATCGAATTATGAATAACATCAAATGTCATGTTATTAACATACAGACCGGACCACCGTAGTAGTAACATAGGCAGAACCGGACGAATTAGCGTATACCCGTCGGCCGGATAGAAAGCAGGCGAAAAAATGCGAAAAAATAAACGCTGTACTTAAACTCCCGTTAAACGGTAGCTTACTAAAATGCCGTTAATAGGTATGACGTCGTTGATGTGACGCACTTGACGGCTTTATGAAATATAGAAATTTTATAAGGACTAACCAACGCTATCGACCCCACCAAATAATCAACTTAACCAACGCAACTAACCTCGACACTGATAAAAAATATAAAAAACAAATATAAATTAGTAAAAATCAACCAACCCCACCAAATAATCAACTAACCAATGAATTAACACCCTCCAAATAACCACGCTAACCAACCCGCCATAACTAACTAAGCCAACCCAAATAAAAAGAGTGAAACCAATGCAATAAGATCACGCTATAAGCAAAAAAAAATATAAAAAAGTCTTGGTCGGCGTGAGATTTGAACCCGGACCATTCGCTTACGAAGCGATAGTTCAAGTTTCAAGTTTCAAAGCATTTATTGAGAATGTCTCCTTAAATACAATAAAAAGGTGCTATATACAATATATACAATAAATAAAATAACATGATAAGATGGTATGTTGTTCTTCTGACGAAGCACTCAACCACCTAAGCGAACCCTGTGAACAGGGGGGCCGGTGTTTGCCCTAGGTAGCTCTTTTATTGACCGGGCGAGGACTGCATGTTCCGCTTTTGCTCACACATGTATTGGGAGTATAGAGGCAATGCCGACGTGTTTTATTTTAATAAATATGTTGGTTACTTAAATCAGATCCGTAGAATCGGAGGAAAAAACTCTTAAAAAAACCTTCGTAATATCTAGTAGATTTTCGGTAATTTTATTGTTTGTATGTTTAGTTGTGATGTAGTAGTCTTCAGTCTATTCTGCAACTGATGTACATATTTTATGTACACGGTTGAGAGTAGTCTGAACTTAGGAGTGATTGATGTTACGTTTTGTGTGTCTTTGTGGTCAGCGTCTATAATTATTTAATTTATGCTCTGAGTCTGAGAACATTACTCACTATATATAGGTAGCCGTGAGTATATCGGCAAATGTTTCATATTTATCACATTGTGCTGCCTTTGTTGCGTTATATTTGATGTTAGGGGCGAATTATAAATTTGCGTCTTGTAAAATTTTTGTCCTATTGTGTCGATAAATTCGTTTATTGTCTCTAATCCAGTATTTTCATGTAAATGTGCTATACGAGTATATCTGTCATATCCGGTGATTTTCCTTAGTGTCTTATTTTGTAACCGTTGTAGTCGCAGTCTTTGTTTATTTGAGATCTTAATCCATACTGGGCATGCGTATGTTAGGGTAGGCCTGAGTATAGTTTTATAAAGCAATATTTTATTATCTACCGTCATATGCGATCTAGGTGACAGTAAAGAATACAATTTCTGTAATGCTGCGTAAGTCTGTTGTATCCTATAGGTCGTATTTGATACGAATGACAGCCGCTTGTCAATTTTAATACCAAGATACTTGACACAGGATTTTGGCTGAATAGCTGTACCATCAATTTTTAATGGTTCATGGACAGTTACGTTACTAATTTTCTGTGTAAGAAGTAATTGTTCCGTTTTTGTAGAATTGATCTTTATTTTCCACTTTTCGAAATAAGGCAATAGTCTCAATAGGTGATACTTCAGTTGTTTATTGGCAATATTCACGTAGTAAGAGGAAGCATATAAAACAGTGTCATCCGCGTATTGTCCAAAGTTTGTATTTGGATATCGAGGAATGTCAGCGGTATATAAAGAGTATAGTAGTGGTGCGATTACTGTGCCCTGTGTGGGACACCAGCGCGTATAAGTTTTTGAGAAGACAGAGAATTGCCCACCCTCACTCGGAAGTAACGACCTTGGAGATAGGATTTTATTAGATTTACAATATGTAGGGGATAATTATGTATAAAGAGGAGCTTGTAAAGAAGACCTTCATGCCAGACAGCATCGAAGGCCTTCTCCACATCCAGAAATAAGGCTAGAGTAGACTGCTGTCGCTGGAATCCCGTCTGTGCATCGTGTATCATTCTTGCAGCAAGTAGAGTGGTGTTGTGTCCGCGTCTGAAACCGAATTGTTCACTAGGCAATGTTTTGTTATTTTCTGCGTGTTTTGTTAGTTGGTGTAATATAAGTTTTTCAGATACTTTTGCCATTGTATTCAATAATGCTATAGGCCTGTAGCTTCCTGGTTTCGTTGCATCTTTTCCTACTTTATATATTGGTATTACTATTGCTTCTTTCCAGGCAATTGGAAAGTATTGGATTCGGACAATCGCATTAATCAAATACAGCAACTGCACTTGTGCTTTTCTCGGCAATTTTTTAAGAAGTAGGTAGCTAATACCATCTGGACCAGGCGCTTTATTGTTTGAAAAGCTCCTGATTGCCATTTTTAAGTTTTTATGTGATATATATGTGTCGCGTTTTGCTTGTTCATCCATTTCCGATCTAGGTAGATTAGTAATGCATTCATCAATATCTCGCTGTTCGTTAGTTGTACTTGGTCGTGGAGTGTGAACTGTTGCAAACTGCTTAGCGAACATCTCGGATTTCTGTTTGTCGTCAAAAGCTTCTATGTTATTGTCTTCCAATGTCGGAATAGTCCGAAATGTTTTAGTCAGTATTTTTGTCATTTTCCATAGAGAGTTGTCTCTTATATTTAGGCCTTGTAATTTAGTTTGCCAGATATTATTTTTGTGTTGAGCTATTTTTAGAGTAATCTGTCCGGACAATAGATTGAATTGCTCTCTATCTTGTGGTCGTCTATGTCTTTGCCATATTTTTCTTAGGTTGTTCCGCGCTTTGATTAGGTCCGTTATTTCTTCAGGTAAGACGTCTTCTCTAGGCCTGATACGCACTTTCTTACCAATGACAGCTCGAGCGTTTTGAATTAAGTCAGTAAAACGCTCCACCTCTCTATTGATGTCCTGTGCTGTGCTTATATTATTGTTTATTTGAAGATTTTGATTGATAAGATTTTTATATTGATCCCAGTTGGCATTATTGTATGTCCATGCTAGGTTGGTATAGTTTTGTGTGTTAATATTACTTGATATTGAGAAAAATACCGGAAGATGATCGGAGTTAAGTTCATTTTTTGTGGATAGTTGGATATATTGAGTAATATTTTTATTTAATACTATATCTATATACGTTGGGGTCATGCCATTGAGGGGTATATGGGTGGGAGTAGAGGTGTGTAAGAGCGCAACATTATTGTTAAGCGTATATGTATATAGGTTTAGTCCACTAGTGTTATTTACGTGATTTTTCCAGGCTATGTGTCGCGCATTTAAATCACCCATTAATAATACTCGAGGGAAAGGAGAAATAAGATTGTCTAAGTCATTGTGAGTCAGTGTGTTGGATGGAGGGTTATAGCATGCAACAATATGAGTATCATCACTTAATTTGATAATGATGTGTTCTACGGAACTTTGTAAGTTAATGTTTAATAGCTTATGTGGTATACGTGCTCTTACTAATATTGCTACACCTCCTCCGCGTCTTTGTGTCCTGTCCTGTCGGTGGACACTAAAATGTCTAATTTTTATACGGTCTATGTCAGTAAGTTTAGTCTCACTTATGCACATGATATCAACTTTGTATATTGATAAGAAGTGTATAAGCTCGGACATTTTATGTCTTAGTCCATTGGCGTTCCACAGTACAATGTTCAGTTTAGTCATTATTTGTCAGGTGTAAAATTTAGTCTTGTTGGCGTATTATGTTGTATTTAGTGACTTGGTTTTGTTCAAAGCCAAGCATAACCCTAATCACTTCCATACCCGTGTGAGCATTTTTTAGGAGTTCCTTCAGCGATGCCAAAGCTCGACTTAACTCAGTAAAATTAATCATACGATTTATTTCTTCAGCATCTCGAATGACATCGCTGTAGGAATTCATAAAATTGTCGGCGTTAAACATACCTTCCTCTCGGTCTGTTTTCGCGTAGTTTGATCTAGGTGGTTGGGTGCTACGTTGTTGTGTAACCGTTGCTGCCTCTTGTTCTTTTCTTCTGTTTCTTTCTTCCCAGGCGTTGACTGTCGGTGGTGGTGCTGAACGGTATGTCTGTTTTTGGGGCCCTGATGTTGCAGATTTTCTGTGTTCTAAGCTTTGTAGTTTTTCCTTATATACCGGACATTCCGGGTTGGCTGCTGTATGATCTCCATTGCAGTTTGCACATTTAGCTGGTTGGTCTAGGGGTTTTGTACAGTTGTAGCTATAGTGGTTTTCGGCACATTTCACACATTTTGGGGCTCTTCTACAGTTGTTGGTTGTATGTCCCCAAACTTGACATCTTCGACATTGTATGATTATTCTATCGTTTTTGCGACGTTCCCAGTATACTCTAGTGTATTCGATAACGCTTGCTTTTTCGTTTAGTACTTTTAGCAAGACGTTTTTATTTGTGGTAACCATAAATAGCGGGTAGTTTTCGTTCTTCGTTTTCATTTTATAGACTTCGTTGATTGGTATTTTTAATTCATCTTTTAAGGTTGCTTTGATATTTTCCGTGATAGTATCTTTGTGGAGTCCGCGTAGTACAAAGGCGTGTGAGGCGTTGTCTCTTGGTGTATATGTGTGAAATTCTATTCCTGAATTATCATTCTCTAAGTATTTCTTCAGATTGTCATAGTCTTGGATATTGTTGGTTTGAATGACTGTAGTATTTATATTATACTTCAATGAAAATTCTGCTTTGATGTGTTCTTTGAACTTCTGGATACATGTTTTGTGATCATTGATTGTTCCTTGGAGTACAATTGGGGGAGGTTTTCTCTTTTTCGAGGTTTTGATGTTCTCAAAATTTTTCTTAAACGTACTTTTTGATTTTCGTTTTATTTCGGTTTCGGTGTCTGTTTCCGAATCTGTCGAAGATAGATTTTCGTCATTATTTAGTCTACTAAATTTGTTTGCCGTGGCTGTTTCTGGCGTTCGTTTTCTTTTATTTATTAATGCAGACAGTGGTACTGTGATTTTTGGACTCACAAATAGATCAGAGCTTACTGAAGCAGTGTCCATTTCTCTCGTGGTAGTCTCTTCGTGTTTCCCCTTGGTTATTTGGGAGGTGGATGTTTTTGGCTCAGTATCGGAGATGCCATGCAATTTTTCTAGGTGCTGCTCGATTTCTTTGAGGGTTACACTAATTGCCTCAGTATCAACCTTTTTTGACGTGGCGTTCTTTGTGATTGTCAGTACACTTCTAGCGCAATGTTGACAATTGCGGGTTTTGATGTTGGTTTGCAAGAGTTTTACAAGCTTATTTGCCCTTTTCACTATTTTGCTGGTTGTGTCCTGGGTTGGTGCCGAAGATCCCTTGGTGTTAATATTATGGTCGAGGGTCATCCCCCCGATCCAGGAAACATTTGAGTTAGATTCAGATGAATCTATTTTGAATTGTTATAAAAACAAATGCAGTAAAAAATAAATATTTCTTTATCTTCGCGCCGCGCGAGGTAGATAAATAAATCGGTGCAAAAAACACTCGCAAGTGGCCCTGAACACTGCGTCCGCACGGTACCGCAGCTAGTAGGCGACTCACGAAGCGATAGCCTCAGCCACTGACCCACAGGTGCTCTTGCAGAAAGCTTAAGGCTAGGCATTACTTTCCGCCGACATGAACGACGTCACAATATCTATTAACGGCATAGTAGCCTACCGTTTAACGGCTGTTTAAGTACATCGTAAAATAAAAATAGGTAGATATGTAATAAGAATGTTACAGAATTTGTATTTATTCGTGTTTTAATAGCCAAAACGAATACATAGATTCCCGCTACAGCTCTCGTGTAAAATTTATTTTTTTTAGTAAAATAATGGATGTTTACGAAGTTCGTGAGAAAATTCAAATTGTAAATTGTAAAATGGTATTTCCAAAATAGGTCTTATCGGGATATACCTTTGAATAAGACGACTAAGGAAGGGGGATATCAAAAATCTTAGGTCCACCGCGATGGGCCTCAAATATGGCCGACTTAAATTCCGGTTTATCAGTGCCGTTCCAATTTTATTTAAAAAATGCAAAACTATGATGTCGGGGGTAGACGTGGGGTAGAGTCAATAATTTTTTTTATTTTACGTTGTGAATAAATGTTGGTTGTTATTAAAATTGTTATAAAAATATAAAATTCTAATGAAAATAGATAAGTTATAATAATTATTTATAACCATAAACATCCGATATGCTACTGAAGCAGGTAAGTCAAATTGACGTATCTAAATTCTTTGGCATCTAATCTTTGACAAGTAGTAAATAAAAGCAAAAATGCAAGAAAAAATATATAATTAGTTAATTTAAGTGAATTTCATAAATGATCGGTTTACTACACGTATGTATATTATATAGTCACTTACTAGCAAAAAGTTGTTCCATTATTTCACTGGATTTTTGCCGAGATCTACCGCACGCTACACAACCAACTATTTTAGAGTCTTTTTCGATAGATCGCGATAGTGTCACTGTTAATTTAAGTTCTGCCACAATTTCCATCTAGATTTACTACCTTTATACAACTATCAGTAGTAGAATAAATAATAAATAACATAAAATAAGCTCCGTAAAAACTGACAAATCCACAACATTTCAAATCAAATTCAAATGTGTCAAATGAATCGTCAAACAGAACTGTCAAGGATTGCCACCCTAGAGTCCTTTTTCCGCCCACCATGCATGAATACATGGATAGCATTATGCTCCTTCCTTAGTCTTCTTATTCAAAGGGATATATAAACAGTTTTTCCACAAACTTTTGTAAACAGGCCAATTTCATCTTTACCTACTATATCAAGAGTTATTAATAATTTTGAAACACATGGGTGCGTGTCCGCACAAAAACACAAAATGCCTGATGTGTTGATTAATGAAGAACAGGAGTTAAAGCAAGTGTTTCGGGTGGTTTTGTAGGGGAGCATATGATTGGTCCATTTTTTATAAAGGGTAATTTAACTGTTGCAAAGTATTTGGACTTGTTACAGCAGCAGATTGTCGCTAGAATTCGTGAGTTATTGGGAGAAAGATTCCACAATGTCTGGTTTCAACAAGATGGTTGCCCTGCCCACAATACCCGTATTGTTCAAGAATATTTGAACAATACTTTTCCCAACCGTTTAATTAGTGAACATGGAACTATTTTATGGCCCGCTACATCACCAGATCTTTCTCCCAATGATTTCTTTTTGTAGGGTTATGTAAAATTCAAAGTGTATGGTCATAATAGGGCTAATAATCTGGATGAGCTTCAAGTAAAAATATGAGAGCCTTTCCAAACTATTAGCCCTAATATGTTAGCCAATGTCAGACGGGGATTTTACGACCGCCTAGGCTTCTGTCTAGCACAAGAAGGTGGTCTTTTTGAACACTTGTTATCACTTTTTTTTATTTAGAGTAATATTTTTTTCTCGGGTTTAGAGAATTTATTTATTTTTAATTTTGGCTTGTAAACACACTCAAATAATAAATATTTAAGTATTTTTATTTTAAATGTTACCTTAAGTGAAGGTAAACACTTAAAATGAAAATAATAAATACTCGGCACTCCTCGCGTCGTATCCCTAGTGTCACGACCGACCCGCCCAAGCACAACTGCAACTGCGTACTGCCTGACCAGCCGACTAGCCGGCAGTGAATCTCTAGTACGAACCCAAATCGGGTAAACGTAAATTCGTCCGGCAGCTTGCTATGTTACTAGTAGCCTGGTCTTCTCTGTATATCAGAATGTTTTATTTTGGTATTGCACATTCTGCTATTTTTTGGTAATCTTTTTTGTCAGTGTGTCTTTATTAACTAGTTCAAAATTTCAAATTGCTGTGAATTATTTGTGATTTTATCAGAGTAAGTGCTCTTCTAGTGAGTAAAACTTAAATCATTGGATTGAGTGAAATTAGATAATACCGTATGATCGAAAAAAAAACGGCTTCCATTGGAAATGACGATCGATTACATTTTCCATATAATTTTACATATGAAATGACAGCGATCTTCATTTCATAGCCATCGCTGACGCCGTTTTTTTTTTCGTATAGTACTATTCATAACAAACTATCAATGAGAAATACATTTTTTAGGAAGTAAGGAACTGCTGTTAGAACAAAAGGTACCTGCGACATATTTAGCTCTAGAAGACGTTGTTAATTATATAGCAGCAGAAAGAAGAATAAATGGTTTAGATCCAGTGTTGACGTCTGAGCAGTATAAATCTATGGTGATAGCAGAAATGCAACAAAGATATAACAAAACATTCAGAGATTGGGCAGAACTACACCAAGCTACTCTTTTTTTGCATGACAATGGTAAGTTTATTATAATTATATTGCTTATTTTATGTCCACCAATAGGTTGTGGAATTATATAAAAAATTCGAATAAAAAGTTTCTGAAATATCTGGCTTTTCTACTTATCTAAAAATCATTACACTGAAAGATACATTTTCCAAGCCTACTATTTTTGTCTACATTCTAGGAGTACTACTTCATTATGATGACGCTACTTTGAAGGATCTTTATTTTCTTGATCCGCAGTGGTTGTGCGATATGTTAGCTCACGTAGTGACAATTCGAGAAATAAATCCTTTTGCAAGAACTGGCGTCATGAAGTTAGACGATCTCAAACACGTTTTTAAAGCTAGTAATATTGGTCCTATCGATACGAGGGGCTACGTCGTCAATCTTCTGAATAAATTTGAGGTGGCACTAACGTGGGATTCCCGAACACTGCTAATACCTTCACTGCTTCCCTCAGAAGAAGACATGATACTTGCTCAAATGTATCCTGGGCAAGCTGTGCAACCTATGGTTAAAGTAAAGGTACTGTAATAATGTTATTATTGAAAATGGATTAGAACTTTATTTGGGCGTCTCTTAAATAAATGCAAGTATTTTAACTGGTAGTATCTCCTCCCCCGAAATACGCTATTGAAGTTTATTTTGCAAAGTGCATTAAAAATTATACGTTTTGTTGGTATTTTTATTGCAATTTAAAAAAATAGTGCTGAAGGTTGGTAAATAACTCCGTTATTCTCATTTCATTTTAAATAAAAATGACAAATAAAAAATGTTTCTTTTTTCCAAATTTATCACCCCTTAAAATATTTGCACTTATTTAAGATACAGGGTGGTCCGAACTGTGTTCCGGAAACTTTAACAGCATATTCTGCAAATAAAAGTAAATGATGAGTAAAAATGTATGTCCTAAAATAGCTTAGTTTCGGAGACACAGGGTGTAGAAGTTTCATTTTTATTTCGATTTTTTCCGAATAATTTTTGAAGTAACGTCAATATTTGGATGAAAATTGGGGTCTGGGAATTTTTTAACATGAGAAATTTGATTTTGATGTCAATATGACTCCTATTTGTAGGGGGCGCCACCTACATGTGTTTTAACTGTTTTGAAGAGTAATAACTTTTTGTCCGTATCTGTATAAAGTGAAAAAATATACATTTCCGTTTTTTTTACGTAAAAAATGTCTCTTGGTAAAAATCGCTATGAGTAACCGTTCTCAAGATATTTAGAATGGAAATTGTGAATACATGTCATTATTGACAAAAAATAAACACGTTGAGTAGATAGTTATTTGACTGAAATAATAAATTCCGCAAATTTTTATTTTTTTAAATTAATCAAGTTTTTCTGCGAAGAAATGACGATAAAATAGTTTCTGTCGAACTTTTGGCAGAAAAATATTTCGAATTAATGATTTCATTCTAATAACTATTTAGTCAACATGTTTAATTTATGTCAATGATGACAGGTATTGATAATTTCGATTACAAATATCTCGAGAACCATTACTCGTAGCGATTTTTTCCAAGAGACCTGGTTTTACGTAAAAAATGTCGTAAATGTATATTTTTTTACTCAGTACATGGTTTTATACAGGTACGGACTAAAAGTGATTACTCTTCGAACCAGTTAAAAAATATGTAGGTGGCGCCCTCTAAAAGTAAGTAGGAGTCATATTGACATCAAAATCATGTGATCATGTCAATTTCTCATGTCAAAAAACTCCCAGACATCAATTTTCCTCCAAATATTTACGTTTCTTCATAAATCATTTATAAAAAATCGAAATAAAAATGACACTACACTCTGTATCTCCGAAACTAAGCATTTAAGTACATACATTTATATGAACTTTTTTACTTATTTTTTTCTGCAAAATATGCTGCTGATGTTTCCGGAATACAGTTCAGACCACACTGTATAGTCTTGGAGAACTAAATATTTTTTTCTTAAGGTTCCTTTAAGATCTAGAGGATGGGCTGTAAGAAATAAAAAATTAACTGTTTCCCCTAAATCAGTACTGTATAAAGAAGGGGGCCCACAAGAGTTTCAAATGTCCATGCCAAGTAGTTCAAATAAATCTATAGGTACATGGATTATTATTTCTGCCACCTGATAAATTAATTTAACTGTTCTTGTAGCAGAACCAATTGAAGAAATCTTTTATGAAGTTTCGTCTAGACAGTCAGATAAATCAATGACAAGATTGTTGCTAATGTCTTATTTTCCCTCCGGATTTTGGTCGCGTCTGGTGTCTAGAATTTTAGCTGATGATACAATAGTCGATATTATTAGGTCATTCTTTGTCTTGCCTAAAGATCTAGCTCACGATATTAATTTGGCTAAATGCTTAGATCTAAAGGCTGAATGGATTCTTTGGCAAACTGGCTTGCAATTGAAATATGGAGACATAACCTTATTTCGCATTAAAGAAGTTTTACATAATAGTGCAGCTCATTATAGGCAGTTTAAGTAAGTTTTTGAGAAGAGGGTCCTATTTTTTGAAATAGTTACAGCTGATTATAAGATATTTGGAGCCATTGTTAATCTATCATAGATTACCCCATACTTACTTTTGTGGATTTTAAATTGACATTTTTTAAATATGTTAATATATTGTACTACCTCATTGAATAAAAAGACCAGAAAAGGAGTATGTTAACAAAATTAGACTGGAATGTGTTTAGTTATTAGACATGAAAGTTTTTTTAATCTGATTTCAATTACGGTTTATCAGTGTCATTCTATTTCTTTTAACGTGTTAAAATATAAAAAATATGTGCCATAGAGACGCGATAATTTGCTGGCATTGTTTAACTGTATTTGGCTTAACTTTAACTGTTTAGGCTAATTATATCTTCAAAATGAATGTGTCTTAGTATCCCTTTTCATAGTCGAAAATATGAATTATACTGTATTTTCCCATTCTTTCACCGAGGTATATCTTTATACTGGAGTATGTATAAGATGTTAAGGTATATTTTAGCTGTACATTATACCAAATAAACATTTAGACACGTGGTTAAGCTTGACCGGTACAGCGTTGCTCACTTTTACATATTTTCTGTTAATCAAAATATTTTAGGAAACAAAAATAAATTAATTATAAATATATAACAGTGGCGGCTCGTGACCTGTGTGACTGGGTAGGCGACAAAATTTTAGTTGCGTCTATTTGCCCCCCCCCCCTTAATTTACATAATACCCTAGCCCAGTTTGTAAATATAGGTCGTCATCTCTGGGTAGCTCTAACATAGCTCAAAAATATTTAGGACAAAACTAAAACAAAAATAACAGCATTCAACGTAATGACATAATGTACAAGTATAGTTTTTAGTAATCTATTTTATCTATTATTTTTTTTATCTATTACTATGGAGTACATCATAGAATTTTATTTTATTTTTATTTATTCACGCAAACTTAAAAATTGGTAGTATTGAGAAAAAGAATAATTATGTTTTATATATTAAATTGATGAGTCGGTCTCTTAATAAAGAAAAGTTATTTATTATTATATCAGTAAAATCATCAGATTGTTGAAGAGCTGTGAAAAGATCTTTTTAGATTGAAAGTAAGGCAAGTGGCGATAAACGTTTATTTTTCATGGAATCTCTACTATAAATTTTAATGCATTTCAAACATGAAAAATGTCTCTCAACCCAAGTGCTTGTAAATGGTGTAGTAACAAACAAAACAAACAATTTGAAAGCCTCTGGAAATATATTTCCAGGATTATTCTCCTTAAATTATTTTATGCTCGAATTTATCATATCTATTATTAATACCTGCAATTTATTTATTAATTTATGTTGGCCAATAACATTTTTTGTTTGTTAAATCACTATTAAATGCGCTGGAAGTTGGAAATGTATCAATATAACAAGTTGGTTAAATCAGATGTTAAATGCGTTGGAAATTTTTTATAGGATTCTTTAAATTTCGGATCTGCAAGAGATAAATAAAAATAATTGAGACATACGAGTATCTATCTGCAAACCTTATTTCTAAATGTATAACAATGTTATCTAATATTTCATAAAATAAAATTCGCAAAGATATTTGACTTAGCCGCTTTTATTAACATATCGAATTGAAATAGCACAGAGACTTCTTCTTCTGTAATATCTTGTATCGTCTACTTGCACCGAATAAAATAACGCGCTTTTTTTTATTTCGGGATCTTTTATTTCTGTGGCGTGTTCTGAAATACAACCGGTTATATCATTTTTAATAATTTCGAACAAGCCCGAAAATGTTTCCAATTTGCTTTAAACGTTTTTTGAATTTTCATATAAAAGTTTTAAATGCTACGTATAATGAATCATGAAATATCCCCTTAACGAAATGTGATATCTCCTTATGAAATATCCGGAATATCCCTTTAACATCTAAGCCTACCGAGCCTCCACGACTTCATGCGAAGGCGACCGGAGATTTCGCCTAAGCCCCGCCTTAATACGATATAACCCCGACTTACGTCGCGTCGCTACCTACTACCTACTACTAGTTAGACAGAGACAGAAGACTGCCGTACGTCGTGCATCGACTCTGATAGTAGGCGATGTAGAAATCGCCGAACAAAGGCACTCCAACGGTCAAAATTAAGTGTTTACTAACGCAGCGGCACAGTCAGCGGCCAGCGTACGCCAGCGGTAGTGAATATGTTAATATACAAAACCACAAATATTAAAATAATATTGATTATTAAAACACACTTCCGTGTATTAACAGTATTTTTATGTATTGGCAACATTAATAGTAAATAATGTAATGTAATAAATCGCTTAAATTCTGCCAAAATCTTAGGGTAGGCGCCGCCTACCTTGCCTACTCTGACGAGCCGCCACTGATATATAAACTATTATTATTTACATCAACAAAATTCACCTCCTTAACAGCACTTAAGGGACATAAAAGGCCATTACTATCTCTTTCCCGTTTAAAATATTCTCATATGGTTGCGATGAGTTGCAATAATACACTTCGCACTAAAAGCGGTTATAAAAAGAACACTAGCTCCCATTCCAGGTTACGGATGGAGCTTTCCAGGTTCTTCAGTTCCGCTTTAGTTGGTTTCCGCTTGAAAAACCGAACGGTTCTGGTCCAGTTAGTGGAGTGTTCGCTCCTTTTCTAGCTAGATCATTTGCTTTTTCATATTGCCTTATATCCCTTGATGAGCTGGCACCCAGAGTGGAAAGACTATTTTCTTTGCGTAATTTGTTCAGCTTCTCTAAGCATTCTTTGACCAATTTCGATTTGATGGTTACTGAGTTGATCGCGTTTAGTGCTGCTTGACTATCGGATAAGATGGCTCGCTGACGTAATTAAAAGTTTAATAATTGGTATCGCTTATACCTCTGTAATCTGTATCTGTTTTTTTTAATAAAATAGTTTGCATATTTATTAAGGTGTTCAATTTAAAAAAAAATGCTTATTTGATATTAAATTTTGAACATTATTAATTATTGCCAGTTTCGTGGATAGTTTGGCAAACTCTGTTGCTTTAAGATATCTCTCTTTATAATTTTAAATGGTGTACATGGCCACTTTCATGGCCGCATTAGGTTTGTTATCAAAAATTGTTTATTTCTCCAAAATCTTTAAAGAAAATGTGTATCAACAAAATTTTGATATCAGAAAAAAATGTCTATTCAGTTGAAGTATTAGAATGTATAAAATACTTTATTTTTTACTTTCTTATTTTATTTAAAAAATACAAACTATGTAAAATTTGACAGAATTTTTAATCTACGAAAGTATGTATGAACTAAGTAATAAAAAATATAAAAAAATTAAAACATAATACCTACGTATAATTTTGGTTTAAAAAAAATAAATATAAACAAACTACAGGACATTTTTTATATTTAAGGTTTAAAATTAAACAAGATGGATTATGGTGCGACGTCGACTTACAAAATTCATCTATACTAGAGATATATTTCCCCGTTGATTCTCTAGTTGTCAAGCCAAAACGTACAGATGGGGCAGATATAAGCCAATTTAAAATAAAAGACGAACTTGTCATAGAATGTACGCAGGAATCTACTACTCAATTACTAGCTCTGGCGGTAGATCACATTGACATTCTCTTAGAGGATTGGTATCCTACATTAGGCACTCGATTTGTCCATACATCCGAAGGCAAATTCTTAGTGACACGTTTAATTCCATGTCCTCAGTGTCTCGGGCAAAGTCATCAAGATTATTTGGATCCAAGTCACGCTTCTAGTTCGCAGAGTCAGGACATGATGCATCGAGATAAAGAGTTAGATAATTCCCATTATAACAGGGATTATTACAAAGTGAGGCAGTCTCAAGAGTCGTATAATTCCGAGTGTGACAGTGGCGTAGGGCCAGATTCAAACGTTTCTAGTCGAAACGCCTCCGTAGAAGGACATCCTGCAGTTCACTTGGAAGATCAAACTGCCAGAAATACATTGTATTACTCCTGGATGGTCGAGGAGTGTATTCTAGCTTCTTATTCTGAAAAAGCTGTAACGTGTCCTTTGCACGGTGATATTAAGTTACTGAGAGTTGCACCCGATACTGTGAGTATTATTTAATTTATTATCAGGGTATTTATAAGTTTCGTATGATCAAAAAGTTTTATGATCAAATGGGCGTAGACTTTGACAGTTAAAAACAGTATTTTGTCTCTCGTTGCTCAGACTTTACATTTACATACGGTAATCGCAAAACAATTTCCGATGCAAATGATCAGCTTTGAGTGACAAGCGATGGCGACAGCGCTGTCAGATTGTAATGGATTTATGAGACGAATCTTAATGTAAAATTGGGAAACAATATATTTATTATATAATTTTTTAAAGATTTTTACGTTTTATTTTTAATTTAATAATTAATTGATTTATTTGTTTTATATCTTATTTAACTTATCAAATATTGGCATAAACTAGTCCATTATGAAATATTCTAAGTGTTATTTATGATTATTCTAAGCCTTATTATGAATTATTTATTTATTTATTGATGTACATCTTACAACACCACAAGTAGTAATAACAAGAGGATGTCATTAATGCACAAACTAATAATTACAGAATTTACTAAAAACTAACGTAGAGATAACTTTGAAAGTGGTATAATATACTTAGCAGTCAACTTACTTTTCTGACTGCAGTCAAGGATAATAAAGGACCTTTATTGTTACGTCCTCGTTTAAAATAGTTTATCAGGGAAGCCACAAGCTCTTTGCTTCGACTGTTTAAATGCTTCAGCATCGGAAAATGTTTTGCGATTACCGTAGACAAATTTCGGTCTTGTTCATAATATAGATAAAGTAAAATTTAGCCTCCAACATTCCTCCTTTAAATTAAAATAATAGATTTTATTAACTTGTATGAATACCTATCTATCCGATTACGCGTATCAAGGTCAACAAATTGTTTTAAATTTTGGCTATAGATTATCTGAACTACTGTATTGTTTTATTTAATATTATACAATACCGTTGAAGAAAATATGTAATCAAACGGGCTCACAGCGCTTTCAGATGGAGCGGAGCATCCGCGACGGACCGTCCGCTATTTCGAGCAAGTACCATAAAGTACCATGAGTTTATATGAACAATTTCACATGGGCGCGTATGCTCCATCCGACGGAGTTCGTCCGACGGCTATCTTGAAAAAACACGAGGGGCGGTCCGTCGTGGACGGTCCGCTCCGTCTGAAAGCGCTGTTAGATTTTGACAGGTAAAAAGTTATAACATAATTTCCCGTTAGTATTGTTCTTTTGTTATCGCCAAAATTCGCTTGATATAAAACGTAAGGGGACGGTTTTGACAGACGATATTGATTTTAACAGACGAAAAAAGTATAGATGTTATGGATGTTTTTCAATTAAAATCACAACTTCCACTGTCATATATTCGTAGGTATCGTAGGCAGATCAAAACTTTAAGACTGCATTTTTATATAATTTATTACTTTTGTTTTAGATGTTTCTTGATTTAGGCGAGAGATACATAATTAAAAAAGAGAATATTAAAAAAGGACGGCTTTTGGGGCGTGGTGCTTTTGGTTTTGTATTTAGAGGAACGTGCAAAGTTAGAGGATCAAATAATATGATAGATGTGGCTATGAAGATGTTACAACCAGTGCAACCTGGCCCAAATGCACGGCAGTCTGCCATTATGGCTTATAAAGCATCTCAAGGAAAATGGGACAGAGATCCATTACAGTATGCTTGCAAGGCTTATTGTACTGCCAGACAAGAACTTAATATTTTGTTAAGCCTACGACATCCAAATATTGTTCCGTTTGTCGGTGTTTGTACGTCTCCTTTAGCTTTAGTACTGGATTTAGCTCCACAGGGCGCGTTGGACTTGGTATTAAGGCATTACAGAAGATCAGGCGCGAAGGTTGGCCCATATACTATGCAGGCTATTATTTTACAGGTAGGTTTTTACAGAGCAGCTGAATTTCTACAGCGTACCAAATTATAAAAAATTCGGCCCAGAATATTATTTTACGCCTATATAAGAGGTGAGGGAAGTTAGCAACGCATTGAAAGCAGGAATTATAAAATACGATCCTGCTTGGGCTGCTACAATCCTGCTTTATCCTCCTTCAAATTCCAACCTTCAAATCCCAACCCAGCAACACCTACCTATTTTGAGCTATAGTTACTTCTATTTTGGTTGCTGACTTCCCGGTTGGCAACACATGGGAAGCAGGATCGCCAAAACTGGTTCCTGCTTACATTGCTATACCCCTGTTGCATCCTGCTGCGAATTTCGTCCCAGCAACACTTGCTGTTTTTAAGATACAGCAAGTTTAAGTCCGATTGGTGACGTCCCACATAGCAACACAATATAAGCAGGATGGCTGAAACAAGTTCCTGCTTTGGCTGCTATAATCCTGCCTATACCAGCCACTCTTGTCGTTTTTAAAATAGAACGAATGGATTCCTGGTAATCAGTTGTACATTAAGATTAGGAATGATTTTTTTAACTTGATAAGTTTCAGCTTAGGCTGCTATTTGTTTGCTTTATTTGCCTAAAATATGTATAAGCTTCCAAGCCATAAATAATTATTCCCAACAGTTGAACAAAATAAGGCAGGTTCAGTGTTCTCAAGAGTAACTCTAGAGTTTTTAGTGTGGCATCCGAAAGCGCCTTAATTAACACGCGAACCATAACCTCAAATTTTCCAGTTTCCTACTATGAATTTGAATTAATAGTTCTTACAAGTGTGATTTGTGTTATTTTGTGTGTGTTTTTTTAAAGAAACGTAAGTATTTTTGACGGTCAATCTATCCTTAAACTTTTGTTTTTTACGTTTCGTTCCGTGCCCTAGCGGACAAGTCAGCAACAAGTTTTTATATCATATAAATTGTGTAATGAGATTATAACTTGATAGTAAAAGTGTTACAGAAAATTATTTTCTTCTTTTTAGAGCATTTAAATAAAAGCTGTTGTAAATGTTTTTAAAAGCTTTTATTTAATTTGCAATGTATGTATGTATGTAGGTATAGTAAACGCCACGAATGTTTGGGAGTGAATCATCGCTTGATGAAGTTAGAATCGACATGCGCGCTATCATTTTTATATTAAAAACGTAAATTTTTACCGCAGACGTAGGTTTTAAAGGCCCGGTCTAATCATTTGCCTGCGCTCCTCCTACTTATTCTAAAATGTTAGCGTGATTGACAAAGACGATACTGTATCGCATTTCTTTGATTTATTCGTTTTTGTGCGTCAGTCAATTGGTGTGCTTGCAGTGCGACCAATGGGGCATTCCAGTTTATATTTATAACCAAATATATGTTTTGAGAAGACTTTGACAGTTAAAACAACAAATTACAACAGATTATATGTTGATTATTATATGACTTGAAGCACCACGGCACTGGAATTAAGTTTTATGTGACCTTGAACAGATTAGTTCACATGGTAGCGACCGATGAATCACTCCCAAACATTCGTGGCTTTTACTTTATGTATGTATTTCCCGTGGTTTTTGGATTGTTTGTTTTTGTCTCTGTCTAATACATTTGAATTGGCGGTATCGATTGTTTTTGATAAACAGTACAATTGTCACGTGATGGTCATCTTTCATGATTTATAGTTTTATGTATGTTTGTTCTGGTCAAATCTTGTAAGCTGAATTAGGATGAGGCAGGATTATAGCAGCAAAAGCAGGAACTTGTTTTAGCCATCCTGCTTTTATTGTGTTGCTATGTGTGACGTCACCAATCTTAAACGTGCTGTATCTTAAAAACAGCAAGTGTTGCTGGGATGAAATTTAGAGCAGGATGCAACAGGGGTATAGCAACGCAAGCAGGAACCAGTTTCGGCGATCCTGCTTCTCATGTGTTGCCAACTGGTCAGCAACCAAAATAAAGTAACTATAGCTCAAAATTGGTAGGTGTGGCTGGGTTGGGATTTGAAGCAGGATAAAGCAGGATTCTAGCAGCCCAAACAGGATCGTATTTTATAATTCCGGCTGTCAATGAGTTGCTAACTTCCCCGATCTCTATATAAGTTAGTTTTATAAATAAATAGAATTAATAACTGCTTTTTCTTCCAGGTAGCAAAAGCTATTGAATATTTACATAGACAACATATAATTTATAGGGACTTAAAATCTGAAAATGTTCTTGTATGGGAAATGCCCCCTCCGTTTGTTGACGATGCAGATCAGGCAGTGCATATTAAAGTTGCAGATTATGGTAAATAACATGCCGTATTGCTCTTTTGTATTAATAAATTGTTACGTTCTTTTAGGTATAAGTCGTTTAACATTACCTTCAGGTACAAAAGGATTTGGAGGTACTGAAGGATTTATGGCACCCGAGATTATGAGATATAATGGAGAAGAGGAATATACAGAGAAAGTAGATTGTTTCTCATTTGGAATGTTTATCTATGAACTTTTGACTTTACACCAACCGTTTGAGGGCCACGAGTCTGTTAAAGAGTGTATATTAGATGGCGGAAGACCACCACTAACTTACAGAGTAAGTGGTTTGTAATAATCGTTTTGTTTCATTCAGTGATCAATAATTATCAGACTTATTAGTCACTCCAAATGTATTTTAAAAACGGCGTTCAACGGGTCTTAATCAACGGCTTTGGCATCTTGTACACTCCCCATTAAAGCGTTTCTAAAAAGAAAAATTGTCGACTGCAAGGTCTGCTAGTAAAAAAAAATTAAGTTTAAAGTTTCACAACACGTGACGTAACTAAAAGTTTATTTGGTATCGCTTATACAGGGTATTTCAAAAAACGTGTCATTACAGTTGAGGGTTGGAACCTTTGGTGTTACACAGCAAAATAAAACACTAAATCACCACAATACACCAAAACACTTTTATTTCTACACTGGACGCTCGTTTCGCTAACCAAGCGTCAGCATCATCAGCAGATGATTAAAAACTAAACTACAATCTACAATTTGAGCGTATATACTCGTATATACTCGCTCAGTGGGCACCGAGTGGGCGTGACAAGATCTAGCCAACCGAGTCAGAGCCCACCGAGCGTAACAATTAGATTTTCGTCACTAGAGTAGCAGGAACAAAGAACTTGAAGGAATTGGACCGTTGTCTCTGTTCATACTATCTTTACATTTATTAATTCTGATGCTTTCATATGCATCTAATTGCCTGTAATTTGAGACTTGTTTAATTAATTTTAAATTATTAAGATCTATACAATGTTCTTTACCAACAATATGTTCAGCAACGCAAGATTTATCCGGTCTACCATATCTTATCTGAGCTGAATGTTCTTTAAATCTAGTTAATATTGACTTCTAAACGTGTCATCTCTCGTGAGGAGATTCCTCATGTAAAAATAAGATTTATTTTTCATATCAATATAGGTCCGATTCTGCGTTGTTTCGTAGCTACAGGTTGTTAAAGTCTTAATATTTTTTCGATTCATTCTAATTTCCTCCAAATGCTTTTAGCGATTCCAATGAAATTTTGAGGGTTAAAGTTACTATAAATGCGACATATTTTAAAGTTAAAAAAGTGTCGACATATTTACCAGGAACGTGCATTTGGGTTATCACTGGAATATTTTTCTAAAAAAAAACCTGTACGCCACTGACTTTCTCTTTTTGGCGATATAGTGTAAGCAGTTTAATGCCGATTAAAAGTTATCTCTTGATATACTTTTAACTGGTATTAACCGGCCTATACAATTTTGATATCAAAAGAATAAAAGTCAGTGGCGCACGTTTTTTTTGGAAAAATATTCCAGTGATAACCCATATGTACGTTCCTGATAAATTTATCGACACTTTTTTAGCATTAAAATATGTAGCACTTATAGTAACTTTTGCCCTAAAAATTTCATTTGAATCACTAAAAGTACTTTGAAGAAAATTATAATAAATCGAAAGATTATTAAGAAAAAAATGTCTATAGCTATGTGGCGGATTCATCTGTCCAAAAAATTTTATTTGAATCACTAAAAGTACTTGGAAGAAAATTATAATAAATCGAAAGATTATTAAGAAAAAAATGTCTATATCTATGTGGCGGATTCATCTGTCCAAAAAAAATCTTATGGGTATTTCGCCACTGCACTGCAAGAAAATCTACAAAATAAAATAGTAATAATTTTTTTTAAGATTATTAAGACTTTAACACCCTGTAGCTAGGAAACAAAGCAGAATCGGACCTATGTTGATATGAAAAATAAATCTTATTTTTACGTGAGGAATCTCCCCACGAGAGACGGCACATGTTTTTTGAAAGACCCCGTATATTAAATTTTCATTTTTGGTGCAATTTTCTAAAATTATATATAAAGCGATGTTTTTTGTAGTGTAAAAAGTTTTTAATTATTTTTAAATACTTTTTTTAGATACTAAATATAATTTCCAATTCATTTTTATTTAGGAAACTCTATACCCAAGTTATTTTCTGGACTTGATGGTACTTTGCTGGTCTCAACAGCCCAAGGATAGACCTTCTGCCAGTCAAATCGTTTCTATTGCTAGCGCTCCCGAATTTACACATTTATGTGATATAATATCTCTGAAACATCCAGCATCGGTTGTAGCTGCTACAAGTGCAGCTCTAACTTACATAACCGGTACGTATATTTTATTTACATTTTATATATTTCTTTTAATTATATGATGGATGATTTTCAGATGATGGACTTTCTGGTTCTGAAATGTGGTTAATGTGCGAAAATTCAAGAGTGGATTTATTGTTAGCTGCGGATCGTGGATGGTTGCAATACCATACTATGTCTTTACCTATAAGGCCCTCAGCTACATGCACTGTAGGTGATACAGTGTGGATAGGCGATTGTTGTGGAACTATTCACGCATATTCGTAAGTATATTTTATATTAAGGATGCCAAAGAATCAGGAAAGATGTCGACATTTGACATCCAAAAAATAACAGAAAATTCAATTTGGCTGTGAATTAATATGACAGATACCTGTCTACCGTCTTTTCGTTGAACCGACTATAACTAGATTTGGCTGATGAAGGAGTAAAATACTATTTTTATATTCAATTCATACGTTTAAGACGACGATATCTTTTTTATTACTTTTGTTTGGCTTTTCTCTTGACAGTTCCTGAAAAATTATTTTTTTTGTCAGCTTAAAATACGCGAGTTGTGTATTACTTAATGTCTTCAGTAGCATACCAGTATTTTTGATAATAAATAAATATTGTTACGTTTTTCGTCGGTTCCGTGTGGATAGAAAGTCACAAATTATTTAAACACAATTTATTTAACACTAATTAACAAAAATAATAACGATAAAAGACTTAAAGAATTATTTACAAACAATTTATAACTATTTATCTAGAAAGAATTTATTTTGAATTTAGCGCGTCAACTGTAGTCGTCTATTTATTTCTGTCCTCTTCAGGCCCCAGCCGTCGGATTTTATACCCGCAGCTAAAGATTTCTCGAATAATCCATAGATCATTAGGTGCATAGAGAAGGTTTCGAATGTTCTCGTATGTACTACTCCATTCCAGTGGAACTCGATTCTTCTCGAACTTTCGAATGAATCATTACGGTGTCTATTCTTTAATGCGATATTAAGGTCATCTGGAGGCGGGACATATAGTTAGGTTAGGTCGGGTCCGCAACAATATATTAACTTTTTTGCAACAATATATTAACTGACTCTATTTTATATTTTAACACCTTTTAAAGAAAGTAGCTGAATTTTATTTGCTGTTATTTCATAGTAAATATAAGACCGAGGCTCGCTACGTCCGTAATTTACCGTCCGTAATAACTGTTACTGTATTGTAGTGTAATTTCACGAGACATTTCAACTTGCGCTAAAGCTTCTCTTTTATTTGTGTATAGAGAATCTATGTACAGCCTATTCCAACGAGAAAAGGGACGATTTTGACAGACGACATTGAAAAATTGACAGAAAAATATTAATTATTTTATAATAATGTTGCGGGCCGGTGTGGACTCGACCTAACCTCACAATATGGCCCGCCCTCGGATGACCTTAACATCGCATAGACACCGCAATGATTCATTCGTTCGAGAAGAATCGAGTCCCACTGGAATGGACTAGTACATACGAGAACATTCGAAAACCTTCTCTACGCACCTAACGATCTATGGACTATTCTAGAGTTCTTTACCTGTCGGTATAAAAGCCGGCGGCAGTGGCCTACAGGGGGCAGTTATAAATATACCAGTGCAGTTGACGCGCTAAAATTCAAAATAAATTCTTAGTTATAAATCGTTTGTAAATAGTTCTATAAGTCTTTTATCGTTATTGTTTTTGTTAATTAGTGTTAAATAAATAGTGTTTAAATAAATTGTGACTTTCTATCCACACGGAACCGACGAAAAATGTAACAATTGGTGTCAAGTGTGGCGTGTGTGATAGACTAAAAAAATAAAAAGACTAACAATGGCTCCGAAGAAATTGTTGAAAGACTTGAAAGTGTCCGAATTAAAATGCATACTGGAAGAGAGGGAATGCGAGACAGATGGAAAGAAAAGCATTCTGCAAGCCAGACTGAGAGACGTTTTGATTGAAGAAGGTGAGGATCCTGACACCTTTTGCTTTGAGCTGGAAGGTGACCTTGACTCGTCCTTACAAAAATTAGAAGAAAATTTGAATAATAAAATCAGTGATAAAATTATGGAAAATTCCCAGGATTTAATCAATACATTAGAAGATAAGATCATCGAAAATTCTAAAGATATACAGGCCAGCTTTAATAATAAAATAGTAATTTTGGAAGAAAGTTTTAACAATAAAATAACAGAGATTGAGGAAGATGTAAATAGAAAAATCGAAATTTTAAGAGAAGAAACAGCGAAGTCAAATTCACCAAAATGTCAAGAAACATCGGAGGTGCCGAAACTAGTCGAAAATAAGTATATCTCAAAGTCAGTTATTAAGTCTCCACAGTTTGACGGAAAAACCGCTTGGGCCAATTATTTTTGCCAGTTTGAAGCCGCTGCGAGAGCGAACGGATGGACAATCGCTGAAAAGGCTACCGCTTTGACTGTCGCACTGCGAGGAGATGCGACTGATATTCTGCAGACATTGTCACCATCGGAACAGGGAGATTATCAGCAATTGGTACGACATTTAGAAATGAGGTACGGCCAAGCTCATTTGGAACATGTCATTCCCAGCTAAAAAATCGCATTCAAAAGTCAAATGAGTCTCTGCAGGAGTTTGAAGCCGACGTAGCCCGCCTCGTTCGCCTTGCGTACCCTGCTACGCCAGAGAATGTTATGGAGCGGTTGGCAGTACAGGCATTCTCCGACGACTTACGTGACAACGAGACAAGACAAGCACTTCTCCTAGCCCACCCAACGCACTTGGTGGATGCTTTAGCACGTGCCCTAGAATTTGAGGCCGCGAAACAAAGTTCTCGGTCTTTAGGAAGAGTACGGGCCATCGACGAATGTTCTGACGAATCCGTGGAAGGGATTATTCGGAAGATAATGGACCAGTACATGGGCAAGAAGGGACCGATTCGTTGCTGGAACTGCGGACAGGTGGGACACGTGCGAAGCCGTTGTAAGGAGAAGAACGAAGAACCGGCTTCGTCGAGGTCGGAAAACTACTAAGGGTCGAAATGAAGGGGCACACGTCGACCTGTACCCAACATGCCCCAACGAAAACTGTTCAAGTCGCCTCGCTACAACACAAATTCAACAGCATTTTTGTGGATGGTTTTGTTGATGGAGAGTTCGGACCATGCTGTTGGATACAGGTGCGACGAAAACTATCATCAGACCGGACATTCTTAAAACATCGAAGAAGGTTAAAACAACACAATGGCGACTACGTACTGCTACGGGGGGCTCCGCTGCTGTCCATGGAGAAGTAAACCTTAATTTTGTTATTGGGAGCACCAGTTTTGAACATCCAGTGTTAGTAGCAGATATCGAAGATGAACTTATTCTCGGAATGGACATCATGACCACTAAAGGCTTTGAACTAAACTTCAAACAGGGAATTTTAAAAATAAATGAAGAAGAAGTGGTTCTACATCGAAAATGTGAGGAGACGCTTCGCGTGGTGGTAGCAGAAGATGTTTCGATCCCTGAGCGCTGTGGGATATTTTTGGATGGTTGCCTGGAATTATTCTGTTGGAGCCAAGGAACCATGACAGCGAAATAGGACGAGGGATCGCTGTTGGAAAAGCCCTGCTGCGAGCGAAGAAAACTGTACCGGTGAGAATAATGAACACGAATTATTATTCTGTATCCTTGAAGAAGGGAACCCTTTTAGGGTACTGCTGTTCGGTCTCCTCAGTCATTCGAAGCGTGGAAGCCTCCAAAGTTTCGACTTCAAAAATTCCGGACAAAATGGTGAAGGAGTTAGTAAACGTTAAAGGATTATCTCCCGAAAATAGAAGAAAATTGAGAAACCTGATAATCAAGTATCAAGATGTGTTTGATAAAGGAGAAGCAGGACAGAGAGGTCGTACCAATTTAGTACAACATAAAATTGATACAGGAGATGCGCGACCAATCAAACAAAATCCGAGAAGACTTCCGCTCGCCAAACGTGAAGAAGCTGATAAAATCCTTCGAGAAATGAAAGAAGAAGATGTCATCGAACCATCTAACAGCCCGTGGACATCGCCGGTAGTACTAGTAAAGAAGAAAGACGGTACCACCAGATTCTGTGTTGATTATCGGCAGCTCAATAATGTTACCAAGAAGGATAGTTATCCCCTGCCGAGGATAGACGATACTCTAGACACGCTGGCGGGGTTAACGATATTCTCTACGTTAGATCTGAAAAGTGGATATTGGCAAGTCGACATGGCGCCGAAAGATAGAGAGAAGACAGCGTTCTCGGTGGGCTCCGGACTGTGGCAATTTACCGTCATGCCTTTTGGATTGTGCAACGCGCCAGCTACCTTTGAGAGACTAATGGAGTCTGTGTTAAAGGGACTATCCTGGACTACCTGTTTAGTGTACCTGGATGACATCATAGTGGTGGGGAAATCCTTTGACCATCATCTGAAGAATTTGGAAGAAGTTTTCAAGCGACTAGGGAGTTCTGGTTTGAAACTTAGCCCCAAGAAATGTCATCTGTGTCAAGAAAAGGTACACTACTTGGGCCATGTAGTCTCCTCCCAAGGAGTTGCGGTAGATCCACAGAAGACCAAGACAGTGGAAGAGTGGCCGATACCTAAAGATAAACATGAACTACGAAGCTTTTTGGGACTATGCACATACTATCGACGCTATGTACAGGGTTTCGCCACCATCGCAATACCATTGACCAGACTTACCGAAGGCGAGAGGCGTTTCTCTTGGGACTCAGATTCTGACGAGGCATTCCGAAAATTGAAGAAGGCCCTGACTAGTGCGCCCATACTTAGCTACCCTCTTGGCAATGGAAACTTTATATTGGATATCGACGCTAGCAATGTTGCGTTAGGCGCTGTTCTGTCTCAGATCCAGGATGGTCAAGAAAAAGTCATTGGTTATTTTAGTAAGACCTTGTCAAAACCGGAAAGGAACTACTGTGTAACCAGACGAGAATTACTAGCAGTAGTTAAAGCCGTGGAACACTTCTACAAGTATCTCTATGGAAGAAAGTTCTTGTTAGGAACAGACCATGCTGCTTTGAAATGGCTGTTGCAGTTTAAGAATCCTGAAGGGCAGGTAGCTAGATGGATTGAACGATTACAAGAATTTGACTTCGACACAGAACATCGAGCTGGGGCAATCCATCGAAATGCCGACGCACTTTCCAGAAGACCTTGCGCTAAGGACTGTAAGCATTGTTCCCGAGCAGAAGAGAAAGAAGTGAAACTCCTAAGAACAACTGTGGTTAATGATAGTTGGCAACCCGAAGATCTTGCAAATGACCAAACCAGTGACCCAGAATTAGGTTTAGTAATTAACTGGAAAAACGCAGGCCAAAGACCAACGTGGGAAGAAGTTTGCAGACATTCGCCGAACGTAAAGTCGTACTGGGCTCAGTGGAATTCCTTGGTAATAGATAACGGACTACTTCGCCGTGTGATCGAGAGACCGGAGGGACAAGAAGAAATAAGGCAGATCGTCATTCCAAAGAAGAGGGTCCCAGAAGTCTTGGAGGAAGTTCACAATGGAACCAGCGGTGGACATCTTGGTGTTACCAAGACACTTGGCAAGCTGCGTGAACGGTTCTACTGGGTGAACTGCAAAGAAGATGTGAGGGCCTGGTGTAAGAAATGTGACATTTGCGCAGCCATTAATGGGCCACAAAAGCGTGGTAAAGCCCCTATGCGCCAGTACAATGTTGGTAGTCCCTTCGAACGAATAGCGATCGACGTGGCTGGTCCTTTCCCGGAGACGAACGATGGCAACAAATACATTGTGGTAGTAATGGATTACTTCAGCAAATGGGTCGAGGCCTACGCGTTGCCAAATCAAGAAGCGTCCACGATTGCTGATGCCCTTGTTAAAGAATGGATCTGCAGGTTTGGTGTTCCCATGGAGCTTCATTCAGATCAGGGAAGAAACTTTGAGTCCAATCTGTTCCAAGGCGTCTGTGAAGTCCTGAACATCCGCAAGACCAGGACGACTGCTCTACATCCACAATCCGATGGGATGGTTGAACGCATGAACAGAACTATCAACCGTTATCTGGCCAAAGTAGTCTCTGACCACCAAAGAGACTGGGACAAATTTCTTCACCTGTTCCTGTTGGCCTACCGTTCATCCGTCCAAGAATCTACAGGGCAAACTCCAGCCAGCATCGTTATGGGACGGGAAGTGCGCCTACCCTGTGATCTGAAATTTGGTTGCCGACCGGGAGAAGAAGTCGCCGGAGAAGATTATGTCCACACACTACGTCAAAGGATGGACGACATTCATCAGAGAGTCCGCCTAAATATTCAAAGTGCTAGTGACCGAATGAAGGAACACTACGACATTCAAGCTGAGCATGGAGGATACCAACCAGGGAAGTTGGTGTGGCTATATAACCCGCAGAGACGTCGTGGGTTATCTCCGAAGCTACAATCCTCGTGGGAAGGGCCATACGAAGTCATGGATAGAATTAATGACGTCGTATACCGTATCAGAAAATTGCCAAAAGGAAAACCGAGGGTAGTCCATTTCAACCGTTTGAGCCCCTACCAAGGCGAAATAGAAGATCGTGCTGGGACCGTGAGAACCTGCAGCTTTGATCCCCCTGATTCGGAGATGTCCTTTGACGATTTCATGGCCCGATACAACAGCAGTGAGAAGGCTCGCTATGGTGTAACCAAAGAAGATCAACGAGACCTCTTTTCCGTGCCTCCTGATTATTCGCTCGCTCATTGTGTGGCTCGAGATTTGCGGATGTCCAGAGGAATCGCTGCGACGTTCAATGAGAAGTTTGGGCGTGTCGGAGAACTACGCCGACAGGATCCAGAGGTTGGAAGCGTCTTGAGGCTAACCGACAATGCACATGGTCAAGCAAGGCACATCTTCTACCTGGTCACCAAGGAATGGTCCCCGAGTAAGCCGACTTATCTCAATCTATGGAAGACCCTGATTGAACTGAGAGAAGCCCTGCTAAACAACAACATTGCACGATTAGCCATTCCGAAGCTGGCGTGTGGACTCGATGGTTTGAGTTGGCGTACAATCCGGAACATGATTGAAGTCTTGTTCAGATTTACGGGAATCGAGATCCTCGTTTGCTGCTACAACCCAAAGCTGAGATCGGGAGAGAAAACTGTAGACTGCTATTTCTACCAGACTTCGCAATGTACCAGGGGCCAGCTTTGCAAATACCTTCATTCACCGTATACATCTCGGGACGAGCATGTGCCTAAGAAGGGGGCAGTGTTGCGGGCCGGTGTGGACTCGACCTAACCTCACAATATGGCCCGCCCTCGGATGACCTTAACATCGCATAGACACCGCAATGATTCATATGTTCGTCCATGAGTCCCACTGGAATGGACTAGTACATACGAGAACATTCGAAAATCTTCTCTACGCACCTAACGATCTATGGACTATTCTAGAGTTCTTTACCTGTCGGTATAAAAGCCGGCGGCAATGGCCTACAGGGGGCAGTTATAAATATACCAGTGCAGTTGACGCGCTAAAATTCAAAATAAATTCTTAGTTATAAATCGTTTGTAAATAGTTGTATAAGTCTTTTATCGTTATTGTTTTTGTTAATTAGTGTTAAATAAATAGTGTTTAAATAAATTGTGACTTTCTATCCACACGGAACCGACGAAAAACGTAACAATAATATAAAAAATAATATAAATATAATATAAAAATATAAATAAATATTCATAATATAAATGCCAATTAAAAAAACTGAAATGTATACAAAAATATAAAATTTTAGTTCCAGTGACGGAAGGAAGCTCTTCTTTTACTCTTTAGAGACTGAACCAAACACCAAAATCCAAGCTCTACTTTATCTCCCGTCCTTGAAGAGAGTGGCTTGTGCACTTTCAAATGGCAGATTATTTTTAGTAAATTCTGAACAAAGGCCTGTAACACCCACTGCAGCTGAGGGCACGTTTGTAATGACTGAGTTAGGATTAAATTCAGGGATTAACTGCATGTGTGCCATTATAAAAGACGAAAGGTATAGCCAATCTTTATGATTGTTATAGGGTATAAATAAAATATTATTGATTTTTATAGAAATTGTGAATTATGGTGTGGCGGAAGCAATGGCCAGATAACGATTTACCTAATCAAAGATCAGGTTGTAACAGGTCATGAAGTACTGAATCACTATCAGCCTGTCATAGATATTGTTGATGTCATAAACCTAGTATCTGTCGATAACATTGTATGGTCGTATGTTAGACCTGGATGCGTGGTTTACCAATGGGACGTGACATCAAGATCTATAGTTAATAAATTGGATTGTTCTAAGTTGGTACCTTGTTCAGAAAGTCTCAAGTCCATTGCCATTGAAGAACATTTAAGTCCGACAAATTGCCAGGTAATTGATATTATTTGACACATCGTTAATTAGTAATAACAACCACATAATGATCGAATAATATACTTAGCAATTCTTCAACTGAGTCGGCAGATATTAAATTTCATATAATTGACAAACGAACCAGAAATAAAACCGTCTTTTTGCGCTGGTCAATTTGTTGACAATAATGACGGATATATTTCAAAAACCGTGTATCATAATAATAAAAATTTCAAGCAAAACAGGCACTGAAAACCATAATGCTTTATTCGGAACCTAAAAATTAGTGGAAATATATAAATTAATGAATATTTTCTCTATAGGTACTTAAGAGAGCAATCACAATGTTTAAAAAATCCAATTAAAATTAATAGATTAGTTGGGGTTTGAACCGGTTGGTGTTACAACAGCAAAATAAAACACTAATTCATCACAGGACAAGGTTTAAGTAAAGGTGTATTGTGGTAAATTTGTGTTCTATTTTGCTAAAATTAATAAAATATCCTAGCAGCAGCTTGCTGTAGTCAATTGTATCTAAAGGGAAACCTGATAATTTCCTTATAAAACAATAAACTTTATTTCTAACTACAATTTCTTTTGACAGGTGGAAAATTACATTACTTGCACAAGTGAAATAGTGTTTTCAATTATGATTAGTAGAAAAGGTTAAAAGTTGTTGTTGACTTTTTCTATTAATTGAAAAGTACTATAATTACTAGTACAACAAAAATCTACTCTAATTTAAACTACTAATTTATTCTACTAATTTTGAGGTTCTAAATGAAGCTCAACTAATATAAGAAACGCAATAGAGCCAAAGAAAATATTTAGGTGTGTACTGTTTTTATTGTCAGTATTATGGCGACAAAAGGGGCTGATGACAAATGAACTTTGGCTGACAAATGTAAAATGACAGTTTTTTGATGACACAACATTTTTCCTATATATTATTTATATAAAATTGTCGTTTATTAGAAATTGATTAGTGACGTTGATATTGTCACTATTCTAGTCTTAAAAAGTATTGAAATAATTTAACTGATTTTTTTGCCATTAATAAGGGGCCGGTCCTACGCCGGAAACACTGCGACCTGTGAGGCCTATTATGTTTGACCCCTTTCTATGTCTGCACCCATTCTCCTATACGTGTACCCTGCACCAAATTAGACCGGTCCTTGATAGGAAGGGAGCATAGTTCCTCCGGTTAGAGCCTTGCTTGCCCAAATAAAAAGTGTCGCTTGCGATCCAGAGCCTTACAGTGACATATTATGCCCTCTGCTGTTTCAGGATCTTTATCGCAAATCTTAGTCTGCAGCAAAGGCTCCATATATACCATAGGTCCTATCAAGAGACCAGTTGTAATCCGCACCTTATTCCTGCTAAGCATTAGCAATCCCTTTGTGGTTTTAGAGCTAGGTCCTATGCTAGGTATGCTTGTGCCCTTGTCTGTTTCTTTAGTGGACATTCTGCTTTACCCTGATCCAGAGTTTTACTGCACTACGGATCATACATTTGGGTATTCCAAGTACTGGATCTAGTCTAAAATAGGTAGCTGATGATCCTTGTCTAGCTAGATCATCGGCTTTTTCGTTGCCTTGGATGCCGTTGTGGCCCAGCACTCAGAATAATTTAATTCTGTTCCTTCGTGCCAGAGCCTGCCATTTCACTCAGGCATTCCCAGACGAGTCTCGACAATACCTTTGGGCTCATAACCGCCCGAAGTGCCGCCTGACTGCCTGAGCATATATTGATGAGCTTACCTGAGTTCTTCTGTTGTTTTGTCTCATACATTGTAGAATGGCAAAGATTTCTATCTGGAATACGGTTGAGTATTTACTCCAGGAAAAGGATAAGCTTACCCTCGGTCTTTCCTTAAATACTCCAGCTCCTGTTTCCTCAGCGCTCTTTGAACCGTCTGTATACCAGGTTAGGCCATCCTGAAGGAATGTTGTATCTGTCCACATTCCTCAATCCATTTTATTTACCTCGAATGGTTTGTGGTAGTGATAAAGAGGGGTCATTTGATCCGATCTCATTTGGAGTAGTCCCTCGATAGTATTTAATTGATAACGAAACTGTTATAAAGGTGTATAACCAATAATATTTATTTTTTTTAGGATAATCTGCATCAATTTTGAAGAAAAACGCGTACAAAATATTATTTTGCATGTGTTTGAATTTATAATCTACGTTAATTTGAAATCTAATTCCCTAATTTATTTTAGGTATCTAGTTTGGTAGTTCTCAACGACGAGCTTTATATAGGAACAACTTGGGGTTGTATAATTATAGCGGAAAGAAATTCTCTGCGCCCAGCTACGATATTTAGGCCGTACGAAGAAGAAGTGAAACTGATTGTTCCTCTAGCAGTGCCGAAGAGCAACAACGAAAGTCACGATAACATTCCTCTTATCGCTACTATAGGAAGGGGCTATCGTAACTTACTTTCTAGGTATACCGACGTACCGTTGCCGGTGGGAACACCCCTACCCAGTCCGGTGTCAGCAAATTATACAAATTATTTAAATAAGCCTAACATGTTTATTTTGTTATGGAGAGCTGAAAATTGGAACGCTGTTTGAAGATGAAATCTTGATTGAGTTGTTAAAAACTTTGAAAACAAGTTACTTTACAGTATTTATGACTACTAAGGTTGATACAGGCGCGACTCGTCTTTAAGATCATCTGGTCGATGATTTATCTGATTTTTTTAAATGGACTATTAGGGACTGGATTATTAGGGTGTAAGAGTCTTAACAAACATAGTAACTGAATTTGTAACTCTGGGCAATTCAGGATTGTCGATGAATACATTTTTATTATTTTCTTCTGTTTAAAATCAAGATAGCTCTAGGTAGGTAAAAATCGACGGCTGAGCTGATAATTCGCTGTTTTATTTCACCGTTTAGTCGTAATGCCTATGATTTCTAGCATGTTACCTCACGGAGCAGCTTTCGTAAGATGTGTTGTATGCTGGCGATATGGTAAACATAGAAACAAAATGGGCTAGAGCTGCTGTTGTCGATGTTAACGTTGTTATGATGTTGCGATTTTTTTTTGTGTTTTTTTTTTGGTTTGATAATTTATTTAGACGTTTTCATGAATTTAATTTCAAAAGGATGGAAAAATAAGAATAGGACAAAAAATAACACAAAATTGTTTTTACACCTTCCCACGTCTCCATTTTCTCCACCTCTTTAACTTGGTCTCTCCTTAGACCTGATAACGGTGTTGTCCCGAATCTATAATAGAGGAGGCCCTCTTCCTCTATTGCCTCATTGTTGACTCTATTGACCCTCCTCCCTCGAGTTGATGACTCGCCAACTCGATATCCTCACATTGGAGTTTTGAGCATGGATAAGGGTCAGCAGGTAGATGGTATCTTTTCCATTGTATGATGGTCGCTCCTTTTGAGATGTTTTCTCCCTTCACTGCAACCCGGCCCTTTCCAATTCTTAAGCTTAGGTGCGTTTCCACCAACCGATCCGCCGATTTTTGAGAATCACAATATATGAAGAGCATGCCCACCCGAAAGTGTATCCCTGCAAAACGCAGCTTACCCACATTTTTTTGACCGTTGCGGTGCAATGCGTTCGCTAATACTTCGTCCAATATCGCCTTCTAGAGGCGTTTGCTTGTCGGTGGTCAGTACAACCTCTGGGTAATCCTTTGGCAGCATTGCCATTTTCACTTGTCCAGCAATAGCGCCATAGCTAGTGATACGTCCCTGCCTGCTCGGTATTGGACTGCTTTCCATCCTGGCTTTTTACTCTCCTTGCCGGACCAGAGGTGAGAAGTTCTCGCTCCCTCTCTTGGGCTTTGGTAGAGATGAGCCAGGCTGTTGCGCGGTTCCTTAGGATGGTAGTTCCTTTCCTATGGAGGAAGAACCATAGTAAGAAGAAGAGTGAGAAAACCTGTTCAGTTTATTTGCCTTGATTTACACCAGTGTGTCCAGTAGCAAAATAACATATTTTGACATATGCCATTCAATTAGTTTTAGTTACATGTAAATATCCCACCCATCTTTGAACCTTTACGAGTCGCGCCTTATCAATAAACAGCTCCAATATAGTAACTTTTTATAATTTGTAAGAAGTGATGAAGATTACAGTAACTTTAATTAGTTTTGCTTTTTACACTTTATGGATAAAAATAACTAAAACTATTACCAACCAAAGATGAAAGTTAGACTTTTGCTATGCATGTACAAATTATTGCTAGAGAAAAATGAATTAGAATAATAATTATAAAGTGTCCTGTTTGATTGCGGCTGTGGCAGTTTAATTTTAAAAACAATTATTCATATGTATTTTTTTTTGCTGTATATATTTGGTTGTTTAAACAGTTTGGGGTTTTCAGATTTTCTGTAAGATTGTTGACAGTAAAGAGAAATTACTCTTATACAAAGTTTTCTGCTTATTGGTAAGATTATAGAAAATCATTTTTTTATTTTGGTAAGCTTCAATTGATACCTTAAGGTTATATTGGTTATTATTTCTTATTTTTGTCACTCTGGGGTAGGTTCATTAATATTAACTTAATTATTATTATTAGTTTATTGGAACTTAAGTTAATTAAACTTTAAGTTTAAAATCTTACTATTTATCTGTATTTCTTTTAGTTTGGATTTACATGGATTCGGCATGCGTTGTCCGTCGATAATTTTATGAAATTTTATTGGTTTATTTCAAAAATGACATTTCATACTTAAATACGACTGGAGTGACGTAATGACAGACGAGACATGACGGATGCATGTAAACTCACACTTATATGTTTCTTGCCTGAAACTTTGTATGCTTGTATATTTCTCTAAGATACTATTTATCTTTGTCTTTTGACAACATTTGTCTTTAAACAATATTTGTACCTAAATGGAAATTACACGAAGAGATATAATGACTGCTTGCAAGATTACCAATTAAGTAATCCAAGATTACCAATTTTAATTCAATGTTACAAAAAAATAGAAAGCAGTTTATGAGTTTAGTGGGCCTTATTTACATTTTTGTTTACACATTTAACATATTTACTTTTTTGATATGTTTTAGTTACATAACTTAATTGCTCTTTGGAACTAACGACATTAATAAAATATCAGTTATGATATAATTAATTGGAGATGAAAACCTTATGTTCAGTTTGGTTAATTTATATATCTTGAAGACACTTCGTTGATTGATATAGCAAAAAAGTATATTTAGAATAAACTCTCAATTTTAAAATGTCTTTTTATGCCACTCGGCTATATTTTCAAAATTGCAGTACTTCCGGGTGTATCCGAACTTGATATTTATTTTGCACTCAGTAGTTTTATACAGGTACGGTTGAAAACATTACTCTTCAAACCAATTAAAACAGATGTAGGTGGCGCCCCCTGCACCTACGAGTTATATTGACATTGAAATCAATTTTTTTATGTCCACGGCATCAATTTTTATCCAAATATCGACTATAGTTCAGAAATTATTTGGAAAAAACCGAAAGAAAAGAAAACCCCTCCTCTAGTTCGACATTATTTATTTTTTGTCAATAATGGCATACTATTTCTGTTCTAAATATCTTGAGAACGGTTGCTCGTAGCGATTTTTACCAAGAGATATTTTTTACGTAAAAAATCACGGAAAATTAATTAATAAAAGAAATATTACTCTTCAAAACAGTTAAAACACATGTAAGTGGCGCCTCCTACAAATAGGAGTCATATTGGTACCAAAATCAAATTTTTTATGTCAAAAAACACCCAGACACTAATTTTTCATCTATACAGGGTGTCCCAGAAATAAGTGCAAATATTTTAACTGGTAGTTCAACCCCAGAAACACGCCTATGAGGTTTTTTTCGCAAAAAAGAAATTTTTTGGAAAATTTGTTGGAAATTTTTTTAGTTTTTAGTTAAAAAACATAATTTCTTGATAATATGGTAACATAGATATTAGATTAAATTTACAAGAAAGAAAATCCAGAAAAGATCCAGTGGTTCTCAAAATTTTAGCAAAAAATCATTTTTTTGGAAATTTTCAAAAAAATAAATAAATAATAATAAAGTAAAATAACTCTGTTATTTTGGACTTATTTGAAAAACGATAAAGAGAAAATATGTTTCTTTTATCGAGATCTATCACCTCTTAAAATATTTGCACTTATTTCTGGGACACCCTGTATATTGATGTCGCTTCATAAATTATTTGGAAAAAAATCGAAATAAAAATGAAACTTGTACACTTGTATCTCCAAAACTAAGCATTGACATACATTTATATGAACTTTTTTATTTATTTTTATCTGCAGAATATACTGCCGAAGTTCTGGAATACAGTTCAGACCATCCTGTAGAGTACCACAAATGACTGTTTTTATGGCAAATTTTTTTACACGGCAACTAAAGACACTTTTACAATGCAGATCAGTCATAGATTAAATCTATTTTAAGGAATTATATTAAGTTATATTTAGGAACATTACCTCGAAAGAAACCTTCCGATAATTGAAAACAACAAGTCTAAGGTTTGATGCTCTTTTTCTCTATGAGAGAAGTTGTCATTTGCTATTTACAATACGCTTTGATATTTAATGTAATGAAATTGACATGTAGTTCTGGTATAATCTGAAAGTACCTATTTAAAACTTGAAAATAGTATAGTCGTATGGCCTCTATAAACTTTAATACAATCTCGAACTTTTAGTTTGGTTTGGTTTAGTTGGTTTGAATTAGTTTCCAGAGAGACTACATATAGGGTGACCCAGAAATAAGTGCAAGTATTTTAACTGGTAGTAAATTCGGCCTCAGAAACACGTCTATGAGTTTTTTTTGCGAAAAAAAAATTGAAAATTTGGAATTTTTTGAAAAAGTTTTTGATTTTTTTTAAGTTTTAAGTTAAAAAACATAATTTCTTGATAATATGGCAACATAGGTTGTATATTAAATTTACATGAAAGAAAATCCAGAAAAGATCCATTAGTTCTCAAAATTTAAGCAAAAAAGCATTTTTTGTTTAAATTTTCAAAGTAAAATAACTCGGTTATTTTGGACTTATTTGAAAAATGGTAAAGAGCAAAAATGTTTCTTTTGACCAGATCTACAACCCCTTAAAATACTTGCACTTATTTCTGGGACACCCTGTATAATAGGCATTTTTTTGTGTCATAAAATCTATTGTCTGTTTTACATTATTAGATCTTCAGCATAGAGTTACTTATACTAAATGCATTTAACGTGTACTAACAGCTGTTTTAGTGCGCTGTTATTTTATACTTTTTTAACAAAAAATAAATATTTTTTATATGCTCGTCACAGGCTTGACTCACCACACAAACACAAAGTTTTATCAGCAGATTTGGTGTATAGGGGCTATTGAAACTGATAAAAGAAATTTAATGGTGTAAAACAGGCTGTGGATATAAATGACTATTCAAAAAAAAAACAAATAACTTCAAAATATTATGAGCCAAAAATTGATAGATCAAATTGTCTTTTCTTTTCATATTTTCTGGAAGTGAATTGACTAAAGGTTATACTACTTTATTTGCGTTTCTTTATTGTAAAGTGTGATAAATTATATATTTATACATTCCAAAAATGTTGTAATATTAAAAGTGTATTGGTTGTGTTTTGTTAATTTATTAAGTCTATTCACACACATTTGGAGGAATAATATTTTTTTTGATATTATCTATTGTAGATTTGACTTTTTTATTAGACTGTTTATATGATTTTTTTTTGTATTTTTGTTAGTCTGTGATTTTTTAATGCAACTAAATAAAGTCATTTTTAACTTGAAATGTTTATTATTTTAAATGTTTTATGAAAAACAGACCCTTAATAAATTCTCTGTTATTTAGGAAAAATGCTAGTCATAGATTTAGGAGTTATGTAAGAGCTATGTGGAGATTACGTTTATTAGTACAGTGTGACGAACTCCAAAGGAGCTTTTTAAGAAGTTAAGATGTTTTAAATGGAACAATCAAGTTTATAAATGGAACATATCATTTCTATTATTACATTAATATAAGAATAAAATGTGACATGAATATATTGGAAAAAACGCACTGAAACAAAGAAATTATTATTTATTGTAGTATGTTGCATTAGGTGTTAGGTCCTGTTTTGCGTATTCCGTTTATATGTTTCAAGATGTCATTATAATCAGAATCATTTATTGAATTTGTAACTTATTGGTGGTAAACCTAAAAAATATATTTTCAAATTCTTGCTGTTTTTTAATTTTTAATAACCATATATTTTTCTTAAACTAATTCTTGGAAGATAAGACAGTAAACATTATTAAATAGCTCTATTAAGAAATCGGAAGGTTTAGGTATAGAATACATCGTTGGTACATGATATATCGCTGCAAAGGTATTTTATTAATCTTTTGAATTTTTAAATAACATGCATAGGGTTAAATTTAAATAGATCAATTTAGAATTTAGATAGAGCAATTTTATAACAAACGGAAATAAATAACTTTCTTGCTCTCCCTGTATAATATCACAGAGAACATGTTCTCTGTGATAATACCCAATAAGCTCATTTAGACAGATCGAATATAAGTGATACCCTTGTGATACCAAATAAACTTCTAGTTACGCAATCGAGGGCGCGATTTTTAAATTCATTATTGTTGCCAACCATGGACATATTCGGCGCCAAGCTGACTGACTGGAATTTAAATTTCCCACTGGGGATTCAGGTGGTAGCTTTGCTGTAAAAAATTTCAAGTTACCACATTTACTTATTTATTTCCTGACATTGTCTTTCGTTTTGACACTTTAGTTATGTATTACAAGTTTCTGGTTTAAATGAATTGTGTTAAGCTTAAAAAAATTTACTGGCAGCCGTCGCAGTCGAACATTGTTCTTTTTAGAACCTCTTTTAGTGCGAAGTATAGCTTAATAGCTAATGCAAAAACCCCATCGCAACCTGATTAGAATATTTGGAACGGTAGCATTACTACAATGGCATTTATGTCCCTTAAATATTGTTAAAGAGGTGAGTTTAGTTCATTGCCTGGAAACTTTTATGGTGAAATTTTGATAAAATAATTTAGTACTCACTAAAAACAGGAAAAATAATTTTTAGAGGTTACTAGTTTATTTGGTTGCCTGTGATATGCATATACAGGGTGTTTACTAATTAATCTAAAAAATAAAAAATCATTTGAAAACGGCTTAAGGCGGGCTCTTAATAAGAATATTTATTTTTTTCTCGG